GATTTCGGAAAATCCACAAGAGCTATTTTCTTTAAATTGCGTTTTTTCTTTTATCTGGATATCACACTAGAATTGTAAGGATTCGGATTTTTATGGCTTTAGATTTTCTTGGCTTTAGATTTTCATGGCTTATATGCATGGCTTTAGATTGCCCAGAGGATCAGAGGATCAGAGGACTAGAGAACTAAAGAACTAGAGGACTAGAGAACCAGAGGACCAGGACCAGAGGACCTGGATGCTAGTCTAGCTTCAGGTCTAGACTAGTCTAGCTTCAGGATCTAGAGTCTGACTTCAGGATCTAGAGCCTGGTTCTAGCCTAACGACTGGATTTATCTTGGATATGATTTGGCTTGACTGACTGACTTTAGAGCTTGATTTAAACGTGGTTAACCTAGCATCAAACCTCTTCAACATCAAGATCAAACCTCTTCAACATCAACATCAAACCCCTTCAACATCAAGATCAAACCTCTTCAACATCAAGATCAAACCTCTTCAACATCAACATCAACATCAAACTTCAAATCTCTCTCTTATCGAGAATTCATAAAAGTATCCAAACTTTAGAAAACAACTGAAAGATAAGTTTTTTTTCTAGAAAAATCGACGAGAGCCTTTTTTCATGAGTTTGTCTGCTTGAATCTCGTCTGCTTGAATCTTGAATCTCTTGAATCTCTTGAATCTCTTGAATCTCATCTTGAATATTCAAGTTTTCTTTCTACTTTTCTAAGCTTTCATCAAAATTAGAAAACTCTTTCTGTTTCTCACGAATTTTAAACGTGTTCATAAGAAAATGCAAACTTTACTTGCTTTAATCTATACTGCTTTGAAAAATGGGGAAGAAAACAGGGAAAGAAAAAATTGCTCATAACAAGAAAATATCTAATTTAGCGAATATCTAATTTAGCAAAATTTTAGTCTTTTCTTTTTAGGACAGCCTTTTCTTTCTGTTCTTTTTTTTTCACTCATCCGAATCGAAACTGAGTCAAAAGCTCATCGAATTGAATGGGAAATAATTCGGCCCGAATCGGAGCCAAAGGTTTGAAGGAAGAATCAATTGAACGAGTGCCAGAGAAACCATAGTTAAAAGAAACCATACCTAGCCTATTTCAAGAGCCACATTTGCTATTGTTTGCATAAATTCATTCCTTAGATCTTCAATCACTGCCGATAATCATTTCGCAGGATTCTTCCATTTGATTCATCGAGTTGTTTTTCCTCTTTTCAATGAGTGTTTAATTTATCTAACTGATTGAGCAACTACTCAATCGGCTCGATCGGCTCGATCAGCTCAATCAGCTCAATCAGCTCAATCAGCTCGATCAGCTCGATCAGCTCGATCAGCTCAATCAGCTCAATCAGCTCGATCAGCTCGATCAGCTCAATCAGCTCAATCAGCTCAATCAGCTCAAATCAGCTCAATCAGCTCGATCAGCTCGATCAGCTCAATCAGCTCGATCATTTTTCTATTAGAGTACTCTAAATACTCTAATAGAAAGAGAAAGAGAAAAAATATTTTTCGAGCAGTTTTCATGATTAATTTTAATTTATGTCGGAAGTTTTAAATGTCCTCGCGCGACGTCACATTCCAATTGACATCAGCGCCATTTGGCGGTAGTCGATGGGAGCGCCGCGTCGTCGTTTCTTTTTCATTTTCAAATCATTTCTTTTCATTTCAAATCATTTTGTTTTTGTCAGATTAATTGAAATTATTGTTTTATGCGATAAATTTGATGTTTCTTCTATTTCCATTCTAGCCGCCGAGTGGAGAATCCGGAACTTTTCGTAGCCTGACCACAAAGGCCAAATAAGATGTTTTGGGGAATTGAATGGAAATAACGGAAGCAAAGTTCATTTCCTGGACCGTTATAAAACTACATAACTAAATTTTTAACACAAATTTCCCTTTTCTGTTTCAAAATCATGATGTTTCAAAATCATTGAGAAAAACCGAAAAATATTTTCATTTCTTTAGCTTTAAAATCATTTCTTTCTTCGTCGTTTCTTTTTCATTTCCAAATCATTTTGTTTTTGTCAAATTAATTGAAATTATTGTTTTATGCGATAAATTTGATGTTTCTTTTTGAAATAAGAAAGAAATCAGTACTTTGTGCCATATTTTTGATTCTTTCACTTTTCTTTTACTATTCTAGGGGTAATCGAGGGCGCTGAACACGAATTTGACAGTTTTAGTAAAGGTTTTCAACTGAAAAACCGACATTTCGGCACGTTCGTTAGGCGAAGGACACTTTTGTTTTCTTCAAAATCACTTTTTCTGGCGTAGTTTTATGCGTAGATTCCGAAAAACATTTCTTTTTCATTCCTTTTCATTCCTTTTCATTCCTTTTCATTTCTTTTCATTCCTTTTCATTTCTTTTTCATTCCTTTTCACTTCTTTTTCATTTCAAATCATTTCAAATCATTTTCTTTGTCAGATTAATTCAAATTATTGTTTTATGCGATAAATTTTATGTTTCTTTTTGAAATAAGAAAGAAATCTATTTTCATTTAGGAGCCGAGTGGAGAAGCTGGAGCTTTTCGTAGCTGGACCACAATGAAGACCAAAACTAACTGTTTGATGGTTTGGGGAGTTGAATGGAAACAACGAAAGCAAGGCTCGTCTGCTGCACCGTTACAAAACTGAAAAAATGAAAGAAAACACAGGAATCGATAAAGGTTTGTGTTTTGATTTATCGTCAATATTCTAATAGGAGCATAGGAGCGTTGTGTAGTCTAAGTTTACTCTGAAACAAACACTCATATCTCGACATGAGTACGTTTGTTTCTGCGCGCGTTTGTATCAATGAAAGTAGAAAAGATGAGTAATTTTTTGGTATGCAACACAATTTTTTAGCTTTAACCAGCGCTTAGAAAAAATGATTGAAAAATGATGAAAAATCGGCTTTTTTTTTGCTACTTTTCAATCTTTGTTTGCGATGGTTAATGATAAAAGTCTGTGTTGTATTTCAAAAAATCACCCATTCTCTCTACTTTTATTTAATACAAACGCGCGCAGAAACAAACGTACTCACGTCGAGATATGAGCGTTAATTTGAGAGTGGCAAAAAACCGATTTTTCATCATTTTTTCTAAGCGCTGGTTAATGCTAAAATTATGTTTTATATCCAAAAAAGCACCCATTCTCTCTACATTAATTTGATACAAACGCGCGCAGAAACAAACGTACTCGTGTCGAGATATGAGCGTTGATTTGAGAGTGGCAAAAAACCGATTTTTCATCATGTTTTCTAAGCGCTGGCTAATGATAAAATTATGTTTTATATCTCAAAAAAATCACCCATTCTCTCTACATTAATTTGATACAAACGCGCGCAGAAACAAACGTACTCACGTCGAGATATGAGCTTCGAGATTTGAGAGTAAATTTAGACTACGCGACGCTCGAAAAAAGCCGATTTTTCACCATTTTTCAATTTTTGTTTTCTAAGCGCTGGTTAATGATCAAACTCTGTGTTATATCTCAAAAACTCACCCATTCTCTCTACATTAATTTGATACAAACGCGCGCAGAAACAAACGCACTCGTGTCGAGATATGAACGTTGATTTGAGAGTAAATTTAGACTACGCGACACTCCTCCCGGCTCTATCTCGACCACTAATCCACTCGCGAAAGATGTTAAAGTAGGCGTTTTATTTTTAATATCGATAATTTCGGTTGGGAAATGGGAAATCGTAGGGTTTGGGAATCGAACCTTTCCCCCACTAATGCAAACTAAATAGCTAGCTAATAAGTAAAAAACTAATTCCAAGTTTTTTCAATTCAAAAAATCTTTTTTTTTGTGCTTTCCTACTATTCTAAATATTCTAGCTTTACTTATGAGGAGAGACTTCCTTTTTTTGAACTAAAAACTTTACAGCATCGTCGCTTTGTCATTGATTTAGTCGAAACTTTCAAAATCCTCCGTTGTAAACAGATTAGCCCTTTGTTTATAGACTTTTCAAATTTACCGCGGTCAGGGCCCAGAAGTGGCTCTCCTTTTGCAAATTCCCTTTGCTTCTGCCTCTTTTCAAATTCATTTCCCGTTAGAGCCGCTAGATTATGGACTTGCTCCCAAACGACATACGAGAAATTCAGTCGCTTTTCATATTCAAGAAACGTATCGTGCTTTGTCTAGTGGCTCTTTGCCGTAAGTAATTGGCTTATTGTTTCAGTATGTTTGTTGATTAAGTATCCTGTGCATTTCCTTGTTTCTTTCCTTTTCCTTTGAATCAAGTATTATTTCCAGTTAGTTTCTAGGGCTTTCAATTTTTTTTTTAAAACTTACTTCGTTTTCCCTAAAAACTACCAATCTTGTTTTTTACAGTATCCAAAAAGGACGCAGAATCATCATAAAAAAACTGGGGTAAATACACTTAAAACACTTTTTTGGGGTAAATTTTTGATGTAGAATCCGAAAATACACTTAAAATTCGGGGGTTTCCTAAGAGAAAGTATCACTTTTCACAATAAACTGTAATAGCACCATTTAATGTTCACAATTTATTCCTCATTTCCGCATACAGAAAAGAAAAAAAAAGAAGAAAATCGACAAATTACTATTACAGAAAGAAATGAAAGGATTTTTAGAAAAAAAAAAAAGATTTTTAGAAATTTTCGGGGTCACCGGTTTGGGGCTTAGGTTTAGGCTACAAATTTAAAATATAAATTTATAAAAAATTTACACAAAATTCTCAACTAATCAAATCAGAAAAATGACTAGGAGAATGAAAATGTTTTGAAAAAACTTTGGGGATCAGATTTTACCAAAAAAATTGAGTGGGGCGCGCGCTGGTGGAGAAAAAAAATCTGTGTCGGGGGAGCTGGTGGAGAAAATCTGTGTCGGGGGTTTTTTTTTTATTTGGATAACATTTTAGTCGTTTTAGTTGCCTTCCAGGATTTGCATTAGGGTGATTTTTGGGTATGGGTAACGATAGAAAGAAGGAGAGAAAAGCCGCAATCTTTTTTTTTTTGGGCGACGATGCTGTGAATACCATCTAGAAATCTTTGTCCGCGACCCAGATCTGAAAAATTGACAGAGTTAGACAGAAGAGAGGCTACGGTGCAGTTTGCATTCATGACCAGCTGGCTTTTCTATTCGGATCGATTCGGAACATCGATTAGAGCTTTGCAAAATCTTTAGGATTTGGCTATAAATGCAATTTGGCATGCACAAACCCCGAAAAATGTGCTATAAATATAAAATTGTTCAAAGCTGGCACGCACGAAGCCCGAAAAAATGTGTTTGCAAAGGGGGTTTTTGTGTTTTTTTTTTTGGGTTACTTGACAAATTTGTGTCTCTACAAAATCCTAAACAAAGAATCCTTTTTTTTCCTCATTTTCTTCCCAAATCGCTTACATTGGCTGAAGAAGCGGCTCGTTGCACATTGATCGAGGATCGATGCTAAAACTAAGTATTTAGAGATTAAAAGAAAAGGCGGACCTTGGCGCGGATGAGGGTGAGGGAAGACTCGGCTTGGTCGGCTCTTCCCGAGGCATCCTCGAGTTCTCGTTGGTATCTGCAAATGGAGAAAATGATTTTTGAGCAAACTGGGAGGCACACGAGGCACGGGATAAGCAATATTGACAAATTTTCGGCTTTTATTGGCAACTCATTAAAGATGGTCAAAAGCTTCGCTTGCCAACTCATTGCAACAACGCTTGCCAACAGGTCAAAAGCTTCTCTTGGCAAAGGTCAGAAGCTATAGGGTGCCTTCCAGGATTGACAATTCTACTATTGCTGACCTGCGAACGCGTTGGATGTTCGACATAGCGACTCCCTCAGCCTCGTCCAATTGTCTCTTCTGGATGTTCATCTTTTCCATCAATCGATCAGCGGTGTCTTGAGCCATCACGTAGTTCTTGTGCTCCTGAAATTCATTTTCTTTATCTTTCACTTGTTCTCAACCTCGTCAACCAATTGTTGAACCTCCTTGATTCGTCGTTCCTTCTTGCGGAGTGAGGTTTGGGTCTCCTTATGTCTGAAAAATGAGTAGAAAATAGTACGTTTTTTACTCTGACTAGGAACCATGGAGGAACTAAGTAGGAAACTTCTACAGTAGCCCTTCTTTTTTCCCTTTTCATTCTATCAACTCACCGGCGTGTTTCCTCATCCAAAGCTGTCTCCAAATCGCGAATTCGGGTCTCCAACTTGGCAATAACTCGCTTTCCTCCTAAAGTTATTTATGTAAAGTGAAAAATAGAGCCTTTTCTTGACTTGGACTATCAATATTTTCAGATCTTCACTAAATCTTTAGAATGATCGACTTTTTCAGCTTTAGCTTTAGAATTACCGTCTTTTTTTCAACTATGATAACTCGATTCTCCACTGCGGCAGCTTCGGCCTCGAACCCACCCAAAAGTGCGGCAGCTTCGGCCTCTTGGATTTGCACTTGCAATTGTTTCACTTGTTCCTCAAGAGCTCTCCTCAACGCATCAATCTTGGCGGCATGCTCTTGCTCTTGGCGGAGTTGATCCATAGCGCGGGCCACATCCTGGATACTTTTTTTAAGATCTCTTTCTTTGTAGCTTTAATAGGAATTTGGATTTTGGATTTTCCATTCTCCATTCTCGATAAGCTTTAAATAAGACTCAATCCGCGCACCTGCATGGCGCGATTGGCGCGCTCATCAGCGGCATGCCATTCACGTTGTGCGTGAGACAAATCGGCTTGCACTGTCGACAACTCAGTCTCCAACGAGTTCTTGGCCTAAATATTGATGGAGGATGGAGGATGTAACGAATTTCTTCAAACTTGAACAAGTCCGTTGTTGATTTGTTGGAGTTCGACCACGCGACTGTTGGCCTCTTCCAAGTCAACCTGAAAACATGATTTATAGACTCTACGAGCGATTGTCAATGCTTCGTGTGTTCCAGGATTCCCAAAAACTCGCCTCAGCCTGTTTGCGAGCGCGAATGGCGTTGTCGAGAGCGGTCTTCGCCTCTTCGAGCTCCGACGCCAAAATCGAAACCTTCCTAAACACGGAATTTTTTTTACTAAAAATTATTACAAACCGTTGTGTGGTTGCCAGACTGTCCAAAGTGTGTTGCAATTGACGTTGCACGTCCTCAACGGTAGATTGAAGAACCTGAACGTGTTCAATGTCATGTCGAGTACTCAAAATGAAGGCAAGAGCCCGACATTCGTCCCAAAAGCTAGTGTGACTTCCAGAATTTCCAAATTCTCACCTTGATTTGCTCGCTCTGCTTCTTGATGGTTTTCTGGGCCTCAATGTTGGCACGGTTCAAGTTGTCGACGGTCATCTCCAACTCGGCGATCTCAGCTTGGTACTTCTTCTTGAGACGAGCGACTTCGGCCTAGAAATTTCGATGGTAAATAGATAAATGATCAAGATAGACTCACTTTCGTCTACAAAAGTTGTCTACAAAGTCGTCTACAAAAGTCACTCACCTTAAGTCTAGCCTCAGCGTCAGCCAAAGCGGCGACAAGGCGATCGATCTCGAATTGGAGATTCCTACGCATCGCTTCCATTTCCTCTTCCTTAGCGGCCAAGCGCTTCTCCATTTCGACGCTAGAAATTTGCGATAAACTCTACACTAAATACCGTAATCCAGCTAATCTAGATAAATAATAATAATAATAATGATTTGATCTGTCTTCGCACTTAGCGCAGATCACAACCCGCTTCCACATTTACTGAGGCAGAAGTGTAGTTGTCGTAGCCGATGATACTCCGATGGCCGGGCTGGGGCGCTCGGAGGGGAACCCATGGGAGTCGAACCCACGACTAACCCGCGCCGACGTTGCTCAACTTGGCAGATCGGACGGGGTCGACCACAGACCCTTCCCTTTCTGGGCCCCAGCTAATCTAGACTGAATACCTTATTCTAGGCTGAATACCCAATCTACACTTCTGCAAATACCGTAATCCAGCTAATCTAGACAGAATCTAGCTTCGGCACTGGAGATTTCCATCTAAACTCTAAATGCAAAAGAACCCGTTCTAATGGTCCGTTCTAGACTCATCTTTCTGTTATTTCTAGACTAAAACGATTAATTTCTTTCTTTTTTTTCATTCACATCATTTTCTGTATATGTTCAAGATTTCATGGTTGATTGATAGATAATTTTTTGATGAATGCTCAAAAATGGCTGGTGATTGGTCTTGGGAAATTTAGGGTTTTGAATAAACCTTACAAAATGATTTTTTTCTTTACAGTCTTTTCTAGAAGCTAACTTTTTGCTATGTTTAAGTAGATTCAGTTCAAAAAAAAAATATTAAATACGTTAATCTTTTCTATAAGATCATCGATAAAGGAGCGCCCAAATTTGACCAAATTTTTTTTGACCTACCATTTTTTGACCACCCATTTTTTGACCTACCATTTTTCAACGTACATAAAAAATTATCTATTGATGCTATGGTCATAAAATCTTGAACATATCTAGAAAATGATATGAATTTTGATTTAAAAAAAGAGATTAATCGTTTTCGTCGGCAAGCAGCAGAAATATGAGCCTAGAAAGAAGGGCTATCGATTTCTGGTCATCGGTAATTTGGGCTTTATAATTTTGATGTTTCACAAAATTACTCCAGCTACCAAATCCATAGCATGCGATTGATGAACTTGGTGTTTTCTATTTGTTGATCCACAATGGTTCCAATATCCAATATGGTTCCAATCTGGTTCTAATCTGGTTCCAATATGGTTCGGATCCAGTTCCAATATACTGTGCTCCAAATCTTGTCGATTATTTGAGTTTGATAAATCTTGATCAGTTACTGTGATTGATGATCTGTGATCTGTGAGCTTTATTGTCTCATATTTTGGGCTCTAACTAGCTTATTATTGGATACTATTGAATCTGGATCTTGGCTGCTATATTGCTGCTATTTGGACATCGATTTGATAAGCTAAATTCCCACCGAAGAGCGACAAGTTCGGCCTGGGCGCGTTGGGCGCGGTTCTCGGCGTCGCGGCGTTGAGCGTCGGCCTCCTAGAAATTGGGGAGCATTAGACAATGCTTTTGTTTGTTTGTTTGTTTTGTCCTTTTTGTCCAAACCTTGAGCGCCGATTGGAGCTCGCGAATCTCTCCGGCCAAACGCGCGTTCTCCAGATCCAACTCGTGGAGTTTACGGTTTGCGTCGGCAAGCGCCTCCTTGGCCTCGTGGAGATCATCTAGATTTTAGAAATTAGCATATTATGAAGTAAAACAGGATTTCACCTTGCAATTTTTTGTTTTCTCTTGCCAAAGCTTCTTTCTGTTCGACAGCTTTCTCGTACAAGGCTTTCAGCTTTTGCACCTCGGCGACAGCAGCGCTGAATGGAAATTTGAATGGATTTGAATGGATTTGAAAGCATTTGAAAGCATTTGAAAGCATTTGAATAGAAATTTACCGGAGTTCTCGAGTGACTGCGTCGATCTCCTTGTTGAGCTCATCGATTCGGACCTAAATTTTTGATTTTAAAGCAAAATCTTGATTGTACTATGTACAACTAGTTACAATGCTACTTTAACTACTCTAGCATTGTAACTAGTTGGCTACTGTATCCAGTGCTATTCAGAATGTCCACATTTTAGAAGAAAATCGGTGATTGACGCCGATTTAGGCAAAAAATGCGCTTCGCTTTCTCACCATTGGCTTACACACCTCAAGCTATGAAAGCAAGAGGGCAGGACTTGGTGACTTGAAAACTTGGAATAGGGTGACATCCAGTATTGAATTTTATCAGGATATCAAATGCTGATTCAGTAAAGTGGTCAAGATTTTCGAGTGATCACCTTTTGCTCGACCACTTGACGCTCCAAGGCTTCTCTGGCGCGCTCGAGGATGGCAATCGTGCCGTTAGCTTTCTCCAAATCGACGATAAGCACCTCGACCTAGAATTTGCGAATTATTTTACAGATTTGACTCTAAAATGGCCAACCTCAGCAGCCAAGCGACTCTTGGCCTTCTCGAGTTGACCGACTTTCTGCAACATCAACTCGATTTGCTCCTCGTATCTGAATTTGGTGGTTTAATCCCTGTTGTGCGTTCCAATTTGAAAGATTAGCCACCAGAAAACTCACTCGGCTTGTTTCTGGAGCATCCTCTTGCGCAAGTCCTCGACCTCCTCTTGGTGGGCGAGCACCTGTAATTTGAGTGTGCTTGTCGAAATTGTACTAGCAGCTACGGTGTATTCCAGCTTACACTTAGGAATTGGTTTTAGGGTTGATTTACGGTCGATTTACCGTCGACTTTTTGTTCACTCACCTCCGAGTCGTATTTCGTCTTCCATTGGCCGATCTCAGTGTTGGCCAAGTTGAGCTTGTGCTCGGCGTCTGAGCGAGCTTGTGCTTCCTCATCTAAAGCCGATCGAACCGAGTCCAACTCAAGTTGCACTTGGTGAAGTTGGTTTTGGATTTGGGCGCGTTCCTAGAAATCGAGTTCTTTAGAAGTGTAGCTAGTCTTTAAAAGTTTATTTTTTATTTTTCCGTACTGTAATCAGATATTACAGTAGGCCTAAACGCTTTAGTGACTTCCAGAAAACCCTCAAAAAAATTGTTTTGATCAAGAATTCTTGAAACTGAGCTAGGGGCTCAGCCTAGAAGCTTTTAAGTCGTCACTGGCTTGTATGCGAAATTTCGAAACCCCCTATAACTCTGCAATTTGCAATGCAATGCAATCTGCCATCCATGCTTTCCTTTGTGTGTGTTGTGAATGTTGAGTTGATCTGCTTTTTGGGTTTTTTTCTTTGGTTCAGCCGAAAGCCTAGAGGCACTGTGTAAAGCTCGGCTGGATGAGTGTGTTTGAAAGAGGCAAAAAGTGGGGGGAAAGCAAAAGGCAAGGGAAATGCTGAAAAAATAAAAAGAATGAATCTAAAGACCCGGCTGTGATTGAGAAGAATTGACAGCCGATTTTTTTGGGAGAAACCTAGAGGAAAAAGAAAGGCGAAATGCAATCTTTTTTGGGGTAGCTGCGTGAATTGCATCGATTTTCTGGGGCTAATCTCCAAATTTCTTAGCGATTTTGCCAGTATTGGAAGGCATGGATTTGATTTGCATTTGAATCTTTGAAATTTTATGCAGATTTGTCTCCCCACCCTCTCAGCGTCTTCTAAACGGCGGCGAGCCTCCTCGAGTTGTTGAGCAAGGGTGTACTTGACGTGTTGAAGGTTGTCGAGTTGGACTTTTTGGTCATGCACCTGGAATTCGATAATTGGATAAATAACTACTAAACCCGAGGATCTAGGAATCCCAGGGTTCTAAACCTGGAGACCTAGGGATCTCAGGGTTCTAGACCTAGGGATCTCAGGGTTCTAGACCTAGGGACCTCAGAGTTCTAGACCTAGGGATCTCAGGGTTCTAGACCTAGGGACCTCAGGGTTCTAGATCTAGGGATCTCAGGGTTCTAGACCTAGGGACCTCAGAGTTCTAGATCTAGGGATCTCAGGGTTCTAGACCTAGGGACCTCAGAGTTCTAGACCTAGGGATCTCAGGGTTCTAGACCTAGGGACCTCAGAGTTCTAGACCTAGGGACCTCAGGGTTCTAGATCTAGGGATCTCAGGGTTCTAGACCTAGGGACCTCAGAGTTCTAGATCTAGGGATCTCAGGGTTCTAGATCTAGGGACCTCAGAGTTCTAGATCTAGGGACCTCAGGGTTCTAGACCTAGGGATCTCAGGGTTCTAGATCTAGGGACCTCAGGGTTCTAGACCTAGGGACCTTAGGGTTCTAGACCTAGGGATCCCAGGGTTCTCAGTCCATTGTACTTAACAGCTATCTCATATCGATCCATTCTCATTGTCAAAAAGTAAAATGATATCCAGATTTGAGATTACGATATAAGAAAGAGAATTTTAAAGAACGGATTTCAAGAAAAATTCTCAAAGTCATCTAGAGCACTGTGAAAAGTTTAATTATAAAAAAATATTGAAATTTTTAGAATAAAAAGCTAAAAATGCTCTAAGCTGGAACAGCTTAGAGATTACGGTAGAAAAAATTAACTTTTAAGAACCAGAATTTGCGAAAAATTGCTAGAGTCGTAAAGATTGAAAAAATCCAGCGAAAATCCGGAGTTTCCACTTCTGAACCCGACTAACCTCTTTCAACAAATCGTTGTTCTCATTTTGGAGACGTTGGCGTTGCTGTTGAGCGTCGTCCAAAGCCCTGAACAAGTTTTACAATACTACAGCAACAATGTGGCACATTGCTATGGTCAGCTGTAATTCTCCAGCTAGTTCTCCAGCTAGTTCTCCAGCTAGTTCTCCAGCTAGTTCTCCAGCTGACTAGGACTACGGTACGACAGATAGGACAGCTTTCGGTACGACAGATACGACAACTTTCAATGCTAGAAACTGATTCCGGCAAACCGACTTGTTAAGGTCATCACATTTGTTTCTGAACTCGATGGAGGTACGCTCGAAATTCTCGGCAGCTTTCTCGGCCATATGCTGAAAGAATAAGGATATGTGCCTTCCAGAAAGACCTTTTCCTTTTCCACTCACTTTGTCCTTTTGAAGAATGTCGATCGATGAAGTCAACTCGATCACTTCGTGTTGCAATTTTTGACGCTCACGGTCCAATTTTCCTACAAAATTTGCATATTAGTCGAGTGCATTGGCTTTGAATGTAAATTAGATGCTGGCTTCTTTACCATTTTTCTTTTGAAGTTGCTCGATTTGGTCTTGATAGTCTTGGAGTGAGTCGGTGTGCTTCTTTCTGAAAAAGTTGAATATTTAAATTTTTAACTATTTGGAACTATGTGGTGACATCCAGAATCGATATCTAACTAATCGAAATCTTGAAAACATCCATTTTCCAATAAGATTTGCACTTGAACTCTCAAAGCAGTCAAAAGAGAACAGTTGAAAATTTGAGTTTCCCTTCTTTGATTCTCTTCTACTCACCTCCAGAATGCACAAATCTTTTTGAACTTCTCACAAACCTCAACACAGACATCGCATCTTCGCTTTCCACCTGGGACTCCTCGAGGAGCTTTCGGAGTTTTGTCAATTCGGATTCGCGTTTGCGATTGGCCTCGATTTGTTGATCGGTGGTGCCTGGAATTGGGGAACCAAGTTTAGAGAGATAAGGAACCAAATTTAGAGAGTCGAACCAGCAGTCAAGCCAGCAGTCAAGCCAGCAGCTAAGCCAGGTCAAGAGATAGGGAACCAAATTTAGAGAGTCGAACCAGCAGTCAAGCCAGCAGTCAAGCCAGCAGTCAAGCCAGCAGTCAAGCCAGCAGTCAAGCCAGCAGCCAAGCCAGCAGTCAAGCCAGCAGCTAAGCCAGGTCAAGAGATAGGGAACCAAATTCAAAGAGATTAGGAACCAAATTTAGTCGGATAGGGAACCAAATTTAGAGAGATAGGAAGCCAAATTTAATTTTTGGAATTGAATTGGAAAGGTGATTCCAATTTTTGAGACTCTCTCCATCTATGTTTGAGAAGTTAAAAACATTTGAAAGCTCACCCTCAGCATCCTCAAGACGATCAGTCAACGAGATGAGTTGCACGGACAAATCGGCACGCTCGCGCTCGATCTTAATTCGTGAATTGGAAGTTGTAGATGAAAAATGGAATAAGAATAAGAGCCGAATGGGGAAACGAAAAAATTCTTGACAAAATGGCTTTAGATAGCTTTTATTGTGCAAAGAATGGCCTTGGATAGCTTTTATTATGTGAATTTTAACTCCAGCTTCAGTTTAAGTTAACTAATCTTCGATCTGGATATCATAAAAGGTATTGCAATTATAAAAATCGGTAACTTTTTTTTGAAATGCAAAACTCACTCGGTTGCGCAATTCGCGTTCGGTCTCCAAATCCTCGTGCAGAAGGCGGATTTTGTCCTGAAATTCGAGAATTAGTCAATTCTGGAGTGCACAAAGGGGGAACGATGAAACATTTAAGAACTCTTTTCGCATTAAGCAATACTTCCAAATCGTGAAGACTTCTTGTGAGGGATAGAATTGTCGGCGGATTATTCCCATCCCAGTAACGGCCCATTTTTTTTATTGAAAATTTTCAGCTTTCAGAAAATTTAATGGAAATTGTCGTTTCTTAAGAAAAATTCGTGAAAATGACGCAAAATCGGGAAAATTTGTCGAGAAAATTGTCGATTTCTAGTAAAATCGATCTGTATCTAAACAAATATCTCCGAGTTTTCGTGTTTGATTAGTTTTTTTGTCTTTTCTTTGATGTTGTAAGTTTGATTTAGTACCTGGACGGTTAAAAGTCGATTTTAAAGAGGATTTCTAGCTGAGAGTCGAACTAGAAGCGTTTCAGTGAACGCCAATCGTGCTAGCCACTTCTTTGCTTGAGTAATCGTCTAGAAGACGCTATTCTGGAGCGCATGCTAGCGATTTCGACCAATTTTAACCAGTTTTCAGCTAAAATAGCGCAGGCACTTTTCAGCATTTCGACTTCAGTGACTTTCTCCGGTCCTCCCCTGATAAACACCTTTTCTAATAGGCTAGGTTGATTTCTATGGCGGTCACATCACTCAACTAGGCTCTCTCCGGGGTCTTTGGGGGTGATCGGAGAAAGGGAAGTTCATTCATCAGTGAGAGACACGGAGAGAGCCGCTCTCGAGCTGTGTAGCAAACAGAGAACACGGGCATGCCTCCCCTCTTTTCTCCGATATCCACCCTAGCCATCACCCTATCCCTACAGTGGTGAAAAGAAGATGTTTTCTTAAGTTTAGGGATCTTCGCTAGTGTTCAACTTGGCTTGAAATTCAAAATGATTTGAAACGCTTGGAATTTAAGTTCAATGCTTTGCTTGTGCTCCAGCTCAATGCTGTGCTTGTGCTCCAGCTTGACTCCAATCTCGTCAGCGTCACTCACCTCCAATCTCGTCAGCGATCCTAAATCGGCGATCGCCGACGAAACGCCGCTCAACACGGCCATTGACGTTGATTTGTAAAGGGACATTCTGGAAATGGTTGCGAATTATTGAAAATCATTGCAAATCATTGCAAATCATTGCAAATCACTTTGTGACATCCATAGTTGTCGAAAATTGGTTTTAAAACCCTTTTTTACCTTGTAGTGTCGTTTCTTCCCCGGGCTTGGTGTGGGCGCGCGCTCCACTGAAATGTTGGAGTTGTAATCGAAATTCAAAATTGTCAAAAAGTAAAATGATATCCAGCTTTAAGATTACAATATAAGAAAGAGAATTTTAAAGAACAGATTTCAAGAAAAATTCTTGAAGTCAAAAAATCAAGAAAGAAAAGTTTAATTATAAAGAAAATATTGAAATTTTTACAATAAAAAGCTAAAATGCGTTCCAGATTAGAGATTACGGTAGAAAAAATTGACTTTTAAAACAGCAGGATTTGTGAAAAGTTGCTAGAGTCGTAAATATTGAAAAAATCCGGCGAAAATCTCATCTGTGAACCCTTTTCTTTAAGGATTTGGCTAGCTTTTCGCTTTTCTTTTGCTTTTGTGACTTTCTGGGATCTTTTGGGATCTTTTGGGATCTTCTAAACGATCATCCTTTCTCTTCAATCTCGAGTGGAGTGACCGTTCTTATCTTTTTTCAGATCCAGAGAAAAGATTGCTAATCAATATCCTCATAAAATGCTTTTAAAATCTTTGAAAATCGATTTAGAAGTGATTCTGGAAAGCACAAGGAAAGTTTTGAGTCAAATTTTTTGAAATGCAAGCAATTTGTAAGAATTGCTCAAGTTGCACTGGAGTTTGAAGCAGATTCTTGACAAAAGAAATAACGAATTGAAAAGTTATTCAGCTTAAAAGCTATTCTGGAATACACAAAGGAAAATTGTAATAAAAATTATGAAAATAATCAATTATAGAAAAAATCAATTTTTTTTTCCCAAAACTCAACTGGATTACGGTAACTTTGTTGCATTTTAGAATAGGGATACTCGAACTTTGAAAATCGAATACTTTTAATCAAAAAATTATGTACTGTATTCCAGATTAAGCTTTGAAATTAGAAAAATATAAAAATAACCACTCAGCACGTGGTTTCGAGCGAGGAAAAGAAAAAGAAAAGAAGATTGGGTGAAAAGAAGATTTTTGAGAAAGTCGTGGATGATTTTCGTTGGCTCTGGGGCTCTCCTGGATCGCAGTCTATCCGCGTGAATGGTCGGCCATCGATGAATCGGCTTTTCACGGTTTGGGTTCTTTCCCCTCCTCTATTGCTTAGGTTAAACAACTCAAGACTGCCCCCTCCTCTCCGCCCTCAGTCCCCCCTCAGCCCCCTTTTCTACTTGTTTAGCTTTCTTTTTCCCCTTTTCTTTGAGATATCCAATTGATTTTGTGGGAGAGTGAAGAGGTTTTTGAGATTTGAAATCAATGAAATCAAAAGAAAATCAAAAAATATCCAATCGAAATCTAAGAAGCGCTAAAATTAAATTCTAAGCTTTTCAGAGAAAATCTGAAGACAAAAATCTTCAATCTGGAGTACACAAAAGCTAATTAATTTTTTGATTTTATTGATTTCAATTTAAGAAAATTTGATGTAATGACAAAAATGAGTTTATCGCATTTTATAGAAAAAGAGATGAAAAATAAAAAGTTTTAGTGATGAAATAGATTTATCTGGAAGGCACAGAGGAAATATGATTCATCAAATTCATCCAAATTTCAATTTCAAGCTTTCCAAGTCTATAATTTGATGTCTACAGTCTACAACTCTAGTAATACTAGCGAAATAATAGACCAATTCAATTCAGTGATCAAAAAGAAAGGAATTGAGTAAACCGCTTGCTGCTATCCATGAAGCAATTTAGAAAAAGATTCATTAAAAGAAAGAAAGGAGACGAAAAGTAAGAGAGAACGATTTGAGCAAGAGAGAACGATTCCGAGAGATCGAGTGGGGGCTTGGCCTGGGGGGGCTGATCGGGGCAAGTGTGTAAAGAGGATTGTTCAGCGATTGTTGAGAGGTGACGGAGATGAGGAGACGGAGAGAAGGGAAGGAGAGAAGGGAAGAAGAGAAAGGAAGAAGCACTCCTCCCACCTCCACATTTCTGGGTCTGGGAGCCTGAGACTCTGGGGAACAAGGAAAATGTGAGCAAGAGGGGAACAAGGGACACAACGAGTACCAAGAGCTTTAGGTGGTCCTCAGGTAAGCTAGAGCCAAAACTGGAGGCTCTAGTGCCTAGTACTCACCTAGTTCTGTAAGAGTTCGGTCCCAATCAGAACCTTGATGGGTACAAGGAGACTCTGGCAAGACCCTAGACACTCAGTACTCCCCAGGGTCCTTAGAGTCTGGTCTTGGAGCTGGATACCAGCTCAGGACTCAGAAACAGCTCAGGCAAGACCAGCTGGTTTCTATCCAGCTCCAGGACTTGATCTACCTCTACCCCAACTTAATCTATTCATAAATTATACCAATTTCAAGTGGACTTCAAATGTGTTAAGGTTTCTTCTTTAGTTCTTGAGGATAGTGAGGAGGCAGAGAAAGACCTTGAAAGAGCAACAAGGACCTTGAACTCAGAGGACCGGCTGTTTGAGAGATATCGAAAGAGAAAGCTGCCTCTGGGTCTCAGCAACTTTACGAGAAGGAAAGAGCGGGAAAAGCTCGGGAATAGCGATTTGAGTAGATATCGATTTGTGGACCTGGAGCTACCGTAATCCGAGCAGCTTAAGGATACCTTAGGTTTGGCTTTGGGTTATAGAACTATCTGGATCAGCTAGGAATCGGATCTGACTCTGGACTGGGTTCTGGCCCGGGCTTGACCATGGACCTGAGCCTGGTCCTGATCCTGGACCTGACCCTGGTCCTGATCCTGGACCTGACCATCGACCTGGACCTGACCCCGGCCTGACCCTTGCCCTGGCCTGCTCCTGGGCCTGATTTGACTTAGCAACATGGCTTATAAGTCTAGAGCCTATTTGGGAAACTCTAGACTAGTGTTGGGAACTGGATAGACTAGGAAGTACGTAGCTATAGTACGGTGTAGTCAAGATTAAGACCAACTTCTCTCAGCCGTTGTTCAGCTTCTTCGGTGTGTTCCAGCTCGCATAAATCCAACCCGAAATAGATCTCCTGGGGACCTGAACGAGAATTTAAGCTAGATAAGCGTAAATCTTGTATCTTTAAGCTTGATAAGCTTAAATCTTGAATCTTTGAGCTAGATAAGCTTTTGTCGTTATTAAATTCATTGTTGGAGTACTGTAAAACTGACGATTTCTCAAATTTCCTGGTCCCATTGAGTGATTTCTTGGCCTTGATCGAGTCACTCTTTTCTCTCGTCTCTCCTCTTTGTACTCGACTAAGGAATAGCTTTGCGAGGATCTGGAGCCCAACTAAAATCATTTATCCAAAAGTTTTCAAGGTTTTTGGGAATTTATGGAAGGCATTAAGGGTTTATAGATGCTTATAGATGGTTTATAGATGCTGTTGGTTATAGATACGGTTCCTATTTTGATCTAATACGGTTCCAATACGGGTCCAATACGGTTCCTATTTTGTTCCTTTATAAATAAATGCTTTATTCATGCTTTATTCATGCTTTATTCAATAGCTGACATTATTGAGCCTGGATTGTTATACTTGTGAAAAACTTGCCATTTTCAACTCGTTTAACAGCTCAAATTCTTCGATGCGCTTCAGAATTCGGGAATTTTTTGGGTTTTTAGCCCATAGATCATTTAAAGCCTCCTAAAAATGCGATGAACTCGAAAAAATGGGACAACGACTTGCCTTGACGTCGAAAAGTCGCATTCGTTTTTACAGAAAATGCAGAAATACTCAACAAATGCCATTATCTAGCTCTTTGTTGTCGAAAATTTGAAAAAAATGGAAAATCTGTCGTTTTTGAGTGTGAAAAGCGATGAAAAGACAAACTCTGAGTCATTTGCGGCTTTTTCATGTCCGAAAAAATCATTTTCTAAAAGATCTATAAAAATATGGATAGCATAGTATCTAGAAAATTCCTGGAAACAAAAGATTAAGACCAAAAACGAGAAGTAAAAAATGAATTCTCGATTTTGTCGCAAAAACAACCCTTCAACTAAAAAATATTCAGTTAATAAATAGAAAATTTTGAGCCTGTAACGCAAGTATATAACCACGGAAAGTAGCCCAAAAATCATTTTCGCTTCTCCCTATTTGGGGCGGTTTTTTCAAAATTTAAAAAACCCCATTTAATTTTTTTATGATATTTCGTTTTGCTTTGTTTTCAATTTTATTTTGAAATTATAGGAACCGTATTGGAACCGTACTGGAACCGTATTGGAACCGTATTGGAACCTTATTTGTTTCATAATAGGAACCGTATTGGAACAGTATTGGAACCTTATTTGTTTCATAATAGGAACCGTATTGGAACCTTATTGGAACCGTATTGGAACCGTATCGGAACCTTATTTGTTTCATAATAGGAACCGTATTGGAACCGTATTGGATGACTGGTTTTGGAGCATCGAATGTTGTTGTTTGACTTTTGCTTATTGATAGCATGATTGCTCATTAAACAAATGTGGGAACTATGTCGTTAAATAGATAGAATTGCGGTGATTGACGTTGAAATAGTATGTTAAGGCTTAGACTTTGTAACTTTAGTAACTTTTACTTCCTTACTTTCTTCTACCTTACATTTTTATATTTAGGTCGTGGTTCGTCCGGTTTCGGCGGCGGCGCAAGTGAAGGAAAGACCGATTTTGGAGGAAACGAAGGGGAAAACAAGGAATTCGGATCGTGAGAAAACACTAGCTTCGGATCGAGTTGGAATGCGGGCATTTTTGAAGGTATTTTGATTCTGTTTTTCTCTTCAAAGTGTAATCGTTTTATTTTTAGATACAACGCATTCATTGAATCCATTCTACCGAAGCTCCTTTCAAATTCGCCAAGCGTTCGGATACTTTACTTTACTTTTCTTTTCATTTTTTACCCATTTAGAGGTTCTAGAAGCTTATGTTTTTTGAGAGCGTTGATTTGTGACGTATAAAAAGTTAGTGCTCAGCTCATTAAGTTAGTGCATTTGTTTTGAAAAGTTCAGCAGAACAGAAGTTGATCTTCAAGCTTATTTTGATTAGCTGTTTTGATTATCATTGTCATTTGCTTATCTTCTATTGCTTACCCTCAAAAAATAATTTCCGACGTTTTCTATTTGACGCTCACTTCGGGATACTGTAGCGGTAAAGGAAAACGAAAAAAAAAATTTTCTTTTTTTTGTCGCCGACAAAACGCTTCTTTTGGTCATTTTTCTTCGTTTCCTTGAAATTCTAATGAAATTTTGATTTTACTTGCGCAAATGATTTGGATAACGATAGATTTGCGGCAAATCCATCGTTAACACACTTTCCCAATATTGGCACTGACATTTGTAATCAGGGAAAGCTTAAAAGGTCAAGACTCCATCATTGTCATTTGCTTATCTTCTATTCGATTTGCTCATTTTTTGTGTAGACTACATCTTTATCATATTTAAGTAGTGCATTTGTTTATGTTCAAGATATTTTGATTCTCTGTTTTTTTTTATTTTCTTCAAAGTTTAATCGCTTTATTTTCAGATAGAGATTTCGTGGTTCAATTCGGCAAGCGTTCGAGTGCTGTTTGAAATGAGAGATTTGACATCATTTTCAATAGAAAGGCTATGCTTGGACCTGAAGTTGGAAATCTTAGAGCAAATGGACGCAAAAGATGTCGAGTTGGCCAAGGTGAATCAAGGGTTTCAAAGAATGCTTTCGAGAGGTGCGTGCATTGTTTTTGGTCAATAAGTGGCTGAGATATGGACTGAAGGCAATACTACTCGGCTAATAAGTTCTCCTGTTCAAAATCGGCTTCACGAAGGATTGCATTTACGTAATTCACTTTCATCTTGGTCATATCGCCGACTTTTTTTGCCTTCCGCATCCTTTGTACTTCTACCTCAATGAAATGCTCGTTTATTGCGAATTTCTGTTAAGTTTCACCAATTTTCTATCGCTTTTGCGGATAATTTTCGGATCTACCAATTAGCTCAGCTAAAATTGGCTTACTCATTGTGCCCCCAAATGATCCTTTTACAATTCCCCTTATCCGTAAAGTATCTTTTATTTTTATTAATTATTCGTAATTGTAATTATTTATCTATTGATAGCTTTTGTTATCTTTTGCCGTTGCAGCAATCATTTCTGCGTTATGTTAATTTCTTTATCTTTCTCTTATTACGTTTTTGTTGTTGTTAAAAATAAATCTATGGATAACTTGCTTAAAAATGGTTTTTGCCGGTTTAATAACCGTTAATTTGCACAAAATAGATAACAGGCAAAGCAAATTGTTTATCTCATAGTTAAGGAGGAAAAGTATCGATTGCTAGATCGTTTTCATTTCAGTTTCTGCCCGAATGCCACCAATGTTAATGCGGAAGAGCCGATTTTTGCCATTTCCGGAAGCGATTTCAAGGCACGAATCTTTCGGATACTCGCATAAGTGATTTCTCGTCTTTTCGTTGATTTTTAATATTTTGAGGCAAAGTTATTCAATTTTCATATTATTTGTTGTGTTTTGCTGGGTTTTTGCTCCTTTTTCATTCACCTTTTATAAATAAACGTTTTATACTTTGTTTTTTTTTGTGTGGCTTTACGTAAATGCAATATAAAATTACTTTGTGAGAGAAAAACTTGAAATTAGTGAAAAATCGGAGTACGTGAACAAGATGATGGGAATTGAATAAATTCTGAAATTCAAGAGTTTGGCACTGTTATGCCTTAGAAATGCTCTGTTTGACATGTTTAAGTGCTTATCAGCGCTAAAATTGCTCTCGAAAGCTTTATACAGGCTTGTTAAACGTGTTTGCGCGTTTTAGCTCATTTTCAAAGTTCATTCGAGAAATTTGCGAACGTTTGAGTTTATAGGACACTTTTTGATTGCTTTAACTAACTTACTCCCTTTTGTCTTTCTCGTTATCCGTAAAGTACCGCTTTGTTCTTTAAATTTAATGATATTTCTTAAATTTCAGGCGCAAAATGACCGAAAGAAGCCCAAAAGGGAATGATCCAGAAAAGGAGAAACAAAACGACGGGGATGGCTATCAGGGAAATAAATCGATCAAGGATTTACCGTTGGAGTTGATCGAGAAGATGGTGCGACGTCTCGATGTGGAAGATGTACAGAAAGTGATGATGTTGAATAGGAAACTCTACGCGAGCTATGCCGGGGATCCATCGATCGTTTTTGGAAAGAAAGTTGCTCTGGTTTCTTTGACGGAGAATCTGAATTGGATCAAGAAGTTCGAGGATTCACCGCCCATTCAATTGGATGCCAATCTGCTTCCTTTCATCAAACGAATCAATTCATGCTATGAATTGAAGGTGTTGTTCAAGCGGAAACCCCTCATCCCCTTCAAGAAGCGAACCCCTCATCCCCTTTGATCAAACGAGTGGCTTCAGGTGACGAATTGTGTATTTGGACCGGTGTGGGCCCGTGTGACATCGATGAAATTCATAAAACGAGCCTGAAGCAGTTGAAGTCGGTAAATCGTCTGGAGCTTGCCGTGGAGTCAATCATTGGTCTCACAAAGTTCTTTACCCATTTTCATGCATCCGTCAACGAGTATGCAAATATAGACATTAGAATCAAGTCATTCGAAAAAGATCAATCAGTCAGCGATCTTCTCGGAAATTTCATTGAAACGCGATTGACGGATTGTGAAGAAATCAGACTGGAGTGTTCCTTTGTAGAGCTCTTTCGCGTTTGCTCTCAGGCTCTGAAAAAGACTCGGGTTAAAATGATCGAAATGAAAGAGGGCAATCTCTTCTTGGCCGTTCAATGGATCGTCAAGCATGGAATCCCAAGCAAAATGCCCGAAGCTGGCTTTTTTACTTGGACCTTTATTTCAGGCGAAAAACTGGATGAGATCATTTCATCTCTCACGAAGTATCCTGGAATGGAAGAAATCGTTGGAGAAAATCGCGTGCCTTTACTTCAACAGGCAAAAAAATTGTGGGACTATGGAGATTTTGACAAGGTGGCTTTATGCCTCCGACAAAAAATCGACTTGACGAAGGATTGCATTTACGTAATTCATGGCGTAGAACGTTACGGTTACTTTGGTGTGAAATATTACATGGAATTTTATGCCTTCTACATCCTTTCTACTTCTATAGAATGATTGTTTTTTTGGGATTTCTGTTAAGTTTCACCAATTTCCTATTGTTTTTGAGGTAATTTACGGATAATGGTCTTGCCAATCAGTTCAGCTAAACTTTGCTATACTCATTGTGCCCCCAAATGATCCTTTTACAATTCCCCTTATCCGTAAAGTATCTTTTATTGTTATTTATTGTTATTTATTGTTATTATTTATCTATTGATTGCTTTTTGTTATCTTTCGCCGTTTCATCAATCATTTCTGCGTTATGTTAATTTCTTTATCTTTCACTTATTACGTTGTTGTTGTTGTTGTTAAAAATAAATTTATGGATAACTTGCTTAAAAATGATTTTTACCGGTTTAATAACCGTTCGATGTCACTTTTCTTCACCGAACTTGATCGATTTACTCGAAATCGCTATATCGAAATAAATAAATGAAGATTTTTCAACCAAATCGTTAAATAAAGTTAAATAAAACACACAATTTTTGGATAAAAACTCATCGATTTGTTGAGATAAAACATTGTGTCAGATGTAATCACGTGGATTCACAATGGATTTTCATTCTTGTTAAAGATTGCATGAATCAAACTTTCTTAAAGATCTGGTTTACTATTTAACGTTTTGATGAATTTTCTAATCTTGTTTTTCCTTTTAGAATGGTGGAAGAGGGAAACGATTGGGATGAACAGTTAAACAACGATCGACTGATGACCTTCGCCGAATTGTATGATGATGCGATGCGATGCCAGCGATAATGATTGGGAATCGGGTTTTTCGGATCAATCGTCAGCTGAAATCACGAAACAAGATGAGAGTCTGCACATGGATTAATTGGAGAACGAGTGAGTGATTTTTGATGGTTTAATTAGAAGAAAAACAAGTACAGTTAATTTCGAATTGACGTTTTGTAAGAAAGATCGTTAAAGCGATCATCTCATGCAAGAAAAAGGCTCATTTAAACCAAAAACTGTCATCATTAGGTCCAATATTTAAATTTCAGTGTTAGAGTTTGGTGATATTTAGATCCAGAGAGGATCTAGTAATTCTAGAAGTAAATGACATTGAACTGCTGCCTTTTGTGCCATTGTTGAAGCTAGTTTTCGTTTCGAACGAATCTGGTAGACTTAATTTGTCGAAGTGAAAAGATTCGTTAGTCAAAAATGTTCAAAGTTGTCAAGCAAATCTATCTAATTTGACCGAAAAGGGAAACTAAAATTATATTCATTTGCTTCAAAACTCTAAAAAATAGACTTAGTTTGAGTATAGTTATAATGATCATTTCATCAACAAGCTTTATTTTATTCTTTAGGGCTTTGTCGACGGTGGAAGCGGACGGTGAAGGAGATGGAGAGCCAGAGCCACTGATCGAGACCGAGAGAAACCGTCGCAGGCTTGACCCGACACGAAAAGCATCAACCCGAGCCAAGTTCGGGAGAACTCGTGAAATGAATCAATACGGATAACGAGGAAATTGTGATCAAGATCAGAGCCGAAGCAGGCCTGTAAACTGTTTTTATCGTCATCGATCGTGTCTCCCATTTCAGGGTTTTTCAAAAGTTTAAAACTTCGGAGATACTTCATTAAAGTTCAGTTAAAAACTTCCTTTCTCCTCTTTTTATTAACTGGTTTTACATTTTACAAAGTTTCATAGCATTTTTCTCTTCTCTTTTAAATAAGCTAAAGCTAAAGAATTATTTAGGACCTTTAGAGTATCTACGCATGACCGGGCTCGACAACCTTACAGCTTACGAGCATGAGCCGAAGCTGGGATGGTTGACCGATCAACGAGTGTTGGCAAAGAGGACAAAGGACATTCAGGTAATGGATTGGGGTTGATGGAGAGAGCTATAGGGCTATAGGAGATACAATTAAAAGCCTTGGAGTAGCACTTGGATCAACAAAGTTAGAGAAGTTGTGGCCACAAAGAGTATAATGAAGCTATAATGTAGCTATAATGAAGCTATATTCAAGCTTTATTCAAGCGTTGATCTAGCGCCAGTTTTTTAGCTGATTTGTTGAATGAAATGATGAGAAAGTACGGCTGAATAACTTTTATTGTAGGCAAAGATGCAAACGTTTTGTTCTTTCATTTTCGTAACAACCACAGCTTTGATTTGTTGATAAAAATTAGCCGTTTTGTATCAATTTAACATAAGCAAATGCTGTATTCGATGCTTAATAAAATGTCAATATTTAGAGAGCCAAAGAGAAGACGATCTATCAGCGCTATCGGGAAGAAGTGTCGAAAGAGAATCGCGTGAAAGGAATTCATCCGATCACTCCGAACAAGCACATCAATTTTTCGCGAAGGAGCTGGGATCAACAAGTGAGCTGTTTTTGAGGCAGTTAATCAGTCTTGTAGGCATATTTCTTGCTGACGTAGCCGACGTATAGCTTTAGATCAAGCAGTCTTGAGTGTTAATGACTTTAAGTCCTTTATTGACAAGTTTAATCATCTATTGTCTTCAGGTTCGTCTCTGGAAGCGCGCTCTGCACGTTTTGAGTGGAGAAGAGCGATCAGAGAGTCGCTGTTCGGATGTGGGAGACTCGGACGGCGATGTGGGCACAGTGCTCTTTGCTGAAAATGCCGGGAAGAAGAAAAAGTAAGGAACTTGAATGCATAAATGATCTTTGAACGTTTGTAAACCTTTTGGCTAAGCGAATGCTCGGATTTTGCTAGGCTAGACCTGAAAAAATGCTGAAAAACAACTCACCATCAGGGCCCCGCCAAGCCGAAGCTTAACACAAACTTTAGGTTAGCAATAAAGGTGTAATTGATAAACTGAGAGCTAAATTGTCTTTGTGATCATGAAGCTACAAACATTTTAAACATTTTCCGACTCTTTTCCTCATTAATGAGCCCTTTTTCCTTTCAGGGAGCACTAGATTCTAATCATTCTTCCCTTCAGGGAGTGCACGTTGGCCGACCTCAGCCTCGCCAAAAACGATGTTCATCCGGATGCTGATGTGATGTCCAAACTTCTCAATCATTTCGACATTAACTCGAGCGCCGGTGACACCACTTCGATGAAGCCACCATCGACCAACTCACTCGGGCGAATCAATTTCTCAAAGCTTTAAAGGTTTTCCATAGTCTCTGGATTTTTCATAGTGTTGCTAACTAAATGTTTGCAAATCTAGTCTGCATTCTCTAGTCAAATCTCGGGCTCTAGTCGGCAATTTTGATCTCATTTTGTGTATACTTGATCTACAGGCTCTTGATCAATTGTTTTGCAATTTTTTGAGCTTTACGATTGCTTGCTTAGATTGATCTCCGTTTGCTTTTAGTCAAAACGGGTAAAATTCCCCTTAACGATTGCCATATTTTGTTTGCTTTATATCATTGTTTATACCGTTCGTTTATTGTTACTTTTAATTGATACGACTTAATAAAGTTATTCTAAACGTTAATTTAGAGGAAACTTGAAAACTGATTGATTCGGTTGTATATTTGAATGGAATGAGAGGCATTCTTGGTGGTTTTCCTAGAAGAAAATAGAAATTTTTAAGGTTTTTAAGATCTTTAAGATCTTTAAGATCTTTAAGATCTTTCTACGAATTCCTACTAGATTTCATAGTTTTTTTTTGTTAATTTTAGGCGTTTCTATACATTTTCTCATTCCAGAGCCTACCGATGGAGCAAATGATAGCCCCGTCGACTATCAATCGATTCCCACAACATCATATCAATGTCCAGAGGTGCGTTTTGAGGATAAAACGGTTGCATTCCTGAATCAGGACCTTGAAAACAATCAGAACCTTCAAAACTCTGGGATATTATTGCTGTTTGGGTAATTTTTCGTTACGCGTTTCCGTTACGCGTTTCCGTTTCCGTTTCCGTTTCCGTTACGCGTTTCCGTTACACGTTACCATCGACCACACTTTGCACCAAGAGAAAAAAATTCCGATTTGTGTATACCTATGTAAAGTAACGGAAAAATACCGTTTGTTTCCCAATCATCGAAAGATTTTTTAGCATTAATATTCAACTTTCCAGATTTTGTACCGTTTGGCCTTGGTGCCCGTTGGTGACTTCATAAGCTATCAAAGGCTGAAGCCGTCAGAAAAGGTTAGCTTTTTAAATTTTACTGATTGATTTCTTCTTCTGGTTGTTTACAGCAATCAGAAAAAGATTTGACAATCGTTTCATGGGGTACGCAAGTTCCCGTTTTCCTTGAAACGGCTCAATTGGCACAGGAGAAGTTGGGAGTATTGGCTGAGGTGAGGAAACTTTTATGTAACGGCTAAATATTAGGTTGGAAAGAAAGTTCTCGAAAAAAGTTTGCACGATGATTTTTCAACGACCAAACCATGAATTCTTCTCAGATTTTTTGATAAAATTTACTATATTTCAAAAAGTTTTTGATAAAAAAATAAGAGATTTCTTTAGCTGAAGTGAGTTGGTTACTTTTTGAGTGACCAGTGACCTTTAGAGACCTTTGAGTGACATTTAGACAAGTTTTTAATGGGTTAATGAATAAGCAATAGGTCCTATTCAAAACCTAAAATCAAGTACGTAAAATAGGGAAAATTTTTGATTAAGGCAAATTTTGATTAAGGCAATCTTTGATTAAGGCAATCTTTGATTAAGGCAATGATTAAGGCAATGCTTTAACTTTTCAGAATCACCTATTTTAGCAAAAACACTCAGTGCAAAAGAAGATGAAACCAAAAAATTAGTTTTTTTTTTTTTTTTTTTTGAAATACAGCTTCTCTGTAAAAAAATTTTTAACAAAAAATAAAGATTATAAAGAGTATTGCTCATTTAGGCTAGCTTTTTAACACATAAGAAATCACTTTTCTCGTGCAAAAAGTAGTGAGCTGAATTTAAGCTGGAAAAGAATACGTTTTTTCAAAAATCTCGTAATTTTAAGGAAAAGCTGTACTCATTTTTTTTTTTGCGAGTAATTTCTTGGAGTTGACTTGTAAATAATCGAATAAAAATGTCCTTTGAGTTCGTGGATTCGTGGATTCGTGGATTCTTTCTTAAGAAATACCAGTCAAACTTTTTTTCCGAAAACTTTCTTTCCAACTAAAGATTATGATAAAATTGGGCAATTTGTGACTGTTGAATTTGGTAGTATTTGGTATTTGGTAGTTTGGTAGTTTGGTGATAAAAGTTGGTGGTAAATTTGGTGGTTTGGTAGGAATTTGTGATTAGTGTAAAAATTGAAAATTGTAAATTGAAATTATTGAAATTAGTTACTGAATTTATTGTTTGCTATCATTTGATAACGCGATTTTAAGGCTATCAATATTATTGGGAAGCTTTGATTTTGATTTTTTGACCTAGGTGATATGCGACAAAAGATCAACCAGTGCCAAGCGATGAACAACGCGTTGGACATTGCAATGGGCATCAATTTAATCGATTTGGCTTTATTTGGTTTGTTTTATCAGCGACAGAATTTTGTGCTTTTAGTGGCGCATTGTTGGAAGTGAGCAATCTGCTTTGCCAATCTGCCTCTGACAATCTGCCTCTGACAATCTGCCTCTGCCAATCTACCTCTGACAATCTGCCTCTGACAATCTGCCTCTGCCAATGAAACGAGAAGACAATACTTTTCCATATTTTGCCGAGACGGTGAGTGTTTTTAATGCAAAATAGCGGATGTTTGACTCATTAGCTTTAAGCTTTAAAGCTTTAAAAATAGCTGTGGATGGATCGTCTGCTTTTTAATGGGCTAATCCAACTCTAAAACAGTAACAAAAGCGTAGATATTTGTTCAAATGAGCAAAGGGTTTTTGATCAACCCTTTAAACAACAAAGTCTAACAATTGAAAGAATTCGGATGGATTGTTTTTTTTTTTATATAAAAATCAAATTTTATTTAAAACTTTATTCAGAATCGAAATAATCTCAAAATTCAACGAAAAGACGGTAAAATTGGGCCTTTCTTCTCGAAGAGCGTTGCTCGTTCTCCAACCGTTTTATATTCTAAAATTTAATTTGTTAATTTGAAAATGTTTTATTTTAAAATTTACATCCAACTTACATTATCAATAAAATTTAAATAAAAAAATTTTTAAATGAAATTTTTTTAATGACTTGATTTTTGTAAATTTTCGTTTACCTGCTTTCGGGAGTTTTGTCGATTTTATCCAAACGTTATTCTCATCTTCTAAAATTGATTTATAATATCGAGATTTGAAAGATATTCAGCTAAGGATTTGTCTTTGAATATTGTCAGCTGATATTGTCAGCTATTTTGAGGCAACCTTCACTTGCTCACCTTTTAATCGCAATCGCTCTGGTCGCGGGATGATTGGTTGATTCTCGAATTGCTAAATGGAACTAGTTGGATAGGCTAAATGGATCTAAATGGATCTACATGGGTCTAAATGGATCTACATGGATCTAAATGGATCTACATGGATCTACATGGGTCTAAATGGATCTACATGGATCTAAATGGATCTACATGGATCTAAATGGATCTAAATGGATCTACATGGATCTAAATGGATCTACATGGATCTACATGGATCTAAATGGATCTAAATGGATCTACATGGATCTACATGGATCTACATGGATCTAAATGGATCTACATGGATCTACATGGATCTAAATGGATCTAAATGGATCTACATGGATCTACATGGATCTAAATGGATCTACATGGATCTAAATGGATCTACATGGAGCTACAGTAAAACAAACCTTCATCCGGTTGAGGATCAGTTTTGTCGGTTTCGTTGTCGGCGATTCGAATTGACTCAAGTATCTGCAAAATTCCGGGTATTCTGTGAGTGCTTTAGCATAAAATAAGCTCATTTTTTGGTTTTATCATCGTGTCATAGGTCTTTCAAAGCTTTTCAACTATGAGGAATCCGAATTTCGAAGTCATTTTTATAGTTTCCATATGAATTCGCTTGATTTCTACCTTTCTTCTGTGACTAGGCTAGCTTTTTGAAGGGATTCTATTAGAAAATATGGGCAACATACGCTTTTCTGTCTTTCTCCGTCATTCGATCGATATCAGCGCTTTGCTCAACCTGAAATTAGCAATTTTGAATCTTTTGCAAAGAATATCTCCTACCTGAATGAGTTGTTTCTCTTGTGGTGCTTCTTCTGGGGCTTGCTCGTTCATCACCCTTTGAATAAGGTCATAATCGGTGAATCTGGAACGCACAGAACTGGTTTTTGATTTAAAAACGGAAATCTAATCTGATTTGAGTTTTTGCTAAAAAGTGACCCACCTATCGTAACCGATTTTTTTAGAAATAACCGTAGCCTAATTCTAACAAAGTCTTTGTGTATTGTGCGTTCCAGTTAACCCACTGGGCAATTCTCGGAGCATTCGGGGTCACCGGAGTGGGCAGGGGTGGAGCCGGAGATTCGGGGTAGACCGGTTCGTCGTGGTCCTCGTCTCTCAGCGAGATTGGCTAAAGGTAAATGGTAATTTGGCTTTAAAAACATAAATCCTAACAATTATTTACCTCGAAAAGGCGCAAATTCAAATTTTCAGGCGTCAAGAATTTGGTGTTCATTTTTGTGTGTCTGAGGCTGTTTGGGGGGGGGGGTTCAGGGCTGACCCTTTTCCCACCGCCAGCTCACCCAAATATGCTAATTGAGGGCTTTGAATCTCATCATGGAGTGCACAAGGCTGAGATACGTAAGCGTTTTGCTCTCAGGGTGAACTTTTGGATTTTCTTCTCGTTTCTGGGCCATTAGAAATGGTTAAGCGCCAAAAATTATTCAATCTAAGATTTAGTTTCTCGAAAGTTTAGCTTGATATCTAGCTGGAATACATAGTATTGAATTTTAAAGTCAAAATGGATTTATAGTAGTTTTGTGGGTGCTATGTTTTATGAGTTTTATGGGTGCCAAGTTCCAATATGGTTTCAATATGGCTCCAATAAGGTTCGGATACGACTCCAATATGGTTCCAATATGGTTCCAATATGGTTCCAATATGGTTCCAATATGGTTCCAATATGGTTCCAATATGGTTCGGATACGGCTCCAATATGGTTCGGATAAGGTTCCAATATGGTTCCAATATGGTTCCAATATGGTTCGGCGCAATATGGTTCCAATATGGTTCCAATATGGTTCGGATGCGGCTCCGATATGGTTCCAATACGCTAAAAGTTGCCCCACTTACAATAAGCCGTTTTGATTTAAAATTACCGTAATCTGATTTCAAATATACCAAAATCTAGTATGATATCCAACTTGACCAAAATACCTCCGGAATTTTTCGTTCTCGGCTTTTCGCGTATGTCTCGAAGAGGTGATCATTCGCGTATTCGGTAGACTTTTGAGAACTTTCGAAATTGTTATTTCTTTCCGAGGAAGTCGATGATGTGCTACCCAGGAGACTGGGAGATGATCTGAAAAGTGAAGAATACAATACCCCAGTGGCTAGACGAGGCTGATAACGAAGTACAGTAATCCTATAGTAGTGCAGAGTCGATACCGTAATTTGGTTAGTGTAAACGACTGGTTTCACTACAGAGATTCACTACCGTAGTCAATTCTAATCAATTCTAATCAATTCTATTTGTCAAAAAGTAGGGTAAGTGTCGACTCACCTCTGCATGTCTCGGTATTGTTGATAGGTCTTGAATGTAGGGCTTGCCGCAGAATTGCTCGTTTCCACATTCTGAGTTGAATTTTCTTCTTTGTGCTGTCCATAATAAGCATTTAAGGTCCCGATTGGGAGCTTCTTAGAAGAGAACGCAGGAGAAGTAGGTGGTAAAGACCCTGGAGTTCGCACAGGGCTATCGGATCCCCGATTTTCTTCATTCTTAATTGGTGAAGCTCTTGCGTGTGTCCCATAGTTGCCACTAGTCCGCTTTGTTTCACTATAGGTCTCGATTTTAGCCGGCAAAGTGAAGGGACTCGTTGGAGTCCTCACAGTACTACTGGTATTGTATGGCTCGGCTTCTCCTGAAGAAGCTTTCTCCTGCGTTCCATAGGTGCCAATCATTTGCTTTGCTTCCATAGGAATCTCGGTATTTGTTGAAACCCTTGGACTTGTTGAGGATCTGGGCAACTCGTTCGGGATTCCGGAGATCTAAACAAAAATTTGATTAGAGTTTAAAGGGATGGGTTCTAGAGTTGAACTGGGAGCTTGTAGAATCATTATTCTATTTCAAATATCGTAAATGCTGTATTAGAATGACACCCGGAGGGAGTATTGAAAAGTAGAACGACGCCACATTTATTTGAAATTTTTGACGCCACATTTGAAATAGAATTTTGATTTTCTCCCATTTTACTTTTGAAATAGAATTCAACGGAAAAACGATAAAGAAGAATTCTTCAAAAAAAAACAGGGAAAATGAACAACTTTAAGGTCTACGAGAAACAGCCGAGAAGGACTCAATGGAGGTGGTGAAAATGAAGATAACGTGGAGCCACGTTCGTCAATCATTTATTGGAAGAACAAGAAGGAAAGCTCAGTGATCGCAACAAGAAGAGAAAACGATTTGATGGAGGTGGCTGATATCTTTTGGCGGCAGAAGTTGATTAGTTGATCATCGATTGGATTCGATCTCAGTGTGATAAGAAGCGAATCACTCGAAGGATTGTTCTGGACAAGGTAGGAATGGAATTTAGAGCAGGGATCAATTTCAATAAAAGCCATAAATGGTTAGAAAGTTTCTTTTGACAGCGTAAAATCTCTTTACGTGGACGTTTTTGGGCTAAATTATAACGTTTTGCCGTTTTGCCGTTTTGCCGTTTTGCCTTATTCACCCAGACAACCCTGACCCTAACTGAACCCACTTGAATCATCGTGCCGGGACTAGTGACTAGGGATACATATTTGTGTCTTGGTGGCGGGGTTTCGATGTCGAGTGAGGAGGGAGACGGCTGAATAGAGTTGTTGTTAGGGAAAAAGTTTCGGTTTTAAGGCCTGGGTAGTTTTGGACTAGGGGCGATCAGTGAACTAGCCTTCCCAGCTTCCTCGACCCCAACACCCACCCTTTGTTGTTCTTTCTCCTCCACAGCTCCTGCACCAATTCGAATCGAATCCAGTTTCAACGGCCTAATCAATGGCTGGGAGTCATTCGTGCCGGTTAGCGTTTGATTCGACAAATTTGTTGTCTCGAAATGGATCTCCGTCTCGTCGTTCACTTTCAGAACACCGTCGGTTCTAAAATTCTTTCAAGTCTCTTCAAAGCCTTTTCATTACCTGCTGTGCGTTCCAGCATTACCAGTAGTGTTTTCATTTACTCGAATTTGCCATGATTCAAGTAAAGAATCATGACGAGTTGAGTAGTCGTTTGTTCCAGTGGCTCCCGGGTAGTACATGTTCACTAGAGCTTTAAAAAAAAGTGACAATGGACATCATAGAATTATTTGGTTCAAAGAAAAATGAGATAGATGGCTCAGGGCTCAGGCTAACGATGGAAATCCCAAAAAACTAACTTTGCGAATTTTGATGTAATGGCTCGGGAATCGGCGAGTGAGCAAATGAAGACGGTGCCAAGCTGAGCGTTGAACTCAACGGGGTCAATCCCACCAAAACTGTGGTCTAAAGTTGAAGCTGAATTGCACAGATGTTAAGCCAAAAGACCTCTCCAAAATGTACGTGCGGCATTCCGCCATCGCTCACCTCCAGCAACCCGTTTGTCTCATTTGAAAGCCGTTGGTGGACTGAAAATGATTTTCCCCCGTGTGTTTTCGTAAATTCTGGATCGCAGAAAAACTATTTATCCCGCAAAACCCGAAAAGACCCGGAAATTGGCTTTCTCAAAAATGCGTATATTCGCTTGACTCATCTTCTTCACTCTCCGATTCACCTTCGTCCACTTCGATCAGATTTTCGGGCAAACTGGAGTCCACGGAAGGCTTAGAAGCACTCGATTCGTCCAGCTCCGACATTTTGTCGAGCACTTCACCCTTGCTGCTCATAGTCAAGAGTGCGGTGAGTGTTAGATCCTAAAATGTGGATGGAATTTGTTTTTTGATGAATGCGTGTTACGGTAAGCATGGGGCGATCGAGCTTCGGGATATCCACTGGGGCGTCCAAACGCTTCTAAAGTTTGGTAATAGATCCAAAAACAGCTACAATGCCTAGAGGTTTACGGTAGCTGTAGACTACAGAATGTCAGACTAAAACACTAAAATATCTACCTGTGACCTCCTTGATGAGATCAGATCCACCAAGTTGTCCCGCCGCCTTGATTTCGACAAGAAGTCCTCACTGTTGGGTGCGGTGGTCTCCAGATACCGTAAGCCTTCCTGGAAATTTTGAATCTTTGCATACCTTGAAAAAATCTTTGTGTTTGATGGTCTAGCTTGTAGGGAATTTTGGTTTTTTTTGACGTTCACGTCAACTAAAGTGATATCCAGATTCGAAAATTCGGAGCTAATCGAGCAATTTTGATTCACTAGAAGGCTTGAATTGCTCCAATCTTGTAGTGGCCAGTTTGAGTGTATCGGACTTGTAAGGAATTCGGCTTTTTGGCATTCTGGTTGACTCAAATGCTATCCAGATTAGACAGTTCAGGGCTAGTCGAGCAATTTTGATCCACTAGAAGGCTTTGATTTCCCCAATCTTGTAGTGGCTTGTTTGAGCGTATCTAACTTTTAGGGAATTCGGGTATTTGACGTTCACGTCAACTAAAGTGATATCCAGATTCGACAATTCGGAGCTAATTGAGCTATTTTGATTTACTGGAAGGCTTGAATTGCTCCAATCTTGTAGTGGCCAGTTTGACTGTATCGGACTTGTAAGGAATTCGGTTTTTTGGCATTCTGGTCGACTCAAATGCTATCCAGATTAGAAAGTTCGAGGCTAATTGAGCAATTCTGATGCACTAGAAGGCATTGGATTGCTCCGGTAACTTACAAAAGCGCCAATCGGTGGATGCAGCTGCTCAGCCTCATCGTACAGCTCCATCGGTGGATGCAAACCGCTTGAGTAGACCTGAAAATTTGGGAATTTGACTTTTTTGTGTGAACTTTTTGGATTTCCTATAGTGAAAGCTGGGAAAAGTTTTGGTTCATTTACCCGACACATCTCGGTGCAAGTGTCGCGCACGTCGGACGAGCTTGGCCGTTGATCAGCATCACTTTCCCAGCACCTGAAAAAGCACGATTAGATATTTTTCAAAATATCTAATCGTTTAAAGGTTAAATGAAAATTATGGATCACGTAGATCTGGAAATTGCAAAAGAAAAGAGCTCACCATTCCATCAATTGCTCTAACTCGGGGATACAGCCGAGTTTCCGAGGTCGGACTCCCTGTAAAAGCAAATCACTTTTATAAACCTTTTTCAGATTTGGGTATACCTGTTTCCCGACCAGTTGCATATACTCAATCTCGGAGACTTTCTTCAACTCCGAGTAGGGTTTTCTAAAGTTATGGAGTCACATAAGTCTTTTGACTTTAAAAAAACAGCAATAGCTGCTTGTGTGCGAGATGGCTAAGTGATAGTGTACTTGGTCTTCTATTTCAGCCGTCTATTGCAGCCTTCTAGTGCATCAGAATTGCTTAATTAGTTCCGAATTGTCTCATCTGGATAGCACTTTGGCTGACAATAACGTCAAATATTCGAATTCCTTAAAAGTTAGATACACTCAAATTAGCCACTACAAGATTGGGACGATCAAAGCCCTTCTAATGCATCAGAATTGCTCGATTAGCTCCGAATTGTCTAATCTGGATAGCACTTTAGTCGACCTGAACGTCAAATATTCGAATTCCTTAAAAGTTAGATACACTCAAATTAGCCACTACAAGATTGGGGCAATCCAAGCCTTCTAGTGCATCAGAATTGCTCGATTAGCCCTAAACTGTCTAATCTGGATAGCATTTAAGTCGACCAGAGCCCCGTGATAGTGTTTACGACTCTGGTTCGAGTCCGCTGGGTGCCAACTTTTCTTTTCTGACTTTCTAAAACCCACTCTCTAGCGGTCAACTGCCAGAGCACGATTCCCAACGAGAAAACATCGCATTTTTGGTCGTAATGGCCAGAAATCATTACTTCCGGTGCCATCCAGAACCAAGAGCCTAAAATTAGCCGTATTTTGCATACTGTACTACAACTAACCCGTCCGTAAACTCATTGACTGATCAATGACCCGTGCGAATCCAAAGTCGCAAACTTTCAAATGTGTGTAGCTCGGGTCCAACAACATGCTGAATAGTAAAAAAATCATTATCTAGATCAGCTTTAAAATATGTTTACTTTATCGGTTTAAGATCCCGGTGAATAATTCCGTGCGTGTGCATGTGTGCAACAGCACTCGAAATCTGAAATTTGGAAATTTCAAGAGGAATAGAAAATAGAACTAGTGAGCATATCGGGCCATTTTTTTACCTGTGCCATCCAAGAGACAATATGGTCGACTTTATAGGTGAGATCTTTGCGTTGAACTGGAAATTCTTTGAGATTAAGGAATTTAGGTGGTTAGGAAAGGTTTAGGGTTTGGAAAGCTTTGGAGTTTAGAGAGCTTTGAGGTTTGGAAAGCTTTGAGCTTTGGAATTTTATAAATTTCAAGCTTTTGAGGCTATCTGGAACGCACGAAAGATATTTAGTTAAAAATGGAAATTTAGAAAACGATTCTTGACAATTTCGAAATTCAGCACTGTTTGTGAGCATCGCTGACTGAATTGATTGAATTGCTGAATTTTTGAATTGAATTGAATTGAATTGAATTTGAACTGAATTTTTGGCTTTTCTTAAATGAACGGCTCAATTTGGAGTGCACAGCGTGGTTTGAATTGAGAAAAAAACTGACAAAGTGCATCCAAAGTGCCACCCGATATGTACTCCATGACGAGCCCTCGACCGTCGAATGGATCCTGGATCAGACCGTACGCCTAAACTTGAGATTTATCAATCCTGGATCGCAGCCCAGTGAATGCATTGCTCACCAATGCATTAACTGTCCACTCACCTTGACAATATTCGGATGACTTGTGCCAATCTTGATCAAGTACTCGAATTCCTTTTGTAGTTCTTCTTGTTCAGTCTTGCGTAAACTCAACGCAAATTTGACGGTCACCGTACTGAAATAGATCTTTTTTTAGGGTTTTCAATGCCCAGTAGTTGTAGTAGTACGCTAGAGAGCCAGAACCTGAGCCTAAACCTGAGCCTGAGCCTAATACCTGAGCCTAAACCTGAGCCAGAGCCTGAGCCTAATCCTGAGCCTAAGCCTAAGCCTAAGCCTGAGCCTAAGCCTAAGCCTAAGCCTAAGCCTGAACTCACCCAATCGGCTTGTACACACACGTCATCACTCGCCCAAAACAACCAGTCCCTAGCTCTTTGTGATCTGAAACAAGATCGAAAACTTTGATCTAAGCTTTCCTGGCACTCACCCGAGAGATCGGTTGACTGAATGGCCGGGAAGATCACTTCTCGGGAAACCATTCTACAAAATCTCCATATTGTAAAAAGGAAACACAAAAAGATAGAAAATCGAAAATAGAAAATAAAAAATAGAAAATAACAATGATATAAAGCGATAACTATATGCTGTGCGTTCCAGATTAAAACTTTATTCAATTAAAAATGAAGAAAGACCCACTATAAAATTTGAAAATTCGATGAGCTCATTTCACTCATTTCGCGAGAACGCGAAATCAAAAATCGAGTCCCAGTGATGCGCTTTTTGACAGCTTTCCCCCGAATGCATCTCATCGTTTCGGGAAATCGAAAGAATCGCTCGGAAAACGGCCAAAAGAGATCGGTGTTTGGATAGCCCAAATCACATCAATCAGCTGGCTGGCTATTCCTTTTTTCAGGACTGGATCTTTTACGCGAAATCACGAGCCTCTTGAAATTGTTTTTTTTAAGGCTTTGTCATTTCTGGAGGTCAATTTAGTGTTTGCGACGATTTCCGAAACTCTACCTCCTTTATTACACAAAGTGTTAAAGTTGGGTGAAAAAAAAATGAAAGTTGACAAAGTTAAGAAGCAAACTTTCAATTGATTCGATCATTCTGGAGGTCACTCTAGAGTTTTTAGCTATTTGTTTCGAAACCTTCTTTAGAAGAACCAAAAAAAGCCTCGAGAAAAGTCTAGAAACGATTTTGCGTTAAAATAAAGCCCTTCGAAAGAAGTTATCAACTTTTGAAAACCGATTTTCGATGATCTGGAGTGCACATAAGCAAATGAAAAAGCTTTAAGGTTGAAAATTTGCAAAAAAAAAATTGAACAAAAAATGAACACAAAAATGATTCATTAATGAAAATGAAGCAAAGGAAAAGTGAAGGAATTGCTAAAAATTTCTTCTAAATTTTTTTTTCTGTTTCTTTTATCTTGAAGCACCTTAAAATTTAGCTGATAAAGGGGTAAAAGAAAGAAAAAAAATGTGGCAGGAAAGGCTTTCAGAAACAGTAAAAAATCGTTCGTCTCGTAAATTCTTTCAAAAAAAAAAATTTTCAATCCCCTTTTCTGAAGGGTACAGAATAAAAGGAATGTAGAAAAATCGGCAACTAAGTACAATACATTTATTGAGAACCAATAATGTGATACAAATAAAGGATACATTAGACATAAACGTCTAAAAATACAATTTTATGGCACTGCGGCCGTCGTTACCCCCATAACTCCAGGTCTAGAAACCCAATGAACTCCTGGTTTCTTTTATTAGAATCTACATTAAATTTGACTCAAGAAATCAAGAATCTGTTTTGTAGACTTACCGATAAAAACATATAGAAAATTAGGGTCAAAGTCAAGATAGGTGTCTACCCCCCGAGCGAGAGAATTGTCTAGGGGGGGTAGAGTTACCCCTAATGCTCAAATGTTGTGAAAGAAAAAAAAACCCCACTTCGTGGCAGGCAAAAAAGAAACATTTTGATCTTGCCAGCGTCATCGAACCCTCAACCTTCCCCGTAAGAGACAAAACTCCTAACCGGTCCGTCATCTGGCTAAAAAATGAAATGTTTTCAGCTCAACTGTAAGCTAGGAGCAACTGTAAGGTGTAAATTTAAGCAAATTTAAGCAAATTTCCTTATTTTAACAAATTTAAACCTTTAAAGCTTTGAGAAATTGATTGGCCCGAGTGAGTTGGTTGATGGTGGCTTCATAGAAGTGGTGTCACCGGCGCTCGAGTTAATGTCGAAATGATTGAGAAGTTTGGACATCACATCAGCATCCGGATGAACATCGTTGTCGGCGAGGCTGAGGTCGGCCAACGTGCACTCCCTGAAGGGAAGAATGATTAGAATCTAGTGCTTCCTGAAAGGAAAAAGGGCTCATTAATGAGGAAAAGAGCCGGAAAATGTTTAAAATGTTTGAAGCCTCATGATCACAAAGAAAATTTAGCTCTCCGTTTATCAATTACACCTTTATTGCTAAGCTAAAGTTTGCGTTAAGCTTCAGCTTGGCCGTGATCTGATGGTGAGTTGTTTTTGAGCATTTTTCAGGTCTAGCCTAGCAAAATCCAAGCATTCGCTTAGCCAAAAGATTCACAAACGTTCAAAGATCATTTATGCATTCAAGCTCCTTACTTTTTCTTCTTCTTGACATTTTCAGCAAAGAGCACCGTGCCCTCATCACCGTCCGAGTCTCCCACATCCGAGCAGCGACTCTCTGATGGCTCTTCTCCACTCAAAACGTCCAGCGCGCGCTTCCAGAGACGAACCTGAAGACAATCGATGATTAAACTTGTCAATAAAGGACTTAAAGTCATTAACACTCAAGACTGCTTGATCTAAAACTATACGTCGGCTACGTCAGCTACGTCCGCAAGAAATATGCCTACAAGACTGATTAACTGCCTCAAAAACAGCTCACTTGTTGATCCCAGCTCCTTCGCGAAAAATTGATGTGCTTGTTGGGAGTTATCGGATGAATTCCTTTCACGCGATTCTCTTTCGGCACTTCTTCCCGATAGCGCTGATAGATCGTCTTCTCTTTGGCTCTCTAAATATTGACATTTTATTAAGCATCGAATACAGCATTTGCTTATGTTAAATTGATACAAAACGGCTAATTTTTATCAACAAATCAAAGCTGTGGTTGTTACGAAAATGAAAGAACAAAACGTTTGCATCTTTGCCTACAATAAAAGTTATTCAGCCGTACTTTCTCATCATTTCATTCAACAAATCAGCTAAAAACTGGCGCTAGATCAACGCTTGAATAAAGCTTGAATAAAGCTTGAATAAAGCTTGAATAAAGCTTGAATATAGCTTGAATATAGCTTGAATATAGCTACATTATAGCTTCATTATACTCTTTGTGGCCACAACTTCTCTAACTTTTTTGATCCAAGTGCTACTCCAAGGCTACTCCAAGGCTTTCAATTGTATCTCCTATAGCCCTATAGCTCTCTCCATCAACCCCAATCCATTACCTGAATGTCCTTTGTCCTCTTTGCCAACACTCGTTGATCGGTCAACCATCCCAGCTTCGGCTCATGCTTGTAAGCTGTAAGGTTGTCGAGCCCGGTCATGCGTAGAAAAACCCTGAAATGGGAGACGCGATCGATGACGATGAAAACAGTTTACAGGCCTGCTACGGCTCTGATCTTGATCACAATTTCCTCGTTATCCGTTCAATTGATTCATTTCACGAGAGTTCTCTCGAACTTGGCTCGGGTTGATGCTTTTCGTGGCGGGTCGAGCTTGCGACGGTTTCTCTCCGTCTCGATCAGTGGCTCTGGCTCTGGCTCTCGCTCTCCATCTCCTTCACCGTCCGCTTCCACCGTCGACAAAGCTCTAAAGAATAAAATAAAGCTTGTTGATGAAATGATCATTATAACTATACTCAACTAAGTCTATCTTTTAGAGTTTTGAAGCAAATGAATATAATTTTAGTTTCCCTTTTGGGTCAAATTAGATAGATTTGCTTGACAACTTTGAACATTTTTGACTAATGAATATTTCAACTTCGACAAATTAAGTCTACCAGATTCGTTCGAAACGAAAACTAGCTTCAACAATGGCACAAAAGGCAGCAGTTCAATGTCATTTACTTCTCGAATTACTAGATTCTCTCTGGATCTAAATATCATCAAACCCTAACAGTGAAATTTAAATTTTTGACCTAATGATGACAGTTTTTGGTTTAAATGAGCCTTTTTCTTGCATGAGATGATCGCTTTAACGATCTTTCTTACAAAACGTCAATTCGAAATTAACTGTACTTGTTTTTCTTCTAATTAAACCATCAAAAATCACTCACTCGTTCTCCAATTAATCCGTGTGCAGACTCTCATCTTGTTCCGTGATTTCAGCTGACGATTGATCCGAAAAACCCGATTTCCAATCATTATCGCTGGCGATCAACTCGGCGAAGGCCATCAGTCGATCGTTGTTTAACTCTTCATCCAAATCGTTTCCCTCTTCCACCATTCTAAAAGGAAAAACAAGATTAGAAAATTCATCAAAACGTTAAATGATAAACCAGATCTTTAAGAAAGTTTGATTGATGCAATCTTTAACAAGAATGAAAATTCCATTGTGAATCCACGTGATTTCATCTGACACAATGTTTTATCTCAACAAATCGATGAGTTTTTATCCAAAAATTGTGTGTTTTATTTAACTTTATTTAATGATTTGGTTGAAAAATCTTCATTTATTTATTTCGATATAGCGATTTCGAGTAAATCGATCAAGTTCGGTGAAGAAAAGTGACATCGAACGGTTATTAAACCGGTAAAAATCATTTTTAAGCAAGTTATCCATAAATTTATTTTTAACAACAACAACAACGTAATAAGAGAAAGATAAGGAAATGATTGCTGTAACAGTGAAAGATCAATCGATCAATAGAATAAAAAGCGATGAAAAGATTGCGGATAACAATAACAGATATTTTACGGATAACGGGAATTGTAAAAAGATCATTTGGGGGCACAATGAGTATAGCCAAGTTTAGCTGAACTGATTGGCAAGACCATTATCCGTAAATTACCGCAAAAACAATAGGAAATTGGTGAAACTTAACAGAAATCCGAAAAAAACGATCGTTCCGTAGAAGTAGAAAGCATGTAGAAAGCATGAAATTTCATGTAAGCTTTCACACCAAAGTTACCGTAACTTTTCCTACAATGAATGAAGTAAATGCAATCCTTCGTTAAGTCGATTTTTTGTCGGAGGCATAAAACCAAATTGTCGGAAGCATTGTCAAAAGGTTCATATTTCCACAATTTTTTTGCCTGTTCAAGTAAAGATACGCGATTTTCTCCAACGATTTGTTTCATTCCAGGATATTTCTCGAGAAACGTGAAAAACGAAATGACCTCTCTCCTTTTTTCGTGTGAAAAACACTGGTCCAAGTATAAAAGCCAGCTTCGGGCATTTTGCTTGGGATTCCATGCTTGACGATCCATTGAGCGGCCAAGAAAAGATTGCCCTCTTTCATTTCGATCATTTTAACCCGAGTCTTTTTCAGAGCCTGAGAGCAAACGCGAAAGAGCTCTACAAAGGAACACTCCAGTCTGATTTCTTCACAATCCGTCAATCGCGTTTCAATGAAATTTCCGAGAAGATCGCTGGCTGATTGATCTTTTTCGAATGACTTGATTCTAATGTCTATATTTGCATACTCGTTGACGGATGCATGAAAATGGGTAAAGAACTTTGTGAGACCAATGATTGACTCCACGGCAAGCTCCAGACGATTTACCGACTTCAACTGCTCCAGGCTCGTTTTATGAATTTCATCGATGTCACACGGGCCCACACCGGTCCAAATACACAATTCGTCACCTGAAGCCACTCGTTTGATCAAATGACGATGACCATCGTAATCCAGCTCAATTTTCTGTGAATCGCGGTGCTTCTTGACGAAGCGTTTCTGCACGAACATCACCTTCAATTTATCACATGTATTGATTCGTTTGATGAAAGGAAGCAGATTGGCATCCAATTGAATGGGCGGTGAATCCTCGAACTTCTTGATCCAATTCAGATTCTTCGCCAAAGAAACCACAGCAACTTTCTTTCCAAAAACGATCGATTGATCCCCGGCAAAGCTCGCGTAGAGTCTCCTGTTCAACATCATCAACTTCGGAACATCTTCCACATCGAGATGTCGCGCCACCCTCTCGATCAACTCCAACGGTAAATCCTCGATCGATTTTTTTTCCCTGATAGTCATTCCCATCGTTTTGTTTCTCCTTTTCTGGATCATTCTCTTTTGGGCTTCTTTCGGTCATTTTGCGCCTGAAATTCAGAAATATCATTAAATTTAAAGAACAAAGCGGTACTTTACGGATAACGAGGAAGACAAAAAAGGAGTAAGTTGCTAAAGCAATCAAAAAGTGTCCTATAAACTCAAACGTTCGCAAATTTCTCGAATGGACGTTGAAAATGAGCTAAAACGCGCAAAACACGTATAACAAGCCTGTATGAAGCTTTCGAGAGCAATTTTAGCGCTGATAAGCACTTAAACATGTCAAACAGAGCATTTCTAAGGCATAACAGTGCCAAACTCTTGAATTTCAGAATTTATTCAATTCCCATTATTGTTCTTGTTCACGTACTCCGATTTTTCACTAATTTCAAGTTTTTTCTCTCACAAAGTAATTTTATATTGAATTTACGTAAAGCCACGCAAAAAATAAAGTTTAAAACGTTTATTTATAAAAGGAGAATGAGAAAAAGGAGTAAAAACACAGCAAATAATTCTAAATTTGAATAACTTTGCGTCAAAAATATTAAAAATCAACGAAAACACGAGAAATCACTTATGCGAGTATCCGAAAGATTCGTGCCTTGAAATCGCTTCCGGAAATGGCAAAAATCGGCTCTTCCGCATTAACATTGGTGGCATTCGGGCGGAAACCGAACCACGAAATCTCTATCTGAAAATAAAACGATTAAACTTTGAAGAAAATAAAAAAAAACAGAGAATCAAAATATCTTGAACATAAACATAAACTTCTGTTCTGCACAACTTTTCGGAACAAATGCACTACTTAAATTTGATAAAGATGTAGTCTACGCAAAAAATGAGCAAATCGAATAGAAGATAAGCAAATGACAATGATGGAGTCTTGACCTTTTAAGCTTTCCCTGATTACAAATGTCAGTGCCAATATTGGGAAAGTGTGTTAACGATGGATTTGCCGCAAATCTATCGTTATCCAAATCATTTGCGCAAGTAAATTCAAAATTTCATTAGAATTTCAAGGAAACGAAGAAAAATGACCAAAAAAAGCGTTTTGTCGGCGAAAAAAAAAAAATTTTTTTTCGTTTTCCTTTACCGCTACCGTATCCCGAAGTGAGCGTCAAATAGAAAACGTCGGAAATTATTTTTTGAGGGTATATAACAGCTCCTATCTCTTTTTGCAACTCAGTTGAAAACTTGTTCTTCTCGTTCCATATAGGACTAGTTGTTCCATATAGTCAGGGTCGCCGCTCCGGGAAATCTAGGACTGGGGAAATAAATCGCTCCATCCACATTGCCTTGACAAAATGAAAGGATTTTTGTGCATTCTGGCACGCACCACGGTGATACTCAAGATCAAAATGGAGCTTTCGAAGAAAAGAGAAAAATCCAATCTTGAAATCGATTTTTCAGAGTTGGTCCGATCGGCGAACCTTTCAGCGGGCACCGTTTGGTTGGGTCGTCTCAGCCGTTCCACTAGAAATGCTCTCTTTGATTGGAATGACTCGGCTTCTTCGCATTTTCACCCTTTTTCATTCATATTGAGTAGATTCACTGATTGCAACTGTTGCAGAAAGCGTTCGTGATTGTCTTTGAATTGTTGAGCGTTTGGATTCCAGAAGATCATCACACAAATGAATCTTTCTGATGAAAAAGAAGTGACAATCAACATCGAGTTGCATGTAGGATGAACAGGAGACTTTCTTCACGTAAATATTATTGCTAAGCAAAAAGTCTGCCCACCAAATCTCAGCCACTTGGCCAAAAGCCTGTTGGCCAAAAATGACGGATGGATCTCTCGAAAGCATTCTTTGAAATCCTTGATTCACTTTGGCCAACTCGACATCTTTTGCGTCCATTTGCTCTAAGATTTCGAACTTTAGGTCCAAGCATAGCCTTTCCATTGAAAATGATGTCAAATCTCTCATTTCAAACAGCATTCGAACGCTTGGCGAATTTGAAAGGAGCTACGGTAGAATGGATTCAATGAATGCGTTGTATCTAGAAATAAAACGATTAGACTTTGAAGTAAAAAACAGAGAATCAAAATACCTTCAAAAATGGCCGCATTCCAACTCGATCCGAAGCCAGGGTTTTCTCTCGATCCGAATTCCTTGTTTTCCCCTTCGTTTCCTCCAAAATCGGTCTTTCCTTCACTTGCGCCGCCGCCGAAACCGGACGAACCACCACCTAAATATAAAAATGTAAGGTAGAAGAAAGTAAGGAAGTAAAATTCTAAAGTTACAAAGTCTAAGCCTTAACATACTATTTCAACGTCAATCACCGCAATTCTATCTATTTAACGACATAGTTCCCACATTTGTTTAATGAGCAATCATGCTATCAATAAGCAAAAGTCAAACACAACATTCGATGCTCCAAAACCAGTCATATCACCAAATCCCATTTGTTGCAGAGGTAAAAGAAAACTGATTTTATAATTTCAAAATTAAATTAAAAACAAAGCAAAACGAAATATGATAAAAAAAACAATAAATGGGGTTTTTTAAATTTTGAAAAAACCCCCCCAAATAGGGAGAAGCGAATATGTTTTTGTGTACATTCTACCGTACACTCAGCTTAGTGCATGCTAAAACGTGGACTTTTTACAAGATGCAAAAGGCTAAAATTTGGAAAATTTTCTCATTCTGGTTCAACGATTAGCAGAGTTTAGCTTATAGTTCTGTCTATTCTGGTTTAACGTTTAGTAAAGCTTAGCCTATAGTGCCTGGTTTTATCCGTGTTTTTCTGTTTTCTCGCATCGCTTTCATTATTCTGCTGTATTGTTTTAATTTAGGTGACGGATGTCGGAGAATTCACAACTCGATGCCCTCAAGGCTCATCTGCTAGAGGAAATTTTTGCGAAGCTCAAGCCGAAGCCAGCGCCACCAGCACTTGCAAAACGAGGGCTCCCCATCCAAGCCACGCTCAACCATCAATTGATCGAGTTACTCGAAGAAGGAACCGATGAGAAACGAGCACAAGCCATTAAATTGTTGAAGGAGAGAAACGCCCTTCTCTTCGCCGCCGACAAGAACCCCAAAGCTTTCGAATTGATGGAGGCCGCCGAGAAAATGAAGTCTATCACCGAGGCAAGCGGGGACCCAAATCTTGGAACGCTCTTGATGGCTACACAACTGCTGAAAGACGAGCCTCCGCTCAAGCGGCGACACGACGAACATCCCTTTCATCAACGGGGCGGAGCTTCCGGCTACGCTTCGTCCCGATACAACCAAGGCCCATCAAACGCCGACGTGTTGCGAGCAATTGATGAACTCAAAGCCCAACAGCAAGCGCCAGCTCGATATGGTTACAATTCTCGAAGAGTTCAACAAGGTGCAAAATCTCTCCAATGCTACAGCTGTTACCAATATGGTCACACCCGCTTCAACTGCCGACAAGGAGGACCCAGCTCCAGACATTAGTAAGTTTGTTCAAGAGGTTTTTAGTAGATCGGTAGAGTTTTGGTCAAATATCGGAGCCTCGGTTTTTTGGTGTAACGTAGTCAAAAACGGTTATTTCATCCTTTTCCAATCACCACTAGTTCACAAACCCTGGGAGGACAACAGACCATCTGCCTTTTCCCACTCAGTTTTCGTGTCAAAAGAAATACAAGGCCTGCTAGAACGGGGAGCCACGACCATCGTAGAGAAGAGCACTCTCAAATGGTGTTCCCCTCTCATGGTGACGGCAAATAAAGACAAGCACAGGCTGATTTTAGATTTGTCGTATCTCAACACTTTTTTGCCCTATACCAAATTTCGTTTGGAAGACCTGTCTTCCATTTTCCATGCACTCCCGCCTAAGGGTTACATGATAAAGTTCGACTTTAAGAGCGGGTACCATCATGTAAAAATACACCAAGATTCCCAACCATATCTGGGTTTTTCCTGGCAAGGTGTCTATTACAAATTTTGTGTGCTCCCATTCGGACTTTCATCAGCCCCTTGGCTGTTCACAAAATTATTTCGACCCATGGTGCGGAAACTGCGAGAACAGGCAGTAAACATTTGTCTTTACCTGGATGACGGACTAGTCGTTGCAGACAATCTAGAGGAGATTAACCGAATGAAAGAGATTGTTTTGAACACGTTAGATCATTGTGAAGTGGCCCTGGCCACCGAGAAATGTGTATTAACGCCTACCCGGAGGCTCGATTTTCTAGGCTTCACCGTGAACCTAGAGGATAGTACAGTGTCAGTGGCGCAACACAGAGTTGCTAAAGCCCGTCGCCTAAACCAGAGGCTCCGATCAGAAATGAGTTCTATACAAGATCGTAAAAGATTTGTCGGTTCCATAATCTCGATGCATTTGGTCATTTTAGATGCGGTGAGGTCAACTCGGTACACATCGCAAGTGATTGCGAAACACGAAATGGGCGGCCGCACGGTGCAAAAAAATGGTAGCAGCTAATCCAGAAGAAGAACGTGAATGGGAAGGATGGACAAGGCGTTTGATGCAGCCTCTACAAAGAAAACTGGTTGATCAATTTTCTCCCGGTGAGTTTTCCCTTTTCACTGACGCGTCAGCCGTAGCTTTGGGAGCGGTTCTTGTAACCCCGGAAGGCACGTTTAGGGCTGCTAAAAATTTATCTAATACGGAACAGTTGCTCTCCAGCACAAACAGAGAACTCAGAGGCATTCTTTACGGCATTAACTCACTCAAACACAAAATTCCTAGCGGGATCTCACTGAGAGTTTTTACAGATAATCTAGGTGCAGCAGCCATAGTAAATAAGGGTAGCATGAAATCAGATTTACAAGCGCTCTCATTGGAGATTCACAAGTTTTCGAAGCTTAATCAAATCGTAATTTCTAGTTGGTGGATCCCCAGGGAATTAAACTATGAGGCAGATGAAATGAGTAGGCAAATTGACTTAGATGATTGGGAAATCAAATGGGAGGTAGCACAGCTAATCAAGCGGCGTTTTGGGGGTGCAGATATAGACATGTTCGCGGACGAGAAAAATGCAAAATGTAATTTGTTTGTTTCTAGATGGTCTTGTTCGAAAGCAGCCGGTGAAGATGCATTCGCGTGTTTGGGACTGTGGGCCCCTCCAAATCGACTCTGGTGTATTCCACCGCCCGCCGCCCTCTGCAGAACGATCAGGTTGGCAAAGTTTATGCAAGCCAAGGGAATCCTAAGCCCTAAAACGTTCACTCATACAATAATAATGTTTTGCTTTAGTCGATCTCTTCCTGGAGAAATGGCAACCGATTCTCAAAGTGGCCGCGTCCCTCGACCTTCCCCAAGCCCTCAACGAAAAGATCAGCCTCATCGCAACGAACGAATTGGCACCGGCAACACTTCGTCTGTACGCCCAAGCAGAGAGGTCGCGACGTGCGTTCGCTGAGAAAATTGACTGCAATCGCGACGACTCGATGTCACTGATCATATTTCTGCTGAACAAAGTTGGAAAGGTTGGTCCGGCCAACCTCCACCTCAACATCGCCGCGTTTAAATTCTTCAATGGAGAACCAAAAGGACAGCGATTTCGAGTAAATCGATCAAGTTCGGTGAAGAAAAGTGACATCGAACGGTTATTAAACCGGCAAAATCATTTTTAAGCAAGTTACCAATAAATTTATTTTTAACAACAACAAAAACGTAATAAGAGAAAGATAAGGAAATGATTGCTGAAACGGTGAAAGATAACAAAAAGCGATCAATAGATTGCGGATAACAATAACAGATACTTTACAGATAACGGGAATTGTAAAAGGATCATTTGGGGGCACAATGAGTATAGCCAAGTTTAGCTGAACTGATTGGCAAGACCATTATCCGTAAATTACCGCAAAAACAATAGGAAATTGGTGAAACTTAACAGAAATCCGAAAAAAACGATCGTTCCGTAGAAGTAGAAAGCATGTAGAAAGCATAAAATCTGGTGTATTTCACACCAAAACCATGAAAAGTAATTACGTAAATGCAATCCTTCGTCAAGTCGATTTTTTGTCGGAGGCATAAAGCCACCTTGTCAGAACGCCCATAGTTCGACAATTTTTTTGCCTTTTCAAGTAAAGATACGCGATTTTCTCCAACGATTTCTTCCATTCCAGGATATTTCGTGAGAAATGAAATGATCTCATTCATTTTTTCGAGTGGAATCAAGGTCCAAGTATGAAAGCCAGCTTCGGGCATTTTGCTTGGAATTCCATGCTTGACGATCCATTGAACGGCCAAGAAGAGATTGCCCTCATTCATTTCGATCCTTTTAACCCGAGTCTTTTTCAGAGCCTGATAGCAAACGCGAAAGAGCTCTTCGAAGGAACAGTTCAGTATGATTTCCTCACAGTCTGTCAATTTCGTTTCAATGAAATTTCTGAGAAGATCGCTGACTGATTGATCTTCTTCGAATGACTCGATTCTAGTGTCTACATTTGCATACTCGTTGACGGATGCGTGAAAATGGGTAAAGAACTTTGTGAGATCAGTGATTGACTCCACGAAAAACTCGAGACGATTTACCGACTTCAACTGCTCCAGGATCGTTTGATGAGTTTCATTGACGTCACACAGGCCCACACCGGTCCAAATGAGGGGTTTCCGCTCAAACAAGACCTTCAAGTCATAGCATGAATTGATTCGTTTGATGAAAGGAAGCAGATTGGCATCCAATTGAATGAGCGGTGAATCCTCGAACTTCTTGATCCAATTCTGATTCTCCGTCAAAGAAACCAGAGCAACTTTCTTTCCAAAAACGATCGATTGATCCCCGGCATAGCTCGCGTAGAGTCTCCTATTCAACATCATCACTTTCTGTACATCTTCCACATCGAGACATCGCGCCACCTTCTCGATCAACTCCAACGGGAAATCCTCGATCGATTTATTTCCCTGATAGCCATCCCCATCGTTTTGTTTCTCCTTTTCCCGACCATTCTCTTTTGGGCTTCTTTCGGTCATTTTGCGCCTGAAATTTAAGAAATATCATTAAATTTGAAGAACAAAGCGGTACTTTACGGATAACGAGGAAGACAAAAAAAGGGAGTAAGTTTTTTGTTTCTCACAAAGTAATTTTATATTGAATTTACGTAAAGCCACACAAAAAAAACAAAGTGACAACGTTTATTTATCACAGAAAAATGAAAAAAAGGGCAACAACACAACAAATAATATGAAAATTGAATAACCTTGCGTCAAAAATATTAAAAATCAACAAAAACACGAGAAATCACTTATGCGAGTATCCGAAAGATTCGTGCCTTGAAATCGCTTCCGGAAATGGCAAAAATCGGCTCTTCCGCATTAACATTGGTGGCATTCGAGCGGCAGCTGAAATGAAAACGACTTAGCAATCGATACTTTTCCTCCTCAACTATGAGATAAACAATTTGCTTTGCCTTTTATCTATTTTATGCAAAATTAACGGTTATTAAACCGGTAAAAATAATTTTTAAGCAAGTTATCCATAGATTTATTTTTAACAACAACAAAAACGTAATAAGAGAAAGAGAAAGATAAAGAAATTAACATAACGCAGAAATGATTGATGAAACGGCGAAAGATAACAAAAAGCGATCAATAGATAAATAATAACGATAAATAGCAATAAATAACAATAAAAGATACTTTACGGATAACGGGAATTGTAAAAGGATAATTTTCTATCTATTAACTGAATATTTCTTAGCTGATGAGAAGGGGTGTTTTTGCGACAAAATCGACGATTCATTTTTTACTTCTCGCTTTTGGTCTGAATCTTTTGTTTCCAGTAATTTTCTAGACTACTATGCTATCCATATTTTTATAGATCTTTTCGAAAATGATTTTTTTCGGGCATGAAAAAGCCGCAAATGACTTATGGTCGAAAATTCTCAAAAAAATCAAGGGTCCATTTGAAATTCTTCTTTAATTTTTTTTTGCTTTTCTTGATCTCATGCTAGTATGTTTGTGTAAAAGAAAGCATAAAAGAAAGCATAAAACAAAACGTCTATCGCGTGTAATCTAAATTTACAAATTAATTCATTTCATTTTTAATTTTTTTAATTCAAAAATCAAATAAACTCTATGCCAAAGACACGAAATTTGAGAAGAAACCCAAAAAACAAAAGAAAAATATATTTTGTTTTGCAAAGAGTAAAACAACATTTAGATATACAAAATATATCTATAAGGGGTGTATCAGATAACGAAGAAAAAGAAAAAGGCAATACCGGTATGGGGAAGAAAAATCAAAAATAAAACAAGAAAAACAAGTACACGGCAATTTGAAAACTCTATCGACAATACGAATTTGGGGGAGAAAAACGAAGTGATTCATGAGTTTTCTAAAAAGTGAGGAAAATTACGGTAATCCTGTGGTACTCCTATGGTAATCCTATGGTCATTTTTGTTATCCCTATCATTTGAGTCTTGTGAGTCCCAGAAAAGGGTCCCAGGCTAGCTTTGTGAGTCCCAGAAAAGGCAATCAGTTTTCAAAAAAGTATTTTCGTAACCTGCACCTTTCCTAAAGCGCGCTCCTCAAAGCTACCGTAATCCCGGCTCTATTCCTTATCCAAACTCTATTTTAGCCCAATTCTGTTTTCGAGGAGAATCTCGGAAAGTACACAAAATTTGGATGAAAAATCGAGCAAAGACTACGGTAGTTATCTCAAAAAGGGCACTTTCTCGAAACATTAGAAATCGAGATAGAAATTTGCATTTAAGCTTAGAATCCCTTTAGAAGTCCGTAACTTCCCCCAAAACCAGCGCTAGCCTCAAAAAAATTTACATAAATTTGTCAATAACATTCAGAAAAACAACAATCGTAAAATGTTACGGGGAGAATTTCAAGGGAAAACTCGAATGCGCCAAAAAATCACAGCTAAAATCGACCCACAAACAAATTTGAGACAACGAGAAATTCCGAGAGAAACACTTTTTTACAAAAACACACTCAATAAAAGCAGTAAGACGAAGAGTTGAGCAACAAATGACTAAGGGGAAATTGAAACGGCAAAAAAAGCTACTATGCGATCCAGGATTTGCAAAAAGACAAAACACCATGTATTTTTTGACAGTTTCAGAGTCCCATTCGTGCACCAACCGACCCGGCGATTGTCGCCTCGTTTTTCGCCGCGTTTCGTCGAACACTAAAGCAAACAAGAATTAACGATTTCTAAAATATTCGACCACCCTCTACGTTTCACTTACAAGGGAAAGTCAAAGTGGCCCTTTGCAACGAGACCACATCCATCTTATATAATCGGCTATGGAAATCTTGAATTCGTTCTCCGTTTTTGCAAAACGCTTCGCAATTGCGATATATCTATCTGGCATAGTTCTAGAAAGCAAAAAGTTTGGCGTGCACGTGTGGGAGTCCAACTTGGGACACCATGGGTTCGGTAGCCTAGCACACTATCCATTACACCACCGAGGACGTTGTTTAGATTTCGTGTGGCACCCCCATAAAGAGTCCGAAATTTCGGGTAATTTTCTATGAGAGATATCTCACGATTGCAAAGGGTTTTGCAAAAACGGAAAACGGATTCGAGGTTCCCATAGCCGATTATATAAGATGGATGTGGTTGCAAAAGGTCACTTTGCGTCTACAGGTCTTCAGTAAAAAAATGCTTGGTACACCATTTTACATGTAAAATCATTTACCCAGCTGCTGCAGGTGGTGGTTGATCTCCGTGCGCGTATCGGCATCGATCTCCAAACGAGCATCCAGTGGCCGTTCCGTACGTTCGACACTGTCGATATCCACCCATCACTGGCCCATTGAACGGTCCACGGGGTTTGATTGCCGGTCGCTCGAAATGTCCTCCTCCAACTCCACCACCAGGGCCTCCATAATGTGCTTGCTAAAATGTAAATTATTCGTCTTAATGTACAAAAAAAAGTCCCTAAAGCTGTAAAATGGCGCTCAATTAGGTATTTAGGCTAGAAGTTCTAGACTTAAGATCATCCACTCAAATTCCCAACAACAAACCTCAATATTTCTTGGCGCTGGGGGCACAACGATGGGCATTTGGTTAAAAGTGGCGCTCACTGGCAACGCAGGTGCGCTTTGCGACGAGAAATGTGGAGTGATCGGTTGTGGAGGCATCGTGGCGACATACGAATGCTAAAAATTAATCAAAATGAACATTGGATCGATACTTTATCGCTGAAACTGCTTTAACAAAAATGTAAATAAGCCTCTATGTCAGCAAATTAATTACCTGTGTCGGAGCAGTTTGCGTGATCGTTGCTGAAGCTCGAGTGTAGACATTAGCTGGTGGTTGATGGTAGTTGGAGACCATTGGACGACTGATCGTTGATGACATCGACGGCATTGTAGATGAAGCGGCTGTGACAGGAGGCAGATAGAATTCCTAGAAAACAAAAACAATTAGTCAAGTACAAAAATTTAAAAGGTAATCAGTTGGCTTTTTTTTTTGTTTTAAAGTTTTCCGTTTAATCTGCCAATCGAACTTTAGATCTATTTCAAAATTTTTGCTTCACTTAAAAGATTCACAAAATTTTTGCTTCACTTTTCACCTGTTGATAAGTCGGTTGAGCCGGTTGCGAATAGATTGGAGCGACCATTGGCGGGGCAGCTTGTTGTTGTAGTGGTTGAGTGGGTTGACCAGCCACCGGGCTTCCTTGCAAGATGCCATTGCTTTTCAACTTCGAGAGGAGATCCTAGAAATATCGGAATTTGTCAATTCTTGATCAACAGTGAACTTTCAATTATTAGCTGAATATCCTTTAAAATCTCAAAACCACCCACCATCACTTTGCTTCTCTCGGGCAAAAGAGCGGTCAATGGAGTCACTGGAACCGTAGGTGCAGTTGTCGCTGGCGTCGCAATCCCCGCAATCCCCGGAACCGCATCCGCATCACTCTTCAGCACGTTGACCACCTGAAAGTTTACAAAATCGATCGATTTAGATGGCCGAAGTGTCGCAGGACTTAAAAATCTAATTTTTCAGTACTTTCAAGAGCTCAAAACTTCCGCTGCATTTCGTGAAAAATCTAAAATCTACTCAATTTTCACCCCATGTACCCACCAGCTCAGAGTTCCAGAAAATTTGCATTTAAAATCAATTACACACTACGTGGCGTCGCTTGATACGGTAGCACGATAGGGCTGCCCGCGAACCATGTGTAAATGGGTTTTAAATGCAAATTCTCTGGAATCCATTAAAACCATCTTTTCTCTTCACTTTCCCCAAGTGTCCACCAAGTGAAATTTTATTGAAAATATCAACACGTTTGCGGGAAGAACGCAAAAATCGGAGGAAATTAGGCGAAAAACGGTCAAAGAAAGGAATCGCAAGGACATTTCACATAAAAATCGCTTTTCTTCACAACAACTGACATTTGGAGTAGCTGCAGGTGTTGTTGTTGTTGATTGAGATGATGAAGTTGAAGCTGGTGTTGCTGCGGCAATTGTTGTGGCTGGTTGCTGGACTGGGCAAGTCAATGGAATCGCTTTTGGCCGATGTCGATCCGTTGCACGAGCGTCAACCAATGGTGGTTCTTCGAAGCGAGTGACACCACTAAAAAGGAGCGAATTGAACGGATTTGGGAAAAAACGTTATTCCCCATTAACATTAAAACTTCGATTGTTGAAAGAATTCAGTCTAAAAATGCATTCTTACTCTTAAGTTACCGGCTTAATAAGAGTTTACCCTCAAATAAACAGTTTATAACATAAAGTTACCGGTTTAATACAAAATTTTATAAAATTATCCGTGGTCAAAGCATAGACTCAAAGTATTTATTCTATTTATTTATTCAAAGATGTTTAGAACTTTACGTATTAGTTTCTTTATGTAAAGTTACACATCTGGCCTCGAGCCTTCGAATTAACAAATTGTCAATTGCCATTAACAATCAAAGTCAATTGACAAGCAATATCTCATAAAGTCATCAAAACCTATTTCACTCACCGTCCCGGCATATAAAAAGCTTCCAAAGCTCTTTGTTGCCTTCTCGTTTCATTCTTCGCCTCAACCGACTTCGTTCCATAGCCTCTCGTTGGCAGATTGCTTAGCCCAATGACGCGCCACTAAAAAAATAATTTGAAACTTTGATATTTAACTCTTAAGGTCCGACTTAAAAGCAGCATACCTTATTCTCGCTGTTTCCGATCGCATCCATCGTGTATCCCTCCATCGGATCATCCTCCGAGAATTCTTGTTTCATTTCCGATTTAGCGGCGGCGCCGTGTTTTCCCAAAGCTCTAAACAAAAACATTAGCCAGCTCAATCAATGGTGAACTCAAAATTCCTTACTTCTTCTCCATTTGAACCTCCATTGCCCGAATCTGCTCATGGGTAAGCGTGTTGACATTGACTGAAACGGGCGAACGTTTATTCTTTTGCTTTCGCACGTCTTTACCTCGTTCACCTTCCTCCACCTCGAAGTAACGCACATCGACGAGAGGTCGACCATGATCGTCGGCAAATCTAAACGAAACAAAGGTTGAATCATTGATCTAGTGACCTTCTAAACATTTAGTCTGCGCATTTGCCATACTAATTGCCAAATTTTGTCAATTTTAACTACCATACCTGATCTTGGCAACCCTTTCTGGGGGTGGTGGTGAGATTGGTGTAGGCGTCTTGACTTCAGGTGGGCTCTTCGGTCCATCTACATGTGTTCCACTGCTGCTGCCTCCTTGCATGTAATCAATCGTCGATGATGTCTCGTGCATTTTGTTCATCTTGTTGTAGATGCCACTCTAAATCTAATTGTTATTGGCAAGTTCAAAGATTCTCCAAGATCCGATTGTTAATCACAAGTTTCCCCCACCAAAAGATCCTCCTCACTCGATCGTCTCTTCTTCCTTTCATTCACCATTCGTGGTCGTTTCTTCTCCTTTTCCGTCGTCGATCCACCACCCAAAGCATCCATGAAGCTCGACGACTGGATCACATTTCCTAAAAGCAACAAAAAGTTGATCATTACTCTGTAAAAACTCACTTTTGCTTCCAGTGGCTACTTCTCGTCCATTCTGTAGTCCCGTCCGGCTCTTCGCTGGCTTGCGCGGCGCGGGTCGGTCTAAAAAGAAAAATGTAGCGAAAGATTGTGCAAAAAAAAAGGAAAGAGCTTAATTAACTACCGAGCACGTTACACTTGGACTCTTGGAATTGCACTGAAATTTTTGTAGCAACAACTCTCCGTAAACGGTTTCGACAATAAATCTTGATATTGAGCTGTTAAAAAATGGTCAAATATAGGAAAAAAGGAGAGTTTTTACTAGTTCCGAGATTTTCGAGCTTTAATATCGAAACTTAAAGAGTGACAAACGATTTGAATCGCTGATTCATTTCATGAAACATTTGGATCGAGATTGTCTCGTGAGCAAAAACGACATGAGAAATAGGGACCAAAAGGTCTTCAACCGATCGAATGGCTTGCCATAATCTAGTGGCTTTCCCAAAAACATCAAGGAAATGTAGTCGTGTCATCGATTGGGTTAGTTTATGATGTGATATGGGATAAAGCCAAGAAATGTTTGACATTGGGGATGATAGAGACTGGAAATAGCTAGAGGTAGAGCTAGCAAATTGGGATCAAAATTGAATCATTTCGTTGAATTTAACCGAAAGTGAATTGGGTCACTGCTTGGGAAAGGGCTTCAAAAGATAGTTTCCCGTCAGGAATGGGGATCTAGTTTCGCGAGCGTATCTAGACTTTGACTTAACCGGAAGTGTTCTTGGACTACTAATTGGGGTCGATAATGGTTTTTCAAAGTTGAATCTCTTTAATGAGTTTCGTCAATAATAGATCTGGGCATGAAAATCAGCGGGTTACTCTCTCAAATCCAAAAAGGGTGGTTTTGTGAAAATGGGCAAATCGAAAGCGAGATTTTAAATTGACCTTCTTTTTGGCCTATCTCCTATCTTATCACTAGATTTGGTTGATTTTTTCGAATACGAACGAGTATTTCTACTGAAACGCAACGTGTCTGATAGCATATTTGATAAAATTTGTTGAGCTAAATGATTAAAAAAAATGAAAATTCTAGCTACTCTTTGAAAAGAGAAAGACAAGTTTTGATAATTTTTCCTATTTCACGCTCTTTCGAACTGTTGGAGGCTATTTTTCACTTTTCACACTACCAAACTTTATTCTTCATTGGTTCTCTTTTGATCAATAAAGATGGAAAACTACACAAAAATGCCATCATGCTTTAGCATTTTCAATCGGACATCAATCACACATGGCATTTTGATGTGAAGAAGAAGAAAGAATCAAAAAAAGAAAAGGAGAAAAACAGCTTACTTCTCTCTTCACTTCGGTTTACCAGTTCTGCGGTGCGATTTTAGCATTTCTTTCGAATTGCTAATGCCAACTTTGTGCTCTGTATGTGTTTTTAGGAAAAACAGAATCAAATTCTGTTATTTCAAAAGATTTACAATACAAGGGTCTTTTGTCGTGTTTTTCACTTAGATTGTGAGCAAAAGCAATTAATTTTGCTCGACGAATAAATCAGTGCAATTCTGCGTCCAAATGGTAACGTGTGGCATCCAAAAATGGAGCAGGAAAGCAAATTTTTCAGATTTGCTTCGCCACCGGTCACATCTCCCGATCAGCTACCTGAAAGCTGAATGTTCAAAACAGTCATGTCTAGATTTTTATTACTTCTACAACCCAATCTTTGAGTTTATTCACGTCTGAGCTTGACTAATTACTTAAAATCCTTTGCTAGTCTTTTAGTGCCTATATAACATCCAGTGCCTATACCACATTCCACTTTTCGTAAAATATGGTTTTATTTGCCAATATCGCACAAGTGGATCTTTTTTAATTAATCAAAAATCACATACCTGAATTAATGTTCATTGATGATGTTCCTACAATCGACATTGAAACCAAGGCCATCAACGACAAGTCGGTAGCTGTTGAACCTGAAAAAAGAGAAAAGTTTAATGTATAAGATAAACTTTCGTTAACAGACTCAATTATTATTGCAAAGCTAATCGTATTTGAACATTTTGAATAAGAATTGATGAAATAAAGCAAGATCAAAAAGGGCAAAAGAAGAGGGGTAATTGGTAATTGAAAGTTGGCAACGATTTCAATCGGAAGTGCAATTACAATGAGAATTGATAGATGTCAGCGATCGATAATTGACCAGAGACGGTGGATAAGAAAAATGGGTGACAGAGACAAAAGTGTTTGGGACAGCCGAAAGGATACCTAAAGTTTCAAAAACTTTTTGAAGGCAGGTTTAAGCTTTATAGAGGGAAAAGGGACATGAATCCATTATCGGGATGTCAATCCGCTTATGAAACGGACGTCCCCGCTTCAAATCGATTAGCTGCCTTAACAGGAGACGGGGGAACAGTCTAGGTTCCTGCTTAAATCTTGTAGCGAATGGGGTCAGCGACTAAAAGTTCCTAAATATGACTCCAGCTGTTCTCTAAACGATCAAGACAGGGTCTCATCATCTAATCGATTCTCAGTAAGTTGCAAGAGGAATGACTCATTTTAGACTCGACACAGTCTGTAAGAAGATTCGAATCGTTGTAAAGCAGCTGGATTTTATCATTTAACTTCGCAAGCCCAAGAAGAAAGCTTACCAAGCTCTCTTTTAAAGCACTTTTAATCCGATGATCAAATGCTTGATCTTTAAGGCAATGCTTGTGAAATTGAAAGGAATTTCGGGACAAACGGATCGATAATTGATTGAAGAACAACAATTAAGCTTAGAACTGTTCAACGTGATCATTCAGTGGCATCTGAACAAAACCAAGTGATAAACAAGATCTTTAAGAAAGTCTGATTCATGCAATCTTTGACAAGAATGAAATTCCATTGTAAATCCACGTGATTTCATCTGACACAATGTTTTATCTCAACAAATTTCATTAAAAATCTTCAAATTGATGAGTTTTTATCCAAAAATTGTCCGTGTCTCATTGTTTGGTGCGTTTTCATGTGTAATTTTTGACAGTCAGCATCAAATGTATTAGCACATTCAACACTCTTCGACAAAAATTTGCATAGACATAGTTAAGAAATCGATGTTTTTGAGAAAAGCGAAGGGAATCTTGATAAAAATGATCGAGAATACATTAAAATCTCTACTGAACACTGGATTTTGTCACTTTTTGTGATGTTGCTTGGTGTTTTGTTCGAATAAACTCGACTTTGTGTGAAAATTTTATGGGAAACTTCAAACAAATATGTCAAGTACATGATTTTATATTTCTTATAGCTGTTTTAACTCAAATTTTTGTAATTTCCAGCTAATTTTATGGAAAACTTGAAACAAATAAGTAAATAAGCGCTGATTTTGTACTTGCTAGAGCTGTTTTCGCCCTAGTTTATCCCCTAGTTGTTCTAATTGACCTATTTTCGTTTCATTCGATGGCTAACAACTATCTCAATCGAATCATTGCAAAATCAAATCGATAGTGCCCAAGAAAACATCGCTAAAACGCATCTAAGCAAGGGAAACAAAGTAATGACGCAAAATGTTCATGGCTAACCATCTGTTCCAAGTTTCCCACAAATTTTAACGCCATTTAACGCAATTTAACGCCAAAGAATAAAGTCTCGACTATCAAAAAGTCTCAAATTTCCGTGATTCGCGTAAAAACACCAAACAACATCCAATAAAAGGCAAGGAAACTCGTGTTTCGATAACTTTGACAAAGATAGACAATGTAAGAGAAGAAATCTCCCACAAATCCCTACCTTTTCCAACCGATTTTTCTCCAAAATTGTCCAAATTGTATCACAGTAGATCAGCACACAAAACACACGTGTTCCTCTCTCGACGAAAACAAAGAATACCTGAAAATTGAAATATAAAATCGTTTAGCAAAGTTAAAAGCACAAAAAAGAAAAGAAAAACATGTGAAAATGGTTGTTTAAAGGATTTCAATTCACTCAGTCGTGTTCTTGAACAAATTTCGCGTGTTTTTGATACGAAAATAGGTGTCAGCTTTTCATTTTTGGATGTAGAGCATTTAAAATGACACAATCTTGGGAAGAGCTTAGTTGTTTTTAAGCTTAAAACACATCAAACATATCCAAAACTGGGTAAATCATCAAATTTACACGAAATCTGGGGGTGGCTACTTTGCGCAACTCGCTATAACTGCCTTTTAAGTGGGTCAATCTTTATGATTTTGATGTCATTTTGTTGCACTTATTGAGATCTATAAAATAACACCAAAAGCATAAAGATTGATCGACTTAGAAGAAAGTTATGGCGAGTTGCGCAAAAAAATTGGCGCAAAGTAGCCAAAGGGTTAGCCGACCCAAAAACAGAAATCTAGACCAGGATATTGGCTTTTTGTTTGAAAAGCACTAGATACGTTTAATTTTCGTTAATTCAACGCGAAATCTTGCAAATTAAGGGCTAAACCACTCAAAAACATCAAAAGATAGCTTTCTTGCCCTACTTTGAACGCTTTTTCATAGTAAAATCAACAAATAGGTCAAACTAATTGAACAAAAGTTGGAGAACTACGTTTTAAATAAGTTTACAATAATAAAATCAACGATAAAGATTTCGAAAATGGTGATACGAAAGAAATGCGGAAATTCTCTCGTCAGAAAGAGGCAAGATCGATTGAGAGAAGAACACGTGACGCCCCCTGCACATCAGGGAAATCAAAGGAAAAGAATGGCGGGCGTTTGAAAAAGGGGAAAAAAAGCAGGCATATCGTAGACTTTTGGAGGGATTTTGAAATGAGAAATGTATGAAATTTGGATTTTTTTTAAGAAACACTTTGGAAATAGGGCAGCTACGCAAACGTGAAAGCGCGTTTTGGGGAGTCGGACAAATGCGACCTTTTTTTGCGTAGCTGCCCTATTTCCGAAATGTTTCTTTTCGGACGGAGTTATAGAAAGAGAAAAATCGACAATTTTCTGTAATTTGATCTAGCCGTTTTGTCTTTCAAATTGGTTCCACACGCTCTGTTATGTCAAAATTTGAATTCGACACCCTCAAATTACCTAGAAGAACAACTTTTGGAATAGAAATTGGTTAATATCAGCTTTTCAGAGCTTTTTTAAAACGCGAAAAAAGGTGCGCTAATAGGCCAGGTGCGGAAAAAAAAGTGCGGAAATGTCCGGGTGCGCAAAAAAAAGGTCGCATTTGTCCCACTCCCGGTTTTGAAGAATAGCTGCGTAGCTGTCCAATTTGTGGTCGATTCAAAGCAGAATTGAAAGATACAATCGTCAAAAAAGGGGAGTTGATCAAAACAACGGCAAAATAATGCGCTTGCGGTTAAGTTTATTTGTGTTTCTTCTTTTCATTGGATGTATACAAAAAAATGAGCTATCTGCTGAATTTTTTGGAGCCGTTTAGAAGAAATCTCGGATGAGAAAATGCCAAAAAAAAAAAAAAAAAAACGAAAAAGGGCCTAAAAAGAGGTTAACTGAGCTTTTCTCGACACCAATTCTGTTTTAAGTGATCCCAAAGTATACGAAATGTAGATAATTTTATTCTGCATCTAATAAGAATAAGAAACTCATAGAAACTTAACCGCGGAGGGGTTATTTTTGCCGTGACGCTGTTTGTAAACGGCGTTGTTTTGATCAGCTCCCAAAAAAAAAGTCTCATTTGATGCATAGATCACATCCAAATATATCCATATCCAATAAAAATCTGTTTTTCAAGACTGGATCCCATTGCAAAACTATTCCAATTATAATCGCATTAGATCGTCTATGACTTATTTATTTTGTTCTGGCGAAAATGAAAAGCACTTTTGAAGCCTTGAACAAAATCATAACCATAAAAATGACCTTACCCTCTTATTCGTAAGTTAAAGATCTAAAAATATCAACTTAAAGCTCTCACAAAATACTAATTGGGATCGATTTATTTGAATGTGATCTAACCGGAGAAAAATGAAACAACATTGGCCGGTCAAGACTTTTTTGACGACTCTATTCAAGTCAAAGATGCAAGAGAGCTGAGCGTGGCTACTTTGTGCCAAATTTTTTTGCGCAACAGGGTCGTTTGCGCGACTCGCCATAACTTCCTTTTAAGTGGACCAATCTTTATGATTTTGGTTTCATTTTGTTGCACTTATTGAGATCTACAAAATGACATCAAAATCATAAAGATTGGCCTATTCAGAACAAAGTTATAGCGAGTTGCGGAAATTAGCCTACCCCAGAGAGCTTTCAAAAGTAGCAAATCGATCAAGTTCGGTGAAGAAAAGTGACATCAAACGGTTATTAAACCGGCAAAAATTATTCTTAAGCAAGTTATCCATAAATTTATTTTTAACAACAACAACAACAACGTAATAAGTGAAAGATAAGGAAATTAACATAACGCAGAAATGATTGCTGAAACGGTCAAAGATAACAAAAAGCGATCAATAGATTGCGGATAACAATAGCAGATACTTTACGGATAACGGGAATTGTAAAAGGATCATTTGGGGGCACAATGAGTATAGCCAAATTTAGCTGAACTGATTGGCAAGACCATTATCCGTAAATTACCGCAAAAACAATAGGAAATTGGTGAAATTTAACAGAAATCCGAAACAAACGATCATTCCGTAGAAGTAGAAAGGATGTAGAAGGCATGAAATTTCATGTAAGATTTCACACCAAAGTTACCGTAACTTTTCCCACAATGAATGACGTAAATGCAATCCTTCGTTAAGTCGATTTTTTGTCGGAGGCATAAAACCACCTTGTCGGAAGCATTGCCAAAAGGTTCATATTTCGACAATTTTTTTGCCTTTTCAAGTAAAGATACGCGATTTTCTCCAACGATTTGTTTCATTCCAGGATATTTCTCGAGAAACCTGACAAACGAAATGGCCTCATTCCTTTTTTCGTGCGAAACACTGGTCCAAGTATAAAAGCCAGCTTCGGGCATTTTGCTTGGGATTCCATGCTTGATGATCCATTGAGCGGCGAAGAAGAGATTGCCCTCATTCATTTCGATCCTTTTAACCCGAGTCTTTTTCAGAGCCTGATAGCAAACGTGAAAGAGCTCTTCAAAGGAACAGTTCAGTCTGATTTCCTCACAATCCGTCAATTGCGTTTCAATAAAATTTCCGAGAAGACCGCTGACTGATTGATCTTCTTCGAATGAATTGGTTCTAATGTATACATTTGCATACTCGTTGACGGATGCATGAAAATGGGTGAAGAACTTTGTGAGATCAGTGATTGACTCTACGGAAAGCTTCAGACGATTTACCGACTTCAACTGCTCCAGGCTCGTTTTATGAATTTCATCGATGTCACACGGGCCCACACCGGTCCAAATACACAATTCATCACCTGAAGTCACTCGTTTGATCAAATGAAGATGATTATCGAAATCCAGCTCAAATTTTCGTGAATAGCGGTGCTTCTTGACGAAGCGTTTCTGCACGAACATCACCTTCAATTTATCACATGTATTGATTCGTTTGATGAAAGCAAGCAGATTGGCATCCAATTGAATGGGCGGTGAATCCTCGAACTTCTTGATCCAATTCAGATTCTTCGCCAAAGAAACCACAGCAACTTTCTTTCCAAAAACGATCGATTGATCCCCGGCAAAGCTCGCGTAGAGTCTCCTGTTCAACATCATCAACTTCGGAACATCTTCCACATCAAGATGTCGCGCCATCTTCTCGATCAACTCCAACGGTAAATCCTCGATCGATTTATTTCCCTGATAGCCATCCCCGTCGTTTTGTTTCTCCTTTTCTGGATCATTCTCTTTTGGGCTTCTTTCGGTCATTTTGCGCCTGAAATTTAAGAAATATCATTAAATTTAAAGAACAAAGCGGTACTTTACGGATAACGAGGAAGACAAAAAAGGAGTAAGTTGTTAAAGCAATCAAAAAGTGTCCTATAAACTCAAACGTTCGCAAATTTCTCGAATGGACGTTGAAAATGAGCTAAAACGCGCAAAACACGTATAACAAGCCTGTATGAAGCTTTCGAGAGCAATTTTAGCGCTGATAAGCACTTAAACATGTCAAACAGAGCATTTCTAACTAGAGCATAACGATTTTTCACTAATTTCAAGTTTTTTCTCTCACAAAGTAATTTTATATTGCATTTACGTAAAGCCACACAAAAAAAACAAAGTGTAAAACGTTTATTTATCATAGGAAAATGAAAAAAAGGAAAACAACACAACAAATCACATGAAATTTGAATAACTTTGCGTCAAAAATATTAAAAATCAACGAAAAGACGAGAAATCACTTATGCGAGTATCCGAAAGATTCGTGCCTTGAAATCGCTTCCGGAAATGGCAAAAATCGGCTCTTCCGCATTAACATTTGTGGCATTCGGGCGGAAACTGAAATAAAAACTATCTAGCAATTGATACTTTTCCTCCTCAACTATGATATAAACAATTTGCTTTGCCTGTTATCTATTTTGTGCAAATTAACGCAAGTTGTCATGAACTTAAAGAGAACTGCAAATCGTTTTGCTTTAAAACGCAGGCTAAGCCTTTTCCCCAACATGGGATAAGCTGCAAATGGTTTGAAGCGACAAAAAGCAAAATTGCCAATACTTTTGCTAATTATATAACTAGAAGCTTAAATGTGCTTTAAAGCTCGAATCGGCCATTAGAATTTAATTGATTCTTACGCTTTAAAACCTTTAAAAAACTGAGACATGAAACCAAATTAAACCTAAAACAAGTCCAATTTTAGTTTCAAATCTCTTACCATATTCTTGTCACGGGTGATCCAACGGGAAATCCTCAATCCATCTCGATCCATCTCGATCCATCTCACTCCATCTTCCCGTTTTCTCCTCTCGTTCTTCTCAAACTTTCTTCTCTTTTGTCCATGCGTTTCGACCGAAATTCTTGTGCCTGAAAATAAAAAATCTTATTGAGATTGAGAAAATAAACGGCTGATAAACTTTATTAGCTTTGATTGAAAACTTTTATGGGTAAGAATAGATTTATCAACTAGCGAACACTTGGAACTAAAGAAAACCACTAGTTTAAACCAATATTTCAAGCTGAACATGATTAAACTGTTGTCAAATCCCTTTATGATCCCCTCTAACTCACCTTACACGCCGTTGCCAGCAGCTTCCCATTTGGACTCACAGCCACCGCGTACACTTCATACCAGTATCCATACAATTTGTACACCTCAGGCTACAGCGTGTTCTGCATTAAGATGTCCTCGGTGGGCGCAACTGGAAATGCTACAATAGTTTTGTCATTTAAAAACTCAAACCATTCAAAAGCATAGCCTTTCCATTGAAAATGATGTCAAATCTCTCTTTCAAACAGCATTCGAACGCTCGCCGAATTGAACCACGAAATTTCTATCTGAAAATAAAACGATTAAACTTTGAAGAAAATTAAAAAAAAACAGATAATCAAAATAAGCTTGAAGATCAACTTCTGTTCTGCTGAACTTTTCAAAACAAATGCACTAACTTAATGAGTTGAGCACTAACTTTTTATACGTCACAAATCAACGCTCTCAAAAAAGCTTCTAGAACGTCTAAATGGGTAAAAAATGAAAAGAAAAGTAAAGTAAAGTAAAGTAAAGTAAAGTAAAGTAAAGTAAAGTAAAGTCACATTACGCACTTTAAAGGATGCTTTAAAAATTTGCTTAAAGAAACGTCATTTTATCGAACAAAAGCTGAATTAGCTGAACAAAAGCTTAAGGGGAAATTTGTGACATATTTGCGGATAAAGGTAGACTAGGGGATGGGACAAATGAGACCTTGTTTTTGCGCACTTGGACATTCGCGCACCTGGACATTTGCGCACCTTTTTTTCGCTGGAAAAGGCCTTAGGAAAGGTCGTAGAGCTTCAAAAATGTTCATATAAGGAAATCGTATGCGTAGATTCCGAATTTCGACAAATCAGACCACGCTGACACGTCAAATTTGGGCTAAAAAGCAAAAACTACGCAACTTAACGCTTTTCCATTCGTCGCACTGGTCCATTCGTCGCACTGGTCCATTCGTCGCACTGGTCCATTCGTCGCACTGGTCCATTCGTCGCACTGGTCCATTCGTCGCACTGGTCCATTCGTCGCACTGGTCCATTCGTCGCACTGGTCCATTCGTCGCACTGGTCCATTCGTCGCACTGGTCCATTCGTCGCACTGGTCCATTCGTCGCACTGGTCCATTCGTCGCACTGGTCCATTCGTCGCACTGGTCCATTTGTCGCACTGGTCCATTCGTCGCACTGGTCCATTCGTCGCACTGGTCCATTTGTCGCATTCGTCCGTCCATTCGTCCGTCCATTTGTCCATTTGTCGGTCCGTTTGTCCATTTGTCCATTTATCGGTCCATTCGTCGCATTTGTCCAATTCCCCTAGACTAAACAAAAAAAATGAGCAAATCAGAAGTAAAGCAAATAGAAGATAGGCAACTTGATAGGGTATTTAAGTTTTAAGCTTTCCCTGTTTACAACTTGTTACTGCTGACATTGGGAAAGTGTCTTAACGATGGATTTGTTGGGAATCCATCGTTAAAACATGTCGTTATTTTTATTGTTTTTTCTAAAAATGATTATTTTGATCATTTTTGATCATTTTTGATCGTTTTTGATCGTTTTTGATCGTTTTTGATCGTTTTTCGTTCCTTTTCCCAAAAATTTTCACTTTCTTTTTTGGTGTATGCTTTTTGCAATAAACAACGCCCTCATTTCATCTAATCTAAACAAAGAAAATAGAATTTTTTCGACTTTTTGCCGACTTTGCCAAAATTTCGAAACTATATATAGATTTAGGTGATTTTCTTTTTGAATAAAATGAAATCTTTCGACGATTTTTGGGCAATATTCAGTCTGGTTACGATACAAACGATTTTCGTCGAGTCGGGTAGGGGATTTGAATGACCTAAGCCCTAAAGTTGGCTTAGGCTTAGGCCCAAGCTGTCAGCTGGCCTAAGCTGTCAGCTGGCCTAAGCTAAGCTGCCTAAGCCAACTTTAGCTCCAATTTTAGCTATCAGTTGCCCACAAAATTGGCAGAAATACGTGAAAAATGAGGCTTGCTATCGGGTGAATGCGAAAAAAATGACGTGGGCACAGGTTTGATTTTGAATCAATTAAATTTTGATTTTGAATCAATTAAAACCATAGTGTGCCTCCCAGAATCGACAAATTTAAGAAAAGAATTTGATTTTGCTCAGGCGGAAAGCGACTGCATTGCCCAAGGTGGACGCCTTGTCGGAATCGTCGACGAGTACGAGAATCAATTCGTTTATCGTGAGTTCAAAGTTAATCAACACAAAGAAAAGCGGCTCTAGGGTCAAATTTTAGAAATTTCAATAGTTTAACGATTTTCGGTAGTTTGACGGTGTTAGACTCCGATAGTCAGGGTCATCGCTCCGGGAAATCTAGGACTGGGGGAATAAATCACTCCAATGACAAGACTTTGATAAAGTGAAAGAATTTTTGTGCATTCTGGCACGCACCACAGTGATCCTCAAGATCAAAATGAAGCTTTCGAAGAAAAGAGACTCGGATAGTCAGGGAAATCTAGGACTGGGGGAATAAATCACTCCAATCACAATACTTTGACAAAGTGAAAGAATTTTTGTGCATTCTGGCACGCACCACGGTGTTCCCCAAGATCAAAATCCAAAGAAAAGCGAAAAGAGAAAAATCCAATCTTGAAATCAAATTTTTCAGAGTTGGTCCGATCGGCGAACCTTTCAGCGGGCACCGTTTGGTTGGGTCGTCTCAGCCGTTCCTCTAGAAATGCTCCATTTGATTGGAATGATTCGACTTCTTCACATTTTCACTCTTTTCGAACGCTAGGTTCGATTTAGGGGTATTTTCATCGATTTCTTTCAATTTCACATTGAGTACAAATTTTAAAATATCATTTTTTTTTATTTCATTTTTTTTGATTTAATTTTATTTTCAATCATTTGTATGACATCCAGTTTTTTGTAAAATTTCATTAAAAACATTTAATGAAGACTTTTTTGACAAAAAAATTGACCAGTCCTTTAGCCTGAAATTGAATTTTTCAAAATTATTTAAAAGACTTTTGTTTAGACTTTTTGAGTTCTGTGACATCCATAATGATTAAAAATTAAATCAAAATAATCAATTTTTTCAAAAATTGCAGTGGAATCATCAAGCAGTCAGTGTATCTCGATGTGGATTGATCTAGGAGCAGATGGTTCTTGGCAGGTTGGAAAGATTGAGAGAATAGATCGATAGCTGGCATTTGCTGGCATTAGCTGGCATTAGCTGGCATTGGCATTAGCTGGCATCAGTTGGCCTGGCATTAGCTGGCATTAGCTGGCATCAGCTGGCATTAGCTGGCATCAGCTGGCATTAGCTGGCATCAGCTAGCATTAGCTGACATCAGCTGACACCAGCTGGCATCAATTTCGTTTATTCTGGTCAAATTACAGCCTTGGGAATGCACTTATAATGGCTATCCGTCAGTGTGTAAACGTTCGACGCTAAAACAACAAACGCAAACAAGTAAGGAGATAAAGTTTTGAGATTTTTGATAATCCTGGATGTCATGTAAACTCTAAAAGGCGAAATCTCAGTCACCTCGCCGACTGTTCGCTCGCATGTTTCTACGCGTTGTTGTATGTCACAATGTCAACTTCGGTGTCCACAAAATGAAAAGTTTGTTTTGTTTGAAGGGTAGATTGGTCTAGAGTCGGTCTAGAGGCTATCAGGGCTCTTAGAAAACGATTTTGAATACAATCTTGACTCTAGAAATGATCAAATTTGATCTAAAACTTTGTTCAACCAAAAGTCAATTTTGAGATCTCTAATACCTTCAGCTTTCTTCTTTTAGATGTGTTCCAGATGATTTGAATTGTTTAACGAATTTATGCCCAAATGCTACTGGATGGTGTTTACCAAAAAACTAAATAAAAAAAAATAATCAAATCTTGGATTTTTTCCATTGTAAACTACTCTCATGTACAAATTTTTCATTTTTTTTTTTTTTGAAATAAACCTTTCATTTTATCTTTCCTTTTTCTTTACTGACATCCAGATTGAAGATTGATAGAGAAAAGGAATTGAACTTGCATCATTTTCCTAGAAAAAACCCTTCAAACCATTGCGCTATAACATCAAAATTTCAAATTGATTTATTTAGCTTCTTTTTCTTTTTTTTAACTAACATGATATCCAGTTTTAGTTCTAGAGTTGTCAAAAATATATCTTTGAGCTGAAACAAGCATGTAAATCGATCAGTCCTTAATCAATCCCGAAAAAAGAGTAAAATAAGAAGCTAGAAGCTAGAACTAGAACAAGAACAAGAAGCAAAGCGATCATCGGTGAGAAGTGAGAAACCTGAGGCCAAGTATCGAATACTAGAAGGAAAGGGGAGGGAAAGGATGGTTCGAATTTCAGAATCCTTTGCCGCCCACCGAGCTCACAAAAGTCCCATCAAATACAGTTCGAAAGAATTTCGTTGGTCATCCTGGCATGCACACTACCCACTGAAGCCGCCAGGGGCTTCCCGGGCCCAAATCGATAATGGGCCCCAAATGGGCGGGGCTACCGTACTCCCACCACTCCCACCACTCTCACTCCTCGGATCTCCCGGGTCCCCCCAGTCCCCTAGACGTCTCTCGTGCACTCCAGCCAGTCGACTGGTCACACCCATTCGCTATTCACCACTAGTTGAGAGTGCTTAATTCACCCAATCTTTATTCCACTCGATCTCCACCAGATTTTGTTTGAAAGATGATGCAAGAAGAGGTGAGTAATCAATGAAATCTCTAATCTGGATGTCACTCTACCCATTCCATCTGTCAGTAATCTCACTCGACCCTCTTTTCGATATTTCATTCAATACCCCATGAACTCAACAAACATTGACCATCTTGAGAGCTTGAGAGATTGCTAGTGAGATAAAAGGGAGTGGATTGGGTATTCTGGAGGGCATAAAGAAGAATTGGTAGATTATTTTGGGTAGCTATCAACATCTGTCTAACCTCTGGTTTAGTTACCCAACCAAAAAAAAGACATCGAAAAAAAGTAGGTTGTTCAGAGATTTAACCTCACCAGGAAATGCTGTGACATCCAGGACACATAAAAATAGAGATAACTTTTGTCAAGAGCCGATGAATTCAGACCGGTTTAGTTACGCAATGGACCCACCAACCAATAGACCCAGAATTCAAGCTATTGATAATCTAACTTTTGCAAATAATTCTGTGACATCCAGAACACATAAAAATAGAGATAACTTTTCGATGGTTAAATCAAGAACCCAGGAATTCAGACCGGTTTAGTTACGCAATAGACCAACCAATAGAATTGTAACCTAGCGATAATCTAACTTTTGCAAATAATTCTGTGACATCCAGAACAGATAAAAATAGAGATAACTTTTGAATGGTTAAATCAAGAACCCAGGAATTCCGACCGGTTTAGTTACGCAATCGACCAACCAATAGAATTGAACCTATTGATAATTTAGCTTTTACAAATAATTCTGTGACATCCAGAACGCTCTAATCTTTTTCCATTTCAAGCAACGGAATTTTTTAAACCACCAAAAACACATCAAAAAGAAAAGAAGACTTTGTTCTAGTGGATTTCTGTGGCAAATCGATAATCGCGCATCATCAGGTGTGAATCTGAGGCGTGTTTATCGTAGACAATGAAGGGAATGAAGTGAATGGAGTGGAAAGAGGTGGCTAAGTTTACATAACAAGCACTCCCCTCAGGTTGACCTGAAGAGGCTGAAAGAGGCTGAAGAGGCTGAAGAGGCTGAAGAGATAATATTTACATACAAGCTAGCCATCCAAATTTGTTCCTAACAACTTCTGTGACATCCAGCTTAGACATTTCGCTTAAAAGTTTCCAGAAAATCACTTGCTATTCGCTAGATTTTCGACCAATCTTTCACTTTTCAAGAATTTTGTGGAATTTTGAGGAAAATCTTAGATTTTTGAGCAGGATTCGATATTCTAGAGATCAAAGGCGATCAGGAATAGATAGTCCGGAGATCAAAGATGTCAATTGAGCGCTTTACACATCACCCGGGAGCCAGTCGGCTGCGAGAGAGAGCTTTTTGAACTACTGTACTCCAGTACTCTCCTCAGTCCTAAGGGGACAAATGGAGATTCACAGAAAGCCCCCGGCTCTCTGTGAGAGCCAGCATTGGTGAAAATCGAAGAAACGTAGTTGAGAGAGGCTGGGGGAGGAGAGGGGAGGGCCTTGGAAGCGACGGGGTGAAACCTGATACGGTAGCTCTCTCACAGCTCTCTCCTTTTAGCCGCTTTGCCCCTCGTGCCTCCCAGGAAAGATCGCCGGCCTCGTAGAATACACAGAAACCCTGTGAAATTCGGGGGAAATGGGGGTCATCGATTTTTAAGAACGAATATTGGTGCACCTGTTGAAAGGTGTTTTGAGGGATTTGTTGGAGATGGCTAGAATCGCCGATCTGGCGGTCACACTACCTGCTGTGATCACAGAAAAGAGAAAAAGATCGACCTAAGAGGTGAGGGTCTAGCGGTGCTAATAGACCCCGATTGCGCCACGCATCCACATGAGCTCTCTTGGCTTGTTTTTTTGGGCATTCTGGATCGCAAGAGGCCTCAGGATGCGCTCATTGGGCTCTCGTTGGATGGGCTCTCATTAGGATAGGCTAGTTGTGCTCTGAGACCTCTACCCCCACAACACTTCCTTATCCGACTACTTATCTGACTTTTGCTCAATCCTGGTCGATTTTGCCGTCAATTTTGCTCAATCCTGGATATCACAGATCATTACAGTACCCTTTCTGATTGTCTGATATGTCTGATAAATCTAGGGTGAACCCCGGGTTTGAGCCCGGTGCGCGTTCAGCCGTTTAATCCATCTGGTTCATCATTTTAAGAATTTCTATGCTCGATCTGGATATCACAACACCATTCTAGATATGTAAATTTGTAAAATCAGCTAATCTTATGTTGGCCGAGAGTCCAATCCAGCCCACCCCATTCTAAGATCCCCTGTGCACCTGTCCCCCCTCTCCCCTCGCCTATCTGCTTCCTGGATGGCACTTGACATTTGCATTCATTTCCATTCCTCAACCAAGCCATTGTTCTCCAATAATATTTTCATTCTAGTACCTGTTGAGCTTCAGATTAGCTATAACTGAATTAGCTAATTAACTGAATATCTTATCTTATCGAGAGTCTCAAATTCTCTCGTGGCTTCCAGGATTCACGAATCCTTCTAGAATTTCTAGGATTTCATTTTCTTTTTTCAATTTTCGATTTAGACAAAGCCCTTCTTGCATTTGCCCGGATCGGACGAGAGGTTTGTGTTTAAAATAAAGGATTAAATGCTATGCACACCAATTTAAAGTTCTAGATCATTACTTTTTAGCTCAAGAAACGGTGGTGGCTCGGTGTGGTGTGTCGTGCCTGGAATCCAAGAGAAAGTCTCCCCATCGCCAACCCCATCAAACACGCTTCAAGGTACAGTCATCAACTGTGTTTACAGCTTAGAGACAGTTAGAGACACAGCCGGATTACTGTAAGGAGTACTGTAACAGCAACCGAGCACTGATTAGGCCAGTGTTTAGCCGGGTTCTGAACAGGATACTGTACTGGATAGGATACTGTAATGGGGCACCTGGATACTCTAATAGCTTCACAAACCCAATTCAGCGGTCTCCTCCACCTCTCCCGTTGCCGCTTCTTCTTCTGGTCTTTCCTCATCATTCATGCCATCACTACCACAATCACTCGATCGATCAACCATTTCCGATGTAGCCGCTGTTTATGGTGAGTTGCTAACAACAATAAGCTGAACTTTTCAGTTCTGGGTCTGGGCGGGCCTGGTCTGGCCCGCCTGGCCTCTGGGATCTGGTCCTGTTCAACTGCCATTACAAGATTGGGGCAACAGAAGCCTTCTATTGCACCAGAATTGCTCAATTAGCCCCGAACCAATCAATCTGGATAGCATTTGAGTTGACTTGAACGTCAAATACCAGAAATCTCTAAAAGTTAGATACACTCAAACTGACCACTACAAGATTGGGGCGATCAAAGCCTTCTAATGCATCAGAATTGCTCAATAAGCAACAAACGGTCTAATCTGGATAGCACTTTAGTCGACCTGAACGTCAAATATCCGAATTCCTCACAAGTTAGATACACTCAAACTGGTCGTTACAAGATTGGGGCAATCCAAGCCTTCTTTTGCATGAGAATTATTCAATTACCATCAAAATGGCTAATCTGGATAGCACTTTAGTCGACCTGAACGTCAAATATCCGAATTCCTCACAAGTTAGATACACTCAAACTGGTCGTTACAAGATTGGGGCAATCCAAGCCTTCTTTTGCATGAGAATTATTCAATTACCATCAAAATGGCTAATCTGGATAGCACTTTAGTCGACTTGAACGTCAAATAACCGAATTCCTCACAAGTTAGATACACTCAAACTGGAGTTTACAAGATTGGGACAATCCAAGCCTTCTAATGCATCAGAATTGCTCAATAAGCAACAAACTGTCTAATCTGGATAGCACTTTAGTTTACCGTGACATTACAGATCCGAATTCCCAACAAGTTAGATAAACTCAAACTAGCCACTACAAGATTGGAGCAATCCAAGCCTTCTAGTGCATCAGAATGGCTCAATTGGCCCCGAACCAATCAATCTGGATAGCATTTGAGTTGACTTGAACGTCAAAAACCTAATTCCCATCAAGTTAGATAAACTCGAACTGGCCATTACAAGATTGGAGTAATACAAGCCTTCTAGTGCATCAGAATGGCTCAATTGGCCCCGAAACAATCAATCTGGATGCCATTTGAGTTGACTTGAACGTCAAAAAACCGAATCCCCTACCAGTTAGATACAGTCAGACTAGCGTTTACAAGATTGGGACAATGCAAGCCGTCTAATGCATCAGAATTGCTCAATAAGCAACAAATGGTCTAATCTGGATAGCACTTTAGTTGATCTAAATCTCCAAAACCAGAATCTCCTATAAAGTATTAGAAAGTCCAGAAAGTCTTTTTGTTCCTTTTCCTACTGGATATGGATGGGCCTGGCGAAGATCTGGTCCTGTCCAAGGTCTACCCAATCCATGACGTGAACCTGAACCAGGTCCTGTCCCTGGGCTGTCACTGATGTAGCAAAAATCAAACAAACAAACTTTTCTAATAAGATCCAATCGATTTACAGGCCAATCATCATATTACAACTCGGGCTACTCAGCTACTGGATACGGGGTTTACGGTGGAGTGATTATCCAAAAGCTTGCAATGCTTTCCTATTTCAGGTCCAGCGGCTACAGCATCGTACTATCAACAGGTTGCCGGCCTCGCCTCGGCACGAGTCCCCTATCTAGGCACTCCAGCGTCAGCCTACGCATATAGTGAGTGCAAAATTGAGAGCTTCTGGAGCGCATAGTATGCAAATTTTAGGCACAACACCGTACTCTACTGCGGCCACAGCGGCAAATTTCGACTATTCCGCCTACAATCAACAATATTATAATTCGGTGCGCAATGGATATTATGGAGGATTGACGGGAAATGGAGGCAATGGAACGAGTAGCGCGTATCAGGTCGGATTTTGGATACGTTTTGGTTCAAGGCTTGAGCCTGGTTCTATTAGGCTGTCCAGAAAGTCTGAACGTCGACCTGAACGTCAAATACCCGAATTCTCTACAAGTTAGATACACTCAAACTGGTCATTACAAGATTGGAGCAATCCAAGCCTTCTAATGCATCAGAATTGCTCAATACGATCAAAATGTCTAATCTGGATGGCACTTTAGTCGACCTGAACGTCAAATATCCGAATTCCTCACAAGTTAGATACACTCAAACTAGCCACTACAAGATTGGGGCAATTCAAGCCTTCTAATGCGTCAGAATTGCTCAACTAGCCCCGAACCAATCAACCTGGATAGCACTTTAGTCAACCGTAACGTCCAATATCCGAATTCCTCACAAGTTAGATACACTCAAACTAGCCACTACAAGATTGGAGCAATCCAAGCCTTCTAGTGCATCAGAATGGCTCAATTAGCCCCAAACCTATCAATCTGGATAGCATTTGAGTTGACTTGAACGTCAAATACCAGAAATCTCTAAAAGTTAGATACATTTAAACTGGTCGTTACAAGATTGGGGCAATCCAAGCCTTCTGATGCATCAGAATTGCTCAATAAGCATCAAACCCTCTAATCTGGATGGCATTTGAGTCAACCGTAACGTCACAAATCCAAATTCCTTACAAGTTAGATCCAATCAATTTAGTCACTACAAGATTGAGGCAATCCAAGCCTTCTAATGCATCAGAATGGCTCAACTAGCCCCAAACCAATCAATCTGGATAGCATTTGACTTGACTTGGACGTCCAATACCAGAAATCTCTAAAAGCTAGATACACTCCAACTAGCCACTACAAGATTGGGGCAATTCAAGCCTTCTAATGCATCAGAATTGCTCAATTACTATCAAAATGTCTAATCTGGATAGCACTTTAATTGATCTAAACGTCAAATACCAGAATTCCCTATAAAGTATTAGGCTGTCTAGAAAGTCTTTTCGTTCCTTTTCGTACTTTCGTTGAAAAATAACGAATTCACCAATTAACCTATGGTTTGCTTTAAAAAGTGTGTATTGTTCAATTCCCCATCTTTTCAATTTCAATTTCGGTTCAATTTCAAGCAAATTCGAGAGTGAAAGCTATAAAATTTCGTAAAAATCTATAAAAGAAATTGGCTGAATGAATTTCTCTGAAAATTATATACCAAACTTTTTGTGCTCTATCTTTTCTCTATTGACACGATGATAAGTTTCCACATTCCCAGGATTGGGTCTTGACTCTGCCAGGCCCAAAGTCACAGTTGTCAAGCTCATAGTAAACTTATCGAATCGTCACCTCTCAAATTTCAGACCACCTCGAACGACACCTCAACCGATCTGACCGCTTTTACTTTAAAAGCTGAGCCGAAAAAAGGTGGGTTTGGCGAGCTAGAACTAGAGCTAGAACTAGAGCTAGAGCTAGAGCTAGAGCTAGAGCATTCATCCAGATCGATCTTCAACATCAACATTTCTAGGGAAATCTTCAAAGAAGAAAAAGGGAGGGCTGAACAGTGCAAATGAGGGACAATTCGCTAGGGTTTTTATTTGGGATCTCTCTGATGTATCCGTGTTCACACAACAAGCATTCGCGCACGTTTTGTCGAAGGTTTGAAATGCTTAAAAATTGGATTTTGGCCCAGATCTTTACAAAGAAACGTTTTTTTGTAGGCCGGTTTCGCCCTGTCACCCTCGTTCTCTCAGCTGAAACTCTTCGTGCAACAAGTGGGCTAATTTTATTTTATAAAAACTTTAATTCCAAACTAGCCACTACAAGATTGGAGCAATCCAAGCCTTCTAATGCATCAGAATTGCTCAATTACCATCAAAATGTCTAATCTGGATAGCACTTTAGTTGACCGTAACGTCAAATACCCGAATTCTCTAGAAATTAGATACAGTCAAACTGGCCATTAAAAGATTGGAGCAATCCCAGCCTCCTAGTGCACCGGCATTGTTCAATAAGCACCAAACGGTCTGATTTGGATAGCACTTGAGTCGACTTGAACATCAAAAAACCGAATTCTCTACAAGATAGAGGCATTGCAACTGGCCATTACAAGATTGGGGCAATCCAAGCCTTCTAATGCATCAGAATTGCCCAACTAGCCCCGAACCAATCAACCTGGATAGCACTTTAGTTGACCGTAATGTCCAATACCCGAATTCCTTACAAATTAGATACACGCAAACTAACCACTACAAGATTGGGGCAATCCAAGCCTTCTAATGCATCAAAATTGCTCAATTACTATCAAAACATCTAATCTGGATAGCACTTTGATTGCTCTAAACGTCAAAAACCCGAATTCTCTACAAATTAGATACACGCAAACTAACCACTACAAGATTGGGGCAATCCAAGCCTTCTAATGCATAAGAATTGCTCAATTACCATCAAAGTGTCTAATCTGGATAGCACTTTAATTGATCTAAACGTCAAATAATACGGACAAATATTACTGTAGAAATTCCCAAATTTAAGGTGGCCTCGTTGAATTTTCCCCCGGATCAAAACGAGGACAACGAGTTGTCGAATATCGAAGATGCGGCAATTGAAGAACAAGTGAGCAAATTGATTTTTGGTGCTTGTGTGACATCCAGTATTTACGAATATCATGCAAAAAATTTACAGGAACCTGTCGCCAGCGAGCCGGGCAACTGTGTGCCGGAGGGTCGGAGTGGGGCTGATGCGATGAGGCGGCTAGCTCACAGGTTTGTGTCCCCAATTGCCATGTGCGCGCCAGGATGGGCAAATTTGAAGAAAAATTCTAATATTATTACTAACTTTTTAGATATATTGCCCTCAAACAGTTGTACTCGCAATTCGCCGGAAATCTGGATGGTATAAAGTGGATAACTTACCGTAACCCGTTTTTTCTTTTAGGATTATATGATTTGGTGCCATCGACGAAAAAAGAAAACATTGACGAATGCGCTAGACAGGTAAAAAAGTACAGTACAGTTTCAATGCAAATTTGCAATAAAGTTTCAATGCAAATTTCAAGTGCCCGAAAGAGATTGGCTCTTTTTAAGGGAATTTTTCAAATCACTTTTTGATTTCAAAACGATTTTCGCGTATCCTGGAGGTCAACTTAGATTCTCTGAATGAAATATTTTTAGATTGACAGTCTTTTGGGTGGAAGGCACGAGGGAGCGGCGAGGTGTATCCATTTGGTGGCACAAAGGTTATTTAGAAATCGAAATTGGAAAAAAATTCGGCCAAGCTGGATGTCATACTTTCTAAAAAAGCAATTAAATTTGGATTTTTGACTAATTTGAATTTTTGACTAATTTGGATTTTTGATCAAATTTCAGATCAGCTCTCTCGAGTAGCTCAGAAAAGTATGGGAATGTCTTTTTAAGTTCTGAAGGTCTTGTCAACGGGATTGTTCAGGTTTGCTGAACACCAACTAAGAAATAACAAATCTTTGCCTTCAGGTCCTTCTGAGTCGTTTCGGTCAATCAGTCCCAATTGAGAATGTCTACAGTTGTGTGAAGGTTTGAAATTTTCCTTCCTGGGTTCTCTGTGCATTCCAATTCTGACAAAAAGCTCGAATTGAATCGTGTATTTTTATTCTAGACGATTATTTTTGCCCAATCTTGTACGAGTAAAATCTAGACTGGCAAAGAAAGCTGTTTGGAGAGGATTGCAGCTCGTTTTGGGAAAAAGTGCTCCTTTGTGGTGATCACAGCAAACGGGGACACGATGCATTTGGCGAAAAAGGTAAATCTGATAAAGATGAGAGCTGGTGAGCTGGCAGCTGTTGGATTGGGTAACTGAACCAGCGTCAACTGTAGAAAGCGTTCAATTTCTTGTGGCGAGCATCTAGCGTGCCTTCCAGAACCCAGAAAAACGGTGACTTTTAAATCGGTTGTCACTGCGAATTCTGAGAAAAGGCTCCATTCTTGGCTTGGGTAATTGAATCTTTTCTAAAAGCTGAAATTAAGCTATTTGAATTGTCGAGGAGTTGTCGTGATATCCAAAACCCTAAGAAATCATTTCAGGAAGGTATGCCAGTGTGGCCGATTACGAGTGGCGGGGTCGATCTGGAAAAGCTGTTCACCGCTCAATCCTCTTACCTTCTAGGTCGAGCTCGATAAGAAAAAAAAGGGGAACTTGAAATGTAAATCTGTGTTCATTTGTTTTTTTTCCATTCAGCCAAACAGTATTTTCATATTTGCATTCGAATAATTTGATAAATTTGCATTCAAGTAATTTGATAAATTTGCATTTAAAGTGTATTTTTATCAAAATCTTCAATGATAATATTTTCTCTCAAAAACATCACTAAAAACTCGTGTGACTTCCAGATTATCGATTGCTTATAGTTTTTTAGTCAAAACTTTTCTCTGTTGGTGAGTTTCGCTGCCGATCTTATCTCTTCGAAAGGAGGCACCCGAAATTTCACTCAAAAGAGTGAATTTCAAAGGGGAAACAAAATTTCCAAAAAGTGGGATGCTTTGATAGTGTTTATTGATCAAGCTCCGGATCAATTAGCTTAGAAATCGACTTAAAAACAGAGACAAAACGGCGAAAATTCAGAAAGCCACAGAGATTTTCAAAGATTGACAATAAAACCAAGCAATCCTTCTAAACAATAACAATCTCAATGAGCAAAGAGGTGATTCTGGATGTCACCAAAGCTGGTACTTCAGTCAGCTAGCAATATGGACCACAAAGAGCACCGGCATACAGCTAGAATAACCAAAGAGCCTGCAATGGTTGGAAAGGGGGGTAGGGAAATCTAGTATTCTGCAGAAATCGTTGAAATAATCATTTCTTTAGCTTGAATGCTCTCCAGGATTCGCAATGAATCAAGTGAAATTCCAGGAAATTCCCTGCTTTTCACAAAAATCGAGAGAAAGGCTATGCAAAAAAAAAAGATTGGCGGGAAAAACTCGTGTTTACATGGAGAAAGAAAGACAAAATGGGGTTTTTGTGAAATCATGGATAGCATTGGAGAGAAAGGAAAGGAAGGGGGAGGGATAGGGGCTGGGCAAGGGTGACCGGGGGTTACAGGGTCAGTCCTTTGTGTCGAGGTACCCCCAGAAAAGGCCGGCTGGTCGGTGTGATCGAAACTTTTATTGGGACGTAGGAAAAAAAATCGCTCTTTTTTCTTTTCTTTTCCCATTTTTTCGGTTTTTCAATCGGTGAGTCACCCGTGGGGTGAAGAAAAGACTTCACAGAGATAGAGCCGCGTAGAATCGGCGAAAATTTTAGCCGACACTGAATTTGACTATTATGGGAGGCATGCAAGAGATTGGGAGAAGAGATTTGGGGAAATTGAAAATATGAAAAGTATATACCAGCCTGTCGTAGTTCTAAGGCTTTTAGAGTGAAAAGTGAAACCGGAAAAGCTTTTTATGCAACTTTTTGCCCGATCTGGATGTCACTTTTTAAGATTTCAACTTTATTTTATAAAGTTTCTTAAAAATTAGGATATTGTAGTTTTTAGGAGTACAGTAATCGATTTACAGTAGTTGCTCAAATTTGCATATCCCACTAACTTTTGCTACTTGATGCTTTCCTGTGCTCCAGCTTGAAGATTGCCTAAGGAATTTCCGCTATAGTACAAGAAACAAACTGCTAAAACCGGTCAATCTTGTACCCTAGAAAAGCTGATTCATGAAAATATCAAATTTGCTTATCTAGCTAACTCTTGGATGCTTTCCTGTGCTCCAGCTTGAAGATTGCCTAAAGAATTTCCGCTACAGTACAAGAAACAATCTGCTAAAATCGGCCAATCTTGTACTCTAGAAAAGCTGATTCATGAAAATATCAAATTTGCTTATCTAGCTAACTCTTGGATGCTTTCCTGTGCTCCAGCTTGAAGATTGCCTAAAGAATTTCTGCTATAGTACAAGAAACAATCTGCTAAAACTGGCCAATCTTGTACTCTAGAAAAACTGATTCATGAAAATATCAAATTTGAAGATAGCAAGAAATAGAAATCGCATAGTGCTATCCAGATTGGCGATTCCGAGATTTTCAAGCGAATTGAGGGTGAATGGAGGACTGTGGGGGTGGGTGGAGGACTGTAGGGGCGGGGCTTGAGCTTTCTCTCAAACACTGACACCCTCCTTCTAGGAATCTTTTCCGTGCTATCCAATTCGCTCTTTGTGGCCATCTTGCGGGCCGGGGGGATGGCGATGGCGGAGATAAGAGCCTGTGTGCGACACACAACCCCCCGCACTGAATGGTCAGACACGCAACTCTTTTGACGCTTATTTGAAGAGAATCACATCCAGCATTTCACATTTTCAAGAGAAATTTTTTTAGTTTTAAGAAAAGAATCGTGAAATCTACAGAGTTGCGTAATTGAATCAGCTTGATTGAATTGAAACTTGAAAAATTTTCTGAGCAACTTTCTGAGCAACCTGACTGCCTTTCTGGCTGCCCTGACATCCAGATCAAAGAAAAAATTGGTCAGAAAAGGGCAGAAAGGCAGCTATTATATCGAAATTTTAGTTTACAGCTTCCATAGCACATCCAGTGCTCTGTTTTGGATGAAATGCGATTTTGATGAAATGCGATGCTCAACAAAAGGCCATGTGCTGACCATCTTTTACATTTCGACACTCAGAAAAGCGATTCCGGAGACAAGGCTCTTTGTCTGGATGAGAAAGACCGTCTCTTTTCTCTTTCTCCACTCTAGACCGGACTCGGCACAAAGACTCTCACAAAGATTCTCCTCACAAACCCACCGATGCCCGAGTGGATAGGGTGCGCTCCAGGGTGGGCAAATCAGATCAGATCCGATTCGCGAGATACGCGTGTAGATTCTTGAGTCTTTCGGCTGGGTCAGATCTCGATTATCGATCTCGATCTAGATCGACACCATTCAGGCTCGCTGCGATGCGCTCCAAAAGCGACGATGAGACCGGAGATTCCAGCGAGAGGTGTGTTGAATTTAGGATTTACGGGGTCAAGTGAGTTGGCTGGATGGTACGGGAGACAATTTGTGGTGTTGAATGAGTTACGCTTACAAAAAAAGACTCACAATTTGTGGTGCATGCCAGGATGAGTGAATTTTTGTGAAAATGCTGCAATGGATAGAAGGATCTAGTGAAAATTGTGTTGAGAAGAAAATTTGAGTACTGTACTGTATTAGGTACTTGTTTCAAGGGAAATCTAGCACCGATTGGTGCTACAGTTCTTTAAAGCAAGCTTTAGTGACTTGAAAACACTAATCATGAGGCGTTAATTCAGGAAAAGCTTGGGTTTTAGGGGTTCTGTACTAACATTTTACAAAATTGGAGCAATTCAAGCCTTCTAGTGCATCAGAATTGCTCACTTAGCAGCAAACTGTCTAATCTGGATAGCACTTTAGTTGACCATAACGTCAAATAACCGAATTCTCGACAAGTTAGATACACTCAAACTAGCTACGACAAGATTGGGGCAATCCAAGCCTTCTAGTGGATCAGAATGGCTCAATTAGCCCCGAACTATCGAACCTGGATAGCACTTGAGTCGACCTGAACGTCAAATATCCGAATTCCTTACAAGTTAGATACGCTCAAACTAGCCACTACAAGATTGGGGCAATTCAAGCCTTCTAGTGAATCAGAATGGCTCAATTAGCCCCGAACTATCGAATCTGGATAGCACTTGAGTCGACCTGAACGTCAAATATCCGAATTCCTTACAAGTTAGATACACTCAAACTAGCCACTACAAGATTGGAGCAATCCAAGCCTTCTAATGCATGAGAATTGTTCAATTACCATCAAAATGTCTAATCTGGATAGCACTTTAGTTGATCGTAACGTCAAATATCCGAATTCTCTACAAGTTACATACAGCCAATAATTTCCTAATTCACTTCTAAAGTGGCATCTGTCACTTGGAAATTGATTTAGTGAATGCTGCACCCCATAAATCATGAGATAAGCTCGATTTTGAGGAGATGAGAAATTTCCAGTTTCTTCTCAACTTTTATCAAAGATATGTGAAACTTTAGACACCGATCAGGGAAAGTTTTATGCCACACGGGCACAGCGGGAGGTCACAGAGTCGAGGGGAGACACTGGGTGGTGGTGGGTGAGGCACAGAGGGTGGCTAGGGGAAGAAGAATATATGAAGGTGCTGATCTAGACCGTTTTTGTCTTTTCCGCATAGTAAAGTAGTGAGCTAGGCTGAATTTAAAAGTGATTTCGTGTATGCTGGATGTCAGACCAGATTTTGCCACATTTGCACAATGAAAGGCTTTACTTTATGCAGAGTTGGGTAATTGAACCGGCTTGATTGAACTGAAACTTGAAACTTCATTTTCTGAGCAATATCTGAATTTTAGTTTACGGGCTGCATAGCACATAATTTAATACCAGAATTCCAGAATTCAAATACTCGAATTCTCTACAAGTTAGATACAATTGAACTGGCATTTACAAGATTGGAGCAATCCAAGCCTTCTATTGCATCAGAATTGTTAGATAAGCACCAAACTGTCTAATCTGGATGACACTTGAGTCGACCTGAACGTCAAATATTCGAATTCCTTACAAGTTAGATACACTCAAACTGGAGTTTACAAGATTGGGGCAATTCAAGCCTTCTAGTGGATCAGAATGGCTCAATTAGCCCTGAACTGTCGAACCTGGATAGCACTTTAGTTGACCGTGAACGTCAAATAACCGAATTCCTTACAAGTTAGATACACTCAAACTAGCCACTACAAGATTGGGGCAATCCAAGCCTTCTAGTGCATTAGAATTGCTCAATAAGCACCAAATGGCCTAATCTGGATAGCACTTTAGTTGACCGTAACGTCAAATCTCTGAATTCCTTACAAGTTAGATACATTCAAGCTAGCTCCTACAAGATTGGGGCAATCCAAGCCTTCTATTGCTTCAGAATTGTTAGATAAGCACCAAACTTTCTAATCTGGATGACACTTGAGCTGTTAGCTGTACAACGAGTTTCGTGTCTTTGTTTCCAAAAAGACTCTGATAGTCAGTGTTGATCTGCACTTTGATCACCGAATGAAACAGTCAACAAAAAGCAAAGACCTTTCAACAAAAACTGTATTTTTGTTTCTCGTCGCTTTTCATTTTAAGTTTCTATAACTTTTTCGTAATTTACTTTAAAAAAAACAAATCTGCTAGAAACAAATAGAGAAAAAATGCAAGTAAAAGCACTGAGGAATATCAAAGGGAAGTACCTGAGGGTTGGGACAACTAACTGAAATTAGATCTAGAGTTTAGATTGAACTTTGATTCAGTTTATTGATTTGTTGGATACACAAAATTGTTTCTAAAAGTGTACAAGATTGGAGTAATCCAAGCCTTCTAGTGCATTAGAATTGCTCAATTACCATCAAAATGTCTAATCTGGATAGCACTTTAGTTGACCGTAACGTCAAATATCCGAATTCTCTACAAGTTAGATAAACTCAAACCAGCGTTTACAAGATTGGAGTAATCCAATCCTTCTAATGCATCTGAATTACTCAACTAGTACCAAACCGTTTAATCTGGATAGCACTTTAGTTGGCAGTAGCGTCAAATATTCGAATTCCTTAAAAGTTAGATACACTCAAATTAGCCACTAGAAGATTGGGACAATCCAAGCCTTCTATTGCATCAGAATTGCTCAATAAGTACCAAATGGCCTAATCTGGATAGCACTTTAGTTGACCGTTAACGTCAAATACCCGAATTCTCGACAAGTTAGATACACTCAAACCTGACACTACAAGATTGGGGCAATCCAAGCCTTCTAGTGCATTAGAATCGTTCACTTAGTACTAAATTGTCTCATCTGGATAGCACTTGCGTCGACCTGAACGTCAAATAACCGAACTCCTTACAAGTTAGATACTCTCAAATTAGCCACTACAAGATTGGGGCGATTCAAGCCTTCTAGTGCATCAGAATTGTTCGATAAGCACCGAAAAGTCTAATCTGGATAGCACTTTAATTGCTCCCGACCTCAAACACCAGAATTTCCTAATATCCACTAATTACGGTGACTTAGATACACTCAAACTAGCCACTACAAGTTTGGGGCAATTCAAGCCTTCTAGCGCATCTGAGTTAAAAACTTCTCAAATACATTCAAATCTTTCGAATATCTAAAAATATCTAAAAAGCCCTTGGAATAATTTTGTTTTTGATGATTCTCGTTTAGAATTTTAGAAGTTCAAAAAACAAAGTTCAAAAAACAAAAAAAACAACTAACCGTTGTCAATCAATCTTCGATGTTGAGGGTGATGAATTTGTCCGACTTCCGGTTGTACAATGAACCATTTAACCATACGCTTCTAAACACTAGAATAACAAGAGTTCAGCTTTCTGTATTGTTTTAAACTTTGGATTTATAGCAGTCTATTAAAATGAATTTGTAAGTTTTAAAAAATTCACAAAAAAATTCGCTTTCTGCATTTTATCGTTTTGGCGTAAATCAAAAAAACCGTTTATTCATTTTTTTGATTGATGCTTCTCAAAAGCCTCACAGATTTCTTTAATCGATTTGATTCCATTCTCGTTTTTCATTCGAAGCGGCGCGTTTTCGACAATTTTTCGCCAATCAACGGGGATCTCAGTCTCTCCAAAATGAGCTCCTGCAATTGTGTCTAGATGCAAGTTCTGAAAATCTCTCACCCAGTAGTGCCCCAGTGATGCATCCATTCGTGTCGGTGTCTCCTCCAATCGCGATCGCATTCACTAAACCCTCAGCAAACGAGTCAGCGTGTAAAAGCTCATAGAAAGCCACCTGGAAACAATGGTTTTTTTCACAAAATATCTCGAAACTAGTCCCAAATTCGTGTTTGATTGAATTTCTCGGTTTCCTTTCCATATTTTTCCTCTTTGACTCCACGATTCTCTAATCTGGAGCGCACTCCATCTGCCCACCTGCAAAGCGATTCCAAAATACCCAATCGCTTTATCATCACCATTTGAGAGTAATTCCATCTTTTCTCCGAATGGCACAGGAATTCTCTAAAGATTCTCTAAAGATCTGGATATCACACAATCGATTACATTAAAAATCAAAAGAACTTATTGCTTTTCAAAAATTTCAAAAAATTTTTGAAGCAACTCCTTTCGCTAGGAAGCTTAATCACCTGTGTGCGTGCCAGATCCAAATGTTTTTTGACAATCGGGTCATTTGTGGCATCGAGAGCGTGTCTAAAGGGTCAGTCTGAAATTTGCAATTGCCAACTCACTGAAAGACTTCTTGCGGAGTTTTCCCATTGATGAGTTGATGAAGGGCTGTTGAGTAGACAGTGGCAGCGTTGAATGTCGTTGGATCGAGATGTGTCAATGCTGCATCTTGAATCGCATAAGTGATCCATCTAGGGTTGGTAGCTTATACGGATCACATTTGAGTTTTACGTGAAATACCCGTATTCTCTAGAAATTAGATACAGTCAAACTGGCGTCTACAAGATTGGAGGAATCCAAGCCTTCTAGTGCATTAGAATCGTTCACTTAGTACTAAATTGTCTCATCTGGATAGCACTTGCGTCGACCTGAACGTCAAATAACCGAATTCTCGACAAGTTAGATACACTCAAACTGGTCGTTACAAGATTGGGGCAATCCAAGCCTTCTATTGCACCAGAATTGCTCAATAAGCATCAAACCGCCTAATCTGGATAGCACTTTAGTTGCCCAGAACATCAAATAACCGAATTCCCTACCAGTTAGATATAGTCAGACTAGCGTTTACAAGATTGGGGCAATCCAAGCCTTCTATTGCACCAGAATTGCTCAATAAGCATCAAACCGCCTAATCTGGATGGCATTTGAGTCAATAACTTCACATATCCGAATTCTCTACAAGTTCAATACACTCAAACTAGCCACTACAAGATTGGGGCAATCCAAGCCTTCTAATGCATCAGAATTGCTCAATAAGCATCAAAGTGTCTAATCTGGATAGCACTTTCATTGCTCTAGACCTCAAACACCAGAATTCTCTACAAGCTAGATACAGTCAAACTGGCGCTTACAAGATTGGAGCAACCCAAGCCTTCTATTGCATCAGAATTGTTAGATAAGCACCAAACTGTCTAATCTGGATGACACTTGAGTCGACCTGAACGTCAAATATTCGAATTCTCTAGAAATTAGATACAGTCAAACTGGCCATTAAAAGATTGGAGCAACCCAAGCCTTTCAGTGCATCAGAATCGTTCAATGAGCACCAAACTGTCTAATCTGGATAGCACTTGAGTTGCTCAATCAACTCCGAATCAATCGATTTGGTTTATACGGTGGGCAGGGTACGGTAGCCTTATAGGGGATTACTGTAGCGATAGCGACCAATGTTGTTGTTGTTGTTTTACTAGGTACTCTAAGGCGGTATCTATATTTCGGAACACACATGTGGTACAGTACTCTACCACTCTACAGTATACTCTACAGTACTCCGAGAAACGGCTCACTTTTCCACCGGTTCATCGTGATAGAAAGCGGGAATTGGCGAGATTCTCATCAGGAACCCATTCGATTTCGAATTTCCGCATTTGATGCGCACATTTTGCAACACAGCCTTCAAAACGCTAAAAAATAATAAATCAGGCTACTGTAGTTTAGTCAAATTTTAGCACAAACTCCTCTCTTTTCGTCGAATCCAACAAATCGAGCCAATCTTTCGGCACCTTCTCCACTGAGCTCCAATATTAGCTTTTACGCAAAGGAAAACTCACGAATCCTTAACGCAGTTGCCGTTGTGTGTCCAATATCGGGCGGGTTCGATTGTGCCCATCTAAAAAAGGTAAATTTGCAAAAATCTCCATTCACTATCTAATCTGGAATACAGTTGAATGATTGGCATTAAAAGAAATCGATTGTTTCCTCACCTTACATAAGCACAAACAGTCGACGCTTGATCATAGCGGTCATTCTTGAGAATCGAGCCAATCATCGACAACGCCATCTCACTGTCATCGGTGATCTGTGTGACATCCATCGTTTAAAAAATCAAAGCCCTCCAACCTGGCCAGCTTTCAGAAGGAATGGTCCCCCACCAAGCATTGGGAGTAAACCATCTTTTCCTCGTTTCCTGTCCTCATCAAGCATCTACAAAAGCTATTTCTCGTTTATCTGGAAGGCACATAACAGTTCTACCTGCTGTACTTGTGCTTTTTTAGTGAACTCATAGCGACACCCAAGTGCATCACCGACAAATTGACCCATCAATGTGCCCCGGATTCGATTAGCAGTCATTGTGCTGAATCTTTTGATAGAAGGGAAGAGAAAGGAGTTAATTGAGATAATGCATGAAAATTGTTAAACTGATCAGTGGGGAAGTGCAGGTGAGGCTGTAGTGAAGGGATGAGTTAGACAAGAGACAAAAGACTGGAGCTGGTTTCTAGCTGATCTTAGCTTCCTAGCTGGTCTCTCAATTCATTCATGGCAATCATGGCAAGTCTAAGATTGGGAAAAAAGAGGTTAATGAAAAGCTTCAATGAGACAAAGAAGAGAAGAGAGCTCAGGGAAAATTTCGATAAGCGAAAATTTCGAAACTTTTCCCATTTTCCTCCTTGAAGCATGAGAAAAGTTTCCATATTTTTCCTTAAATTTTTAATCTAAATCGACTTTTCAAGAAAATGACATCGAAAACAGAAAAAAAAAATAGAAAACTTCCCACGAGTCAGTCATTTTTCGAGGCTTATCAAAGGGTGTCAGAGACGCAGATTTATTTGCGCAACCTTTCAAGCATCAAAACAATGGCACTTTTTCAGTCAAAAATTGCAGAAATGTCAACCAGAATGGACAAATTTTAGTAAAATAAAGTTTTTCAGTTTTTTATTGAAAATCGTTGCAACAAATTTCGCAGTGATCAACGTTCGGTGGCCTCGAGTGCCCTCAGTTGAGTGTCGAATATTAAATCAGAAATCTGCAAGTTTTCTTGGTTGAATCTATCGTTCAATTGACGATAAATCTATCATTCAATTGACAAATTTCAACAATCTGGATAGCATTTTAGAAAATGCGATAATCGAAATCGCTAAATTGTTCGCCTTTTCGAAGTTTGGATTTTTGGCATTCAAGATCAACCTTTTCAAAAAGCGTTTGACTTTAGATATGCAAATTTTCCGCTTGTTATTCTCCAATTATGGAACTCATGTAAGCTTTCGCATACCTTTTTTTGTAGCCTCAGCGCCTCAACGCGAAAGCCCTCGGCGGCGATTCGTCTACAAAATTGAAGTGTGCTTATTTTTCGGAGTACAAAAATCCTCTTTAAACGCTAGCCATCTAGCGTGTACAGGTTTAGGTTACCATTTTTTAAGTGTTGAGCTCAAATTTGAGCTTAAATTTAAGGGTAAAGCTATTAAAAAAGCTATTGAAAAACTGCCATACCTCAGAGTCACTCCAATAAATTGCCCAAAATGACCGAAATCATCCTAAATTTCGATTACATTTCAAAAGCGTGTCTGCCAGGATTTATTCTGCAAGAGCTATAAATTTAAAAAACCTGAGCCAACTGGGTTGTTTGCAAGGGAACAGTGTTTTGGAGTGAAGTCGACGGGCCGGATCCCATCATTATCGACGTTCTTGCCTGAAGAATGCAAAAATCAGCATTTAAGCCTTTAAATACAAATTTACCCTTTTCGGTGGCGGCGAGGTGTCACGGGGCATCGTTGTGGGGACAACCGGGTGGATGGGCGGGGGCTGATTCATGAATTTCTCGGTGGGTGGCCGCTGAAAGCTTCTTTCTACGCTGTGACATCCAGGAATTGATATCCAGCTAACGAAATTACACTACATTATTTCGTACGGCTTAAATAAGCGTGATCAGCTTCGGTTGCTATAATCGATTCACGAAATGCTTCAGTAAAATAATCCTATTTTGAGCGAATAGATGTCCTGACATCCATATCACCCAAAAACACAGTAAACTCACCTGAACAACTTCTGCCGCTTTGAGTAAAAAGTCGATCGAGTTCGCCTCCTCATTCCAGCTAGATGAGCTGAAACTTGAGTTCTGCATTGAGATACGGTGATTCTGGTGATCAGTGTAGGGTTTCCAACAAAATCTATCACAATTTAAAGCTTTTGTTTCACGGCGCAGTGCCAGTGAGTTGGACTCTAGCCCAGAGGTCGAGGGTTCGATCCCGGATGCGGCGAAGTGTTCTGCTTTTAGGTGTAAATCGATATTTGAGCCAAAATGTGCTCCAAAACACTCGACTTTCAAAGAAAACTCACCTTGGCGCCTCAAATTTGCTGACGATTTGCATTTGAGAGCCATCGGGTGCCTCGTTGCTGCTCGCGCCGTCTTCTCTGTAAATAAACTTGGGTTATTTTGCTTATCTGGAGCGCACATCAGCTTTTAAAGTACTCAGAATTGTTGTATCGACAACTTTATAGAAAGCCCGAGATCTGTACCGGTTCAAATCTCACTTTTGATCCCAGGTCCAATACGTCATTTAAAGCTTATCGACTATGCTGGATTCGAAAATGCCGTCAATTTTTTGATATCTCAAACGTACCTCAACGGTCCCTCCTCTTTTCCTTTTTCCAAAAATCGTAGTAATCGAAAGAATTTCCAAGTGGGTTCCTCGGCTGGGTCACGGGAATATCTGAAAATTCGGATGAATGATTTGTTGAGATCTCCCCGTTCAATAAATTCAATAAATAAATAAATCTCTCACTTTCCTTCCGAGAGCCATCGTTGTTTCCTTTTGTACGTGTCCTTGAGGTTTTTCCATTGCGAGCGAACTTCGTCGGCTGAAAGTGAACGATCAGACAAGCATTACTCCAGTTTTATAATACAGTCAAACTTCGATATAACAAACAATAGTCTCATAGCGTAACCGAGCTATAATCCTACAGTACTCTCTAAGTCCAGTAACCCACGTGTGTACTGTTGTTTCGATAGATGCGGAAAATAAGTGTCGTTGAGAATGTCGACGATTTCTCGAATTGCCTCGTGGCGAAGAACTCGAGCGTTTGGGTCCTAAAATTTTGTTACTAAAAAGCGGGTCATTTCGGAGTACTATAGTCGACAAAACACGACTAACGAATTTTTAAGCTCAACTAGAGTTCGTTAGCTCTAAAAAACGTGCGGAGTCCGTTATCTGGATATCACAAAAGGCAATGAGCCTATTTAGGGTGAAAAAGCTGAAGTTCACGGAAACGACCGAAAAAGATTGGGGCTGAGAACAATTACCGATGTGATTTTTGGAGAAAAATCCACTCACAATCTCTGATCTGGATCTCATTTTAGAAACTCAGTAGGTTTTCCACCGTCACTCACCGATTGCATGGCTCTGTCCCACAATACGGGCCTTTCCTTCACTTGTTCGATTAGAGTCCCTCGGCTGTTGTCTGTCCAGGCCATTCTACTGGAATTGAAAATTTAAAACCTGGCGTAAATGCTATTCCTTGAAATGCATTTAAAACATCATTTTACTAGAAAATTTTCCAAAAAAAGAAAACAGTAAATTTTCAAAAAGCACGTTCCTCAAAAACAAGATCTCGAGTGTTTCTAAGCTACTAAAAATGCCAATTTTGCCCAAAAACAAAAAAAAATAGCTTTTAAGGCAGCAAATCACTTTTTTTCGCAATTTGGCTGTAAAATAGCCATTCGACGAAGCCGACAAAGAGGCGAGTTGAGAATTGGTTAAATTTTGAGCTCAATTTTCAAGGAATCAATTCACAACGAAAATATTCCCGCAAGCTGGGGCACAACTCGATATTCGGAGGCAATTTGGGGAGCTGGTCGACGAGGCGGCGCGTTTCGGCCCTTTCAGCGACGATCGATTCGCGCCGCCTCAGCTCGCGACCCGAGCCGCCTTTCCCCACGGAGACACTCCCGTTTCTCTTTCTGGCACGCACGAGAGAGGTTGAGAGAAGGGAAAAGACGCGGAAGAGACAAGGAGACACATTTCTCTTCCTCTTCCAACACCAACAGCAGACCTGTTTATTCTTTGCGAACCATAGAGGAAAGGGGATGAATCAGACGAAGAGAAGAGAGTGCCCCAAACAGACACATTTATACCCGGTAAAAGCGAGTTCTATAAAAGTCTGTATTAGATCTACCGTAAGCTTGTCTCCAATTTCTATTGTTCATATGCTATTTGTGTGTAAAAATGTGATTTACGATAATCTGTTGGATTTAAACGCGGAAGTTTAATGCATTTTGTCAATTGGCTTTCAAAATTTACCGTAATCTTTAAATCTTGATATTTAAAATAATAAATTTCAACGTAAAAAGACAATTAAATGAATTTGGGCAACGAAACATTAACAAAACCAGGAAATTTCAAAATTGTGACTCTATTTCTTCCAGTACTCAATCTTCTCCATTTTCACCAATGGGAGTAGCTGATCGGCAAAAGCGCGGAGTTGTTTCGCCTCTTGCATATACTCTACACCATCTGGAAGCGCTGTCGAGACTTCGACCTGGACAAGAAATTGATGAATTGGTGAAGTTTGAAAATCCCAGGCCCAAAGGGTCAACTACTCAAAGGGGAAACCAAAGCCAATTTCCTAGCCCATTACTTAGCTCTGAACCAAAAAACAGGGCCAAGGGGTCAAATTGGAGGATTGGTGACTACGGTACTGCCGGGAGGGGCTCCAACCCAGTTTGCCGGGCATAAACTATATTCAGACACGGTACTAGTCCCAAAATCTTCAAAACCACCAACCAGGACGGCATTTGTGAACGGTTTCACGTGCGATACATCGTATCTTCCCGGCGATTCGCATTTCTTCAGTTTATTCAACACGATTTTAATCTTCCCGCACGTGTACACTTTCCCCTCTGTGATGTACTCGTATTCCATGCGGAGACCTAAATGAAAAAATAAGTTAAAGGTTGGCAAGAACTTAAGCAAAGATTAAAGATTCTAAATTTGGCTCCAAACTGCTCATGATCTCATGAATCTTGATAAATTCAAAGACAACTTACCCAACGCTTTGATGAACTCCATCATGTTCACCGAGTGCATCACCGAGTCGATCACTTTTCGAACGATAACCGGGCATTTAACTGTTGGTTCGGGCATTCCCATGTACCTGAAAATGAAAATATTAGTGAGACTTCAGACAAGTCTATTCCATGCTTTAAAATCCTCACCTCATATGCCATTTGTTCGCCGTTTGATTCATGATGTCAAAGTTGAAGACACGGCGGAGTCTAAAAAAGAGTTGAGTTGTGAAAATTCTCGTTATAAAGGCTCTCTTACCTAACAGTGACATTCGATTGTGATGAAAGAGAAGTTGCCGACGGAGTCACGCGCAAAGTACACGTCAATTCGTGTTCCTAAACGAGGAATTTAGTGATTAGATGGACTTTTACTTAACATTCTATCCAACTTCTCCTCCAAACCATTACCTGAAACTCCTGGCAGCTTTTGTCGCAAAGTCCGGCAAGTCGTGCCTCCAAATTCTCGACGTGTTCGCTGCGGAGACTCCCAAAGAGAATCAACTGATAAAGTAGTCAATTTACACACGATGTCTCAGTTTTAATGAGTTAAATTACCCGGCTTGCTTTAAAAGTTCCGATTTTCTACTTTTGCTGTTTGTTTCTCAAACAATTTGGCAGCTTTTGCCCTGCATAAAGAGCCTAGTTCACATTCACTTTCCCCCAAACTCATGACAGGTGCTTTTCAAGAAAACAACAGACAAAATTTATCGATGATTGGGGGACAAATAGCAGTACTTTTCCGTTACAGCGGCGTCACTTTACATCTACAGAAGACGGATTTCTCTCGGTTTATATTAAGTAATGCCGACGTCACGGAAAAGTACCCAAACAGCAAAAGTATCACAGATTTTTGAAGGATTCAACCCTTGCATATAATCGTATTGTACCCAAAAACGCACCTCTTGACATTGATATGACGTTGTGGGAATCGACGGGGCGATCGTTTCCCCGTCCGCTTGCTCCATCGGTGAGGTCTAGAATGAGAAAATGTATAGAGACGCATAAAATTGAGAAAAGGCTATAAAATCTAACGGGATTATCGGCTAAAGACCTTAAAAGCTTTAAAAATTCCCATTTTCTTCCAGGAAAACACCAAAAATGCATCTCATTTCATTAAAATATCAAACCGAATGAATCAGTTTCCAAATTTCCCATAAAATTAACGTTTAGAGCGTCTTTATTTAATCGTATCAATCAAAAATAACAACAAACGAACGATATGAACAATTTTAAGCAAACAAAATATGGCAACCGTTAAGGGAAATTCGACCCCTTTTTTGAGCAAAATCAAACGGAGATCAATATAAAGCAATCGGCAAGCTCGAAAAATTGCAAAACACGTGACTAGGACAAGCCTGGAGATCAAGAAATACGCAATATCACGAATACGCCAAATGAGATCAAAATTGTCGACTAGTGCCCGGTATTTGACTAGATAATTGCAAACATTTGGTTAGCAACACGTTGAAAAAACAAAGAGAGATCAATATTTGTTAGAAAGGAATGGAAAACCTTTAAAGCTTTGAGAAATCGGTTGGTCCGAGTGTGTTCCTGGCCGATGGAGCCTTCAAAGTGGTGTCACCGGCGCTCGAGTTAATGTCGAAATGATTGAGAAGTGAGGCCATCACATCGGCATCCGGACGAACATCGATGTCGGCGAGGCTGAGGTCGGCCAAAGTGCGCTCCCTGAAAGGAAGAATGATTAGAATCTAGAAGATGATGTGCGTGTATCAATTTTATCACCCAATTCTCAAACAAGCCGCGTTGAAGACCCGTGATAAAATGTAACATCTAGTTTCATTACCCGATCCGATGCTCTTTTCAACATTAAGAATTACACTTTGACATCTTGTAACAACACAAATCCAAAAGTTTAGCATTTGTTTGGTTTAGTTGTCCAACCTAGACTAGAGATTGGCTTTTTGGAGAAAACCTGGTATTGCTCGATAGGGGTCGGATTAATGGTACTGTGTTCTCTAAAAGGTAGATAATTTGAAAAGCTACAGTAGTTTTCCCTTTGAATTTTATGAGTTCCATTTTGATCCCAATTAATTCGCACCTGCTTCAGATGATTAAGTATAATGGGCAAAAATCAAAAGGAAAAATTGAAGTAGCTTGAAGTCAAATTATCCACCTTTTAAATTATGTCTCTAAACTCTCCTTACTTTTTCTTCTTCTTGACATTTCCAGCACGGAGCACCGTGCTCTCATCGCACTCCGAGTCTCCCGAAACCGATCCCACATCCGAACAGCAACTCTCCGATGGTTCTTCTCCACTCCAAACGTACAGCGCGCGTTTCCAGAGACGGACCTGAAGAAAATAAATGATTAAACTGGTCAAGAAAGGTATCAATGTCCTTAACACTTGTGATTGTTTGATTTAAAGCTATAGATAGTTTGGTCAAAAGGTTCACTTGTTGATCCCAGCTCCTTCGCGAAAAATTGATGAGTTTGTTCGGGGTCGTCGGATGAATTCCTTTCACGCGATTCTCCTTCAGCACTATTTCACGATAGCGATGATAGATCGTCTTCTCTTTGGCCCTCTAATATTGACAGATTATTATGCGTCAAATACAGATATGATAGGTAAGTCTTTGCCTATGCTAAATCACCAAACGGCTAAATTTCAGGCTTTTGCCCCATCTATTACCTGAATTTCTCGTGTCCTCCTGGCCAACACTTGTTGATCGGTCAACCATCCCAGCTTCGGCTCTTCCCAATTCTCTCTCATCTTGATCACGATTTCCTCATTATCCGTTGGTTGACTCGATTGCGACGTGATGGAATTCTCGCGAAAGAGTTTCCTCTGAGGCATTTCATCGCCTGAAGCAAGTGACATGTCCCGGAATCGCTTCTTTGTCGATGTCTCTTCTCGGTCAGCGATTCTCTGCGATCGACGAGTGCCACTTCGGAAGATTTCCTCGTTCAAATGATTCGTTTCAAGAGTTTTCTCGAACTTGGCTCGAGTCGATGCTTTTCGTGGCGGGCGGACCTTGCGACGGTTTCTTTCCGTATCGATCAGTGGCTCTCTATCTCCATCCCCTTCTGCTTCACCGTCCGCTTCCACCGTCGACAAAGCTCTAAAGAATAAAATAAAGCTTGTTGATGAAATGATCATTATAACTATACTCAACTAAGTCTATCTTTTAGAGTATTGAAGCAACTGAATATAATTTTAGTTTGCCTAACTTTTCGGTCAAATTAGATAGATTGGACATTTTTGACTAATGAATATTTCAACTTCGACAAATTAGGTTTACCAGACTCATTTGAAACGAAAATTAGCTTCAACAATGGCACAAAAGGCAGCAGTTCAGTATCACTTACTTCTCAAATTACTAGATCCTCTCTGGATCTAAATATCATCACCAAACTCTAACACTGAAATTTAAATATTGGGCCTAATGATGACAGCTTTTGGTTCAAAAGAGCCTTTTTCTTGTATGAGATGATCGCTTTAATGAACTATCTTACAAATCGTCAATTCGGAATTAGGTAACTGTATATTTTTCTTCTAATTAAACCATCAAACAACACTCACTCGTTTTCCGAGTAATCCGTGTGCAGACTCTCATCTTGTTCCGTGATTTCAGCCCACGATTGATCCGAAAAATCTGATTCCCAATCATCATAGCTGGCGATCAACTCGGCGAAGGTCATCGGTCGATCGTTTTTTGATGTGGATGGGGCGTCTTGTTCATCCAAATCGTTTCCCTCCTGCTCTTCCACCATTCTGAAAAGAAAAAGGATTAGAAAATGCATGTTGAAAGTTAAAATAAACACTCAAATCGTTAAAAATAGCTTTTTAGGAGATTTTAGCCTCGAAATTCATAGAAATTTTTAGGATTTAATGGCATTTATGTGTCCCAGGGCCTGTTGTTTAGACTACAACTCCTTTTTGGTGAAGCTATTGACTAGTTTAAGCTAAAAGTTGTCAAACTGTCCAGTTGCAACAAGAATTTTCGCATAAAATTAGCTAAAACACGATTTTAAATGGTTCAATATCAAAAATATAGCGACTTGAACGCCTGAAAAAGATAAATCACAATATTTGTACTTGAAGAAACATTTATTTACACCAATGAACAGTCGCCGTTTACCCGAGATATCACAAATGACATTGAAGTCGACAAACAAACGAAGAAAATAGAAACAATGGAAAAGTGAAAATTCCTGACTTAAAAGCACCAATAAAATGAGATAAACGAGATCAATCTTCGTCCGAATCGAATTTGTTCGCCCCGTTTTTGTTTGACGGGAGAAGGCGACGACGTTCCTCGAGAACCGACAACAGAATGGAGACATTTGTACACCTAAATAAGAAAATGAGCAATAAGAGCTACAAAGTTCCTTTTACATAATAGTTTCTTGGCTACATTTGACGCTTCAAACTTCAAAAATTTGCTGATCAAGTCGAGGTTTTGAACAAAACAAATCTAAATTCTCTCGAGGGTTCCTGCCAACGTAGAATTTTGATTTGCTTTGTCCTATTTTGAGCAAAAACCTCAACTCTACCTATAAAACACTATCCGGGATAACTTATTAGCAGCTTCAGCAAATTTAAAACCCTAGAATTAGACTTACCTGAATCAGTAATTCTAGGTATGACAAAACTACAGCTCAAAGCCACTCGCAGACTCAATTTGGCTAGAAAATCTTTCAAATCCGTACCTTTCCATGCACGATTTCCTCATATCCGCATCCACCGGCCGGGCACTTTCCTCAACCATCGCGATGATTTGATCCAATTGCGCGTCAATGTTCTTTACCTAAAGATTGTCCATTCATCATCTAAAATCTTAAACCAACCAAGGTATTATCTTTTTCACTCATTTGTGACTCGTCGACACCCAGCATACGCCGAAGGAACTCGTTGACCAATTCAACCGCTCTGTCCTGAGCGTCGAGACCATATCTAAAGCTGAATAATCATCGAGTCATTGAGTAGACGGTTAACTTAGGTTTAAATTTTCTTTCATTACGCACTTCAACGCGGCTAATGCAATGTAGTTGGGCGAGAAGATCAGCATCACGTCGCTGAGTAACGATTTCGTGATGAACTCGATCAGCGTCGGTCTGAAATAGAACCATTGATATTATGATTAAAAAATCTTATCCGACTGCAGGTGGTCAAAGTAAAAGGATTCATTAAAGAATCTGGCAAGCATTCTATTTTAACGACTGAATACTGTAATTCTTGTAGTAGTAGGCTAGCTGGATTTTTGGAAATTGGGCAATAAAATCAATTAAACTGAAGGCACTAATTAGGTATTTACATCTCTGAATAAAAGAAATGCACCCAAGGTGAAACCAAATTAGGATTTGAGTTTGCAACTGCAAGAAAGATTCCTACTGTTTAGCTCAGTCTTGCTAGTGTTTAAAATTTAGCAAAAACTTTTGCTATGATGACTCTAATGGCTTTCATAATTTACCTTAAACTCTCAATGTCAAAGTTGAGCAGAGCCATTCGTTGCTTCATTTCCACGAATATCCCCTCAATTGTTCGATATGGCGTGTACACGATCAGTGAGTAGTCCATCACTTTCAAAATCTCCGGCTCCAGCTTTAAGATGTGGCTTGTGTTCGTCTCAGTGTTACCTAAATGTAAGAAAATTGAGGCCTGAAGCAAATTTTGGTGAGTGACTGGCGTATTGCAGTGTAAAAGATTCAAAATTATGTCACGTGCTCTGGAAAATTTCGTTTTCAAAAGCAAATCTAATCCGATTTTAACCAAATCTTCATCTATTTTATCATTTTTAACTTTGAAAACCTTTAAAATCATGTGAATTTAGAATTTCTTTTTTTTCATTTTTGAATTTAGAGAGCGCTTGGGCTAGGTTTTTAGTGAAAACGGATCAAATTGTATACCTGACTTCAAATTGGCGACAAACTCGTGTATTGGCACGTAGAACTCGTCAATTTTCGTCGCCAAGTAGTAGCAGGCCATCATCACCATTTTCGGGCTGTACTCCATCACGGTGTGCTTGAGGAAAAAACGTTTGAAGTAGCAGAAAGCCGTGTAGCGAACGGAGGGGAAGAGATGGGGCTAAATTCGAGCACCTATTTAACTTTATGTTTGGACCTTAAGAATCCTTAAGAAACCGTTTGATGGTTTAAAAATGTTTGTACTGTCCAAAAGGGCATCTTGGTGTTAAAAAGTTAACAACAGCGCCAAGAAGTTACCTGAAAATCGTCGCCAAATTTCAACGCTGCCTCTTGTACAATGGCTCGCATCGTTGACTCGTCTTGCGGCGAAAGAAAACGCTCATCTTCGCCCGGATTGATCACTTCTCTGTAGACGTTTTTGTAGTTTTCGCTGGCCTAAAAGAAAATGATTAGTTTAGCGTAATTTAGTAAAACTTTAGCACGTTTACATCAAAAGTTGCACAAGTTTTAACAAAGTTAGCGATCAAAACCTATCAAAATGACCTTTAAAGCTTCAAAATAAACACAAAACATGCTTTTTTTTACTAAAAGAATCATAAAAATTCCAATTTTTCATATTTGAACAATTTTCAATCATTCATTGACAGCTTGGACACTAGAAAAGCCAAAATGCACCTCATTTCTCTTGGCCGTCAACGCATCGGTGTTGTCGAAGGTCCATTCGGTCTTCTGGGTGCTCGTCGGGAACATTGGTTCACCAAAACGGCTCAAAACGACCCTGAATTTCAAAGTCTAAGCCTTGAAAATCCAAAAAACGTTAAAGAAAGCAAAGTAACAGAGAAGTAAGAAGGCAAAGCACTTGAAAATGAGAAAATCAAAATCAAAGAGATATATATATAGAAAAGGTGCAAAATAAGGATTTCGACCGTTTAGCTGAATATTTTTTGCTTAATGAGAGAGGCTATAAATAAGCAAAAAGTGACAAAAATTTAGTTTTCTCTTCATTCGCATTACTGCACGGTTTCCATTTCCCTTGCCTTTTACGATATCTAATTTTCAAAGCCGCGTATTCTTATGACCGATCGCGTAGTCGTTGCCTAACCACCGTCAAAAGGCGTTTTGGGAACGTTTTTGTGCAGAATCGGCGGTGCAAAAGGCGTTGACTTGGAATTTTATTTTACCATCAGTCTAACAAGCTTTTTATTGAACTAAATGCGAATCTTAAAATGTTTATGTCAGATTCAAGTCCCGTCTTGTTTTTTTGATCTTTTTTGCAATAGATAACTCACGAAAACTATTTTGTTCAGAGTTCGTGCTTCTTCGACGACAGCCTCATCAACATGTACTGCCAACGTCTCGCCGCTCCACTTGCTCGCTCCATCATTGTGGGTTTAACTGATTGGTCAAGTTGCAGTTAAGCTTTCTTAATCCTAAACGAATAACATAAAGGGAAAAAAATTAGGAATTTTATCAAAACATTCCTTTTAAACTTTGCATTGTTTCGCGAAACTTAAAAGCTAAATTGAACTGAAACAATTAATTTATTTTATCAGTGAACGTTGTAAGCAAAAATGTTAGCTCGTATCTTCTTGAATTAAGGTGATATCTAACCTTAAGCCTTTTGGCGATACTGAAATATCCAAGTACATACTGCAGAGTACTCTGTTAAATGCTTATTTTAGTTAAAAGCTTCGCTAGTAGTTAGATTTAGATTGTTTTTTGTTTCGAAATTCTTGCCCAGCTAAGGTTTTATTTTTAGGCTCAACGAGCTCCACTTGCACTCCGAGCTGAGGGAGCTTTGGCAACTCGTGCTCTTCACACCTCGGTGACCCGCAAAGATATCGACAGTGCTGCCAAATACATCGGAGCCGGAGCCGCCACGGTTGGAGTCGCTGGATCGGGAGCTGGTAGATTTTACATTAAAATACAAGAAATCTTTTTGGTTTAGGTATTGGAAACGTGTTTGGCGCTCTCGTCATCGGCTACGCTCGCAACCCATCACTCAAACAACAACTCTTCTCATATGCCATCCTTGGGTTCGCTCTCTCCGAAGCTATGGGTCTCTTCTGTCTGACAATGGCCTTCATGATTCTCTTCGCTTTGTAAGCTTGTTCCTCTTAGCCATTGTATAATGTACTGTTATCCACTTCCTTTAGACGTTGATTGTCTTTCTTTTTTGATGGTAAAATGTGTTTCTTCACGAGAATAAATAGTTTATACAACTTAAGAATAAAGAATCGAACAAGGCCAAAATAAAAAGGGTTCAGTGTTAGTGAGGGTGAACGTATTGGTATGTATAGTTAAAGTTATAAGTTTACGAAAAAGAAGCGTATTGGCATGCTATTAGTGTTAGGCACAGCACTTTGGTACTGGGATTATCGTACCCGCAGTACTTGCAACAGGACACAGCTGTTTGGAGATGGGCAATTTAGTCGTTGCAATCATGTGTTCTAACAGACTACACTAGACTAATACTTCTAAAAGGTACCCATTTTAGACAAATTCCCGGTCTCGGTTGACTGAATGAGAAAAAGGCGCGTAATTTGTAATGTGTAAAGCGTCTCTTCGGGTAGATCGTTTCTTGCGTTTATTTTTGGCGTATAACTTTTATTATCGGGGTTCTTTCAATCCTTTCAATTCCTCCATCTCCTATATCCGCCGTGCGATGGTTGTTCGTGTGGTGTGTAATCTCCTGTATCCAATTCGGACACCGATGGAGCGATGATCTCTTGAACACCGCAAGAAGACGGGCAATGGCCGCCGGGTTCACCTGAAAATGGATTTTGAAGAACGGGAGGGAGTACGGTATCTTTAGATAAGCATTCAGTAGCCTGACAGGGTTCATCATTATCTAGCCGAGTCTTACCCGAGTCTCCTGGTGGTCCGAAGGGTCCAGGTGGACCGGGTTCTCCTCGTCTTCCCGGTGGGCCAGGTGGCCCCATCTCTCCGGGCGGCCCTGGGGGTCCAGGGTTCTGTGATGGCATTCCATTCTGCCCGGGTGGACCCTTGGGGCCACGTGGGCCAGACGGGCCTGGGGGTCCCTTGATGCCAGTGCCACCGATCGCGTCATCACCGGGTGGACCCTGGAAATGGGATTTTATTGGTAAGGGCTAACCTAGCACCGTCATTACCTGGCCCTGGACCCTGTCCAGGGCTGCAGGATCCTGAAATCTTAACCAATCCTGTTGCCCACCTTCATTCCCGGGTCTCCAAGCTCGCCGGCTTCTCCCTGTGGTCCAGCATCTCCAACTCTTCCAGGCTTTCCGGGTCTTCCGGGCAATCCAGGCAATCCAGGTTCTCCAGGTGTTCCACCGCGTCCAGGCTCTCCTTGTGGTCCCCGGTCACCGGGTGGACCAGCTGGGCAAATGACACATGGAAAAGCTGGCTCTGGGTCCAGTGGGACATCCAATCCGTCTAAACCGGGCTTCCCGGGTCGACCAGCCACTCCATCAACTCCTGGCTCTCCATTGACACCGGGCGGTCCTGAATGGATATAGCTACAGTATCTCAGCTGTACTCACCCTGTGACCCGGGCGGGCACTGTAGTTGCACACAGCTTGTGCATTGCGCTGAATCGTCCATTGCACCCGAGCCGTAGCCGGCTCCGTAATCTAAACTACTCTAGCTGGGATTGTAGCTTGCCGTACCTTGTCTCTTCTGACGCCCATCGCTTCGCACGACAATAATATCTGACCAGATTCCCCGGGCGGTGAACTGAAATTGGAGACGGCTGTACTGAAGATATTGGTCCTATACCTAGTGGTTATTTAAAACTATCTAGTGCAAGTACTGATACTGGTTGTCAGCACTATTTTGATTCTCTCTGAATAGATGAGATCTAATAGCTGTTATTTAAACCTATGATACTGGTACTTGGCTCACTTTGAATGCATCCATTCTCATTTGTAGCCTTTGTTGAGCCGAGTCGAGTTGATTGTTCAATAGCGGGATAACAGTGACCATTGAAAGGAGGCAAAAGAGGGAAATGGCGGATACGGTCAGGGATACGGTACGAAAACCATGATGTGGATCATCGTCGGCGATCATCTGGATATGGTAGAAGTCGAGGGACTACTGTTGCCAATACTTGGGTTATTAGTATGGCTACAGTAATCCATAGAACATCTCTAGATATAGATACAGCTTACAGTACAGCTTAGAGAGCTTACAGTACTTGAAAGGAGAGGTTGTAGTCAAAAAGCTGGCTACAGATCAAGCAAATCCAGGAGGACTACGAAAGGAATAGGGATATGAGCCAAAACGACTACCGTACTATCAGCTGAAAGTACTTGTAGTTTAAAGGTGAGGTTACTGTAAGCTGTATCTAGACATATTTTGAGTAGTACGGCAGCCAGCTGCTAACTATAGTATCATCGCATTTCAAATGGAGAGTACTGTAAGCTGTAAGTGGAAGTACGGTAGTCATTTTTGGCTATAGGATCCACGGGGATATTTTAGATCTGCAGCTAGCTATGTTCTGTGGGGTACGGTTTCCAAAAAACAGTACAAATAAAATTTCAAAGCACACAAAATGAAGCCAAGCTAAATTGTGACTATAAAATTAGCTATATCTAAACTTCTAAAGGTCCATAGTATCAGAAAATCTCGTTGTGATCACTTTTAGGCGCTTCACGACACAAATTAGGTCAGGGCTGCGTTTTCTCCCAGAAAAGCACCAAAAATTTCTCCTTTTTTCCCGGGATTTGATGGGAAAATCGGGTCAACGAAGCGGGATATGATGAGAATTTTATCGAAAAATGATCGTTTTTCATGTTAGATATAAAGTTATTCAAAAATATCCAAGAAACTATCAGATTTATGCTTAAAAACATAGAGAAAATCTTGAAAAACGAAAAAGACGAAAACGGGGAGTGGGACAAATGCGACCTTTTTTTGCTGGAAAAGGCCTTAGGAAAGGTCGTAGAGCTTCAAAAATGTTTCCATAGAAGGGAATCGTATGCGTAGATTCAGAATTTTGACAAATCAGACCTCGCTGACACGTCAAATTTGAGCTAAAAGGCAAAAACTACGCAACTTAACGCTTTTCCGCAGTTTTTGCCTTTTAGCCCAAATTTGACGTGTCAGCGAGGTCTGATTTGTCGAAATTCGGAATCTACGCATACGATTCCCTTATATGGAAGTATTTTCGAAATATTTTCGAAGCTCTACGGCCTTGCCTAAGGCCTTTTCCAGCAAAAAAAAAGGTGCGCAAATGTCCAGGTGCGCAAAAAAAAGGTCGCATTTGTCCCACCCCCGAAAACGCTAAAAAAGTCGTTTTAAATTAAGGATTAATAAACCGAGAAACACCGTACTCTCGTAAAAGTCGCCAATTTGAATTTTCAGTTTATTGACTGAATAACTTTATATTTGTGGGGAAATTGTCGCGAAAAAATTTTCATTTTTCATTTTGACCAGAAATTTTTCAAAATTTTCATATTTCATTTCCCGTCAATTTTCTTAGAAAACAGTCTTTTTTTATCCGTTTTTATCGAAAATTGATTTCTTTTTGGTTAGAATCCAAGAAGATCAGCCAGCTTTCAGCAAATTTTGTATAAAATGACTGTTTTTTGGCTTTTAGAAGTACTTTGCACTCTATTTGTGTTGATTTCATAGTAGCAACACCAAATTTTGATGAATTCAGCTAGTTTCATAACCGAAATACTGCTAGGAGCTTGTTTTAAACCGAACATTGGCAAAGTTTAACCCAAAACGCGATTCTGTGGTGTGGTTTTAACCCAATTCTTGAAATTTTCAATAAGTTTGAAGCCAGATCGCGAAATCTGTAGTGTTACGAGCTTGTTTTAGGCTTTTTTTTAGGCTAGTTGTTGAAATTTAGTAACGTCATTTAACGTCACAAGCTCTTTGAAACAAATTCCGTCTAATCCTTGAGGTATTTATCGTTTATTGGCAGCATTGCGGTTCTTTGGTGTTTGAATCAGCCCAGTTTCTCTTAAAACGCGCCCATCTATCGTATCCGTTCTCTGCTTTTTGACTAACAGATGCCTACCCAGATGATCCAATCTTTTGGCCTAAAATTTTTGCTTTTGCGAAGTTTTTTTCTTTTTTCTCTTCTTTAATTCTTGTAAGCTGCATGATTTTGTTTATTTCCAGGTAAAATGGACAAGCCCGTTCAATTGGCCAAAGTCACGAAAGTGCTCGGAAGAACCGGATCGCAAGGACAATGTACACAGGTAAAAGTTTTGCTTTGCTTGGAAGTTGTGCTTTGAAACGAAAAGCTTTTTGATGAGTTTTATATTACACGCGGACATTAGCGAAAGGCAGTTGCAGAGGTTTATAGGCAAATACCGTATTTCTTCGAATAGAAGACCGGGTAAAAGAGTATCATAGCGTACTCCTGCGTAGCAGCCCTTGTTAAAATATCTTTTCTGCATAAAAGCTTTCAGTCAAGTGCTATAGAGCTGGAAAATGGCTCAAAAATCTGTTAGCTCATGGGGTATTTTTGAGTCATTTTCCAGCCCTATAGCACTTCATTGAAAGCTTTTATGCAGAAAAGAAATTTTAAAAAGGGCTGCCACGCAGGAGTACGCGATGATACTCTTTACCCGGTCTTCTATTCGAAGAAATAACCCACTTAATCATTTGCCGTCAGCGTTTAGCTATTTTTTTTGGAATCAAGCGAGAGGTTAGCTTAGGAAGCAGATATCTATCTCAGAGTCGAGCTTTTATGCAAATCAGCTAAAGACTAGTTCACATCGGTGCAGTAAATTTGTCTCATGACAATCAGTGTGCAATTTTTTAGTTTTGATAATAGATGTATCGCTTGGCACTTTTAGTTGTCAATTATGAAAGATGTTGAGGGTGTTGGTTATAAGTCTTGTCATGTGAACATAAATATAGCATTAATGTTACGCTAAACGTTCGCTTGATTTGTGTAAAATCTTTTAAAGAACCAACACTCGCTTAAAAACTGCGCAAAATTTGCACGAATCTTTTGATTCCAATAGAGAAAAACTGATGAAATTCAAATAAAAGTTATTGTTAGAGTTGGCATGAATTAAGAATTTTGAACTTTCGTTATCAATAACAATTTTCAAATTTAGGTCCGCGTCGAATTCATCGGCGACAACACAAACCGATCGATCATCCGAAACGTGAAAGGACCCGTGCGTGAAGGTGACATTCTCACACTCCTCGAGGCTGAACGTGAAGCTCGCCGACTTCGTTGAGATCGATTATCCTTGTTATTTGTTTTCTTAAAATGGTTGGAATAAACTTTACTGATTAAAAAGGAAAGGAAACGCACGAGATGTAGAATGATCTATTTCGTTTAGAATTTTTCTGGTAAATTTTAGGTCGGACACTGAATTCACTATTTTGTGGTTTAGTTACCCAGGAAGCTCTAGCGTCAAATTATTTTGTGATTGTTGTTTTTAAACGTTCAATTCATACTTGGCACGGTTGTCACCGTTAAAATAAGCCTAGATTGAGTAATTGGACCAAGCAAACACTAAACTTTGAATTGGTGGCATTAAAAGTGCGTTAGATTGGGTAATTGAAGCAATTTACTCTAAGAATCGTTAAAAACCGATTTTACCTTCGTCAGACCGCAGAACGTCGTTTGTTAGCGTTAAATTGGACAGAACATTATATTTTTCATGCGTTATCATTCTTTGCTGGCTCGCATAAACTGTACTGTGTGCATTTTTCTGTAATTCTTCTTTTTTCAGTCGGACACACGTGTTGTGCTTTCTATAAATAATTCTCCATATGGCATCATTCGAAACGTTGTACATCTCGGCAGGCACAAATCAGACGTCGAACGCTTTGGTGACATTCGAGGCTGAACAAGCTTTCGCCGTCGCGTCCGATTCCGAGATTGTCTACACGAGATTTGAGGTGAATTTTTTGGGATCTGGTTAGTCGTGGCCAATCAAGCCTTATTTAACCTCAAAGCTTTAATATCTATCAAGTCTTGGGGTTGAATATCCAATTGGGATTCGATGGATAAAATTTGGGGTCGAAATAAAGACAGCAAAATTTATTCAAAGTCACCAGAAACGAAATTTCAAATTTGTTTTATTCTAAGTGTTTTAGGCGGATCTGTTGCACTCAAAAAGGATAGTAGCTCCTCGACGACACTCGTTGCCAATAAAATGTCTGAAGAGGTGCAAAAGGAGGAACACAAGTACAGGTAAATTGGTGATGCTAATTTAGAGACTTTAGTCATTATTGCTTTGAGCCTAAATCTTAAAAAAACATATTTAATGCAAAAAAAATAGCGTTGCATAGAGGTTTTGTCGAAGGCTAGTGCGAAAAACATTGCACTTGACAAATTTCCAATGTTTAGAACACTTCGTGACTGGCGGAGCTGATGGGCGCGTTGTTTTGTGGAGGAAGGCGTCCGATTCAAGTTTAGTGCCGATATTTTCAAGTAAGTACCTTGAATTTGTAATGTTTTTGATAAAGAAACAAATTTCTTGCTGAAATACTTTTATCATAGTTTAAAAATACAAGTTGTTTAGCCCCAAAATCCGCTTCGGTCATCGGTGTCGTTGGTGGAATCGTAAATGAAACAAAGAATATTAAAGTTTTCTCATCGTCCGTTGCCGGCTCGTCAACTCAAATTTTGGTGGGAAATTCAAATTTTCTTTGTGAAAATTTGTCATTTAGATCTACTACTTGATCGCTAATGAAGAGGGAAATCAAGCTGAAACAAAGGACGAACAAAGTGTGGAGCTGCCCGGGAAAGCTTTTGCTCTATCAGTGGACTTTTCGACGATAAATGGTGAGTGAAGTTGTTGACTTGGAATAAAGTAGCCATTTGATACAATTAGCGGAACGATTCTCTAATCTTAAAATGGAGGTCCGATGATGTTTTGATATTGTTTATACTAATTTAAATTCATTTAGACTGCGAACTTCTCGCGATCGGGTCATCAAATCGATCCATCGAGCTCTTCGCTTTTGACAGAAAGGTTTGAATTTAATGTTTTGTTGAAATCATCTTTATTCTAGCATTTCCACCATCGTCTGAGCATCCCCGCGCACTCGGATTGGGTTGATTCACTGGCTTTCAAAGGTTTATTACAAATTTTTGTGGAAAAGACAGTTTTTTTCAGATTTCTCCAGTCATTTGCTGTTGGCCTCGTCAAGTCAGGATCGATCGATCAAATTGTGGAAAATACAGCGGGTAAAGCTTTAGAATGTTTAGATTTGTATTGTTATAGCATTTAGATTTAAGTACAGGAAACGTCACAATTTCTCAACTTTAGGAAACGCCGACCGAAGACGACGACGAGTTGACGGTGACGAAGAATCATTTCGCGGCCATCGACTCGCAGGGGAATGAGTTTCGATTGTGTCTACATGTTGAAGCGGTGCTAAATGGGCACGATGATTGGATACACTCGGTGAGTGGACTAAAGGAGCTTCTGATACCGCAAAGCACGTACGTACGGTAACATAAGATTGGTACTGACTACAAATTATTCAATCCTGTTGATAGGTACACAGGGGCATTTGGCTCGGGCCTGATCTAGGGATGACCCACACACGGAACATTGCCCTTAAAAACCTAGATTCACTAAACAAGAATTTTAAATGATAAGTCGAAGGTCCCAAATGTGATAATAGCGTGTGATTGAGCTAGAGTTTAAGTCGTTTTGTAGATTTGTAACAAAAAGTGTGACTAAAGGACTTAAATGATGTATAATTGAAATTAAAGCATAATTTCGAACTAGCTTGGTGAGGGGAATGTGTTAAACCAGAATATAAAAGCTCTTTAGTTTTAAAGCCAACTCTTCATTAAATTTTCACATTTCCAGGTTTCCTGGGACTCGACGGGGAAACGCTTGGTGTCGGCGTCAAGTGACAAGACGGTGATCGTTTGGGAAGAAAACGAGGAAATGGAGGGATTGTGGACGGATACGGTTCGAATGGGGATTGTGGGAGGACAAGCCGCCGGATTCTACGCAGCCGATTTCTCGCAAGATGGACAAATGATCTTCGCGTCGACGTATTATGGAGGAGTGCATGCGTGGAGGAGAAATGAGGAGGTGAGTGGACTTGGATTACGTACAGGGATTACGGTAACAGCCGGGTGCAGCGATTAATCGGTTTTGGCCGGTTTAATTACCCAAGTTAATCTTGATCCATTCTAGGTGATGCATCCCTAGCCGCTAATGTCATAGTAATCTGAGATTTTATTAAGTTTGCGATAACTCTAAATGTCTTTTCTAGGATCACTTCCAATGGGACGCGTTGACTGTGCCGGGAAACGGGCATCCATCGCTCGTAAGCGACCTCTCGTGGGAGCCAACAAATGGAGAGTATTTGGTGACGGTGGGAAGCGATCAGACAACGCGAGTACACGCCAAAATGAAGAATTTGGTGGGATTCGGTAAATATGAGGATAAAATTTGTTTGTTCTCAGGATACGTGGATCGAAATCGCTCGTCCACAAGTACATGGACACGACATGCACTGTGTGGTCACCGTTGATCCGGGTTCGTTTTCAGTTTTGTACTTAATGGTTGTTTGTTGAACTTTAGCTCGCTTCGTTTCGGGTGCCGAGGAGAAAATCTTTCGAGCGTTCAATGCGCCTGAGACTTTTGTGGACACATTGGAGACATTGACGGGAACCGATAAAAAGAAGGTAAGGAACATGCTCGAAAAAGTTTTTGGAGCGGCGCGCAATCGGTTTAGTTTTTATTTTCGCAACTAAAGCTCAGTGGTTGAGTAAACGGAGTTGATTAACGATCCAGTTTTGACAGCTTTGACAAAATCCTAATTCCCTTTAGTTGTTCTCCCGATGTCAGCTTGCCGGCTATGGAGCACGAGTACCGGCGTTGGGATTGTCGAATAAAGCGATCGAGGGACAAAGTGAAGAAAATGCAGAGGATGAACGAGAGGGAAATGGGGAAACACATTGGGAAGAGGCGGCTTTTGTCGCGAATCCGATGACGTTGAATGGTTGGAGTTTTTAAATGACAAAACTACTGTAGTATTTCCAGATGCGCCCACCGAGGACATCTTAATGCAGAATACGCTGTGGCCTGAGGTGCACAAATTGTATGGACACGGTTATGAAGTGTACGCGGTGGCTGTGAGTCCAAATGGGAAGCTGCTGGCAACGGCGTGTAAGGTGAGTTAGAGGGGATCATAAAGGGATGTGACAACAGTTTAGTCATGTTCAGTGAGAATTGGTTCATGAGAGTTGGTTTTAACTTAGACAGATTATTGTCAGAACAATGTTCAAAAGTACAGAAGTAGACTCAACGGTCAAATTTATCATTTCCCGTGTTTAGGCAAGTCATCCCGATCACGCGGCGATTCTCATCTGGTCGACCGACGATTGGACACAACGGGGACAGGTTGAGGGATTTTTGAGGGTGATCTAGGAAGAGAAGGAGCAAATTCAGTACTTATTAATCAAGTTGAGAAGGAATAGTATTTTACCACTGGATTTCAAATGAATAGCACATCTAGATTCGTTTTAAGCTAACAGGCTAGGCCATTTCAACTCAACTCTGCCAATAGAGTTTCTAAAGGCATAAAAGACAATTCTAAAGCATTGCATAACCAATTTAGTCTTTATTTCCAGGCTAAAGACGGTCATCAATTAACGGTGACGCAAATCGAGTGGAGTCCTGATGGGAAAGCGTTGTTGTCGGTGAGCCGAGATCGAACAGCGATCATTTACAAGGAGGACGAGGGAAAAGGTGAGTATTTTGATTGTTGTTTGAGAAGAAACAGCTTGAAATTTAACTCAAATTTCATTCATTTAGTGGATGGCTACTTGTGGCGAGCGGTTTGGCGATCGAAAAACGAGCACTCGCGAATCATTTGGACGTGCGCATGGATGGGCGATTCGACGCATTTTCTGACGGGAAGTCGCGATCAAAGGGTAAAATGGTATAATAAATATATGACTTAAAACCTCAGTGGTATTAAGTTATTGCCTCAAGCATAAAGTTTGTGGCATTTAAATATGCAATTTCCACTCTTGAGGATTTTACTCAGGCATGCATTGACCTAAACCGGGGCTGCAAAATGAGGGTAATACTTTTGGATGTAAAGAATAGATTTGTAGCTACGGTTTTCTTATAAAGTGGAGCGTATGATCGTTTCTTTCAGTTGATCCTCTGGCGTTTCGATGGTGAACAAGCAGTTGCTGAGCTGGCCACCAAATTGAGTCAACCTATCACCGCTGTGGGAGTGAGTCGACATCGGGAAATTGAGTGAGTTTTGATAGGTGGAATATAGCTAGAATTAAGGTTAGAACATGATTGCCCCTGACTTTTGAGTAAAAACTTTGAAAACTATGCATTAAGGCGCAACTTTTTTTCAGAAAAGCCTCGATCATCACCGGGCTGCAAGATGGACGCGTTTTGATGTTCCGATTTAACGTCGAGGTGAGAGTTACATCCAAGAATTGCATTAAGCTTGGCATTTAGACCAAACAATTCCTTCAATGCGGGGAAATCGGCGGCGATCGAGTGTCGGGCATTGAATCACCCGTGACAAGGATACGGTAAGGGATTTGGGATTAAAAGTGGACGTGTTTTAGGTCTAATTTGACTCCGTGGCTCCGTTTTTTAAAGGCTTGCTGCGTAAGAATCAATTAAATTTTAACAGCCGATTCGAGCTTTAAAGCACATTTAAGCTTCTAGTTATATAATTAGCAAAAGTATTGGCAATTTTGCTTTTTGTCGCTTCAAACCATTTGCAGCTTATCCCATGTATTTGGGGAAAAGGCTTAGCCGGCGTTTTAAAGCAAGGCAATTTCCAGTTATCTTTAAGCTCATGACAACTTGCGTTAATTTACACAAAATAGATAACAGGCAAAGCAAATTGTTTATCTCATAGTTAAGGAGGAAAAGTATCAATTGCTAGATCGTTTTCATTTTAGTTTCCGTCCGAATGTCACCAATGTTAATGCGGAAGAGCCGATTTTTGCCATTTCCGGAAGCGATTTCAAGGCACGAATCTTTCGGATACTCGCATAAGTGATTTCTCGTGTTTTTGTTGATTTTTAATATTTTTGACGTAAAGTTATTCAATTTTCATATTATTTGTTGTGTTGTTGCCCTTTTTTCATTTTTCTGTGATAAATAAACGTTGTCACTTTGTTTTTTTGTGTGGCTTTACGTAAATGCAATATAAAATTACTTTGTGAGAGAAAAAACTTGAAATTAGTGAAAAATCGGAGTACGTGAAAAAGAACAATGATGGGAATTGAATAAATTCTGAAATTCAAAAGTTTGGCACTGTTGTGCCTTAGAAATGCTCTGTTTGACATGTTTAAGTGGTTATCAGTGCTAAAATTGCTCTCGAAAGCTTCACACAGGCTTGTTATACGTGTTTTGCGCGTTTTAGCTCATTTTCAACGTCCATTCGAGAAATTTGCGAACGTTTGAGTTTATAGGACACTTTTTGATTGCTTTAGCAACTTACTCCCTTTTTTGTCTTCCTCGTTATCCGTAAAGTACCGCTTTGTTCTTTAAATTTAATGATATTTCTAAATTTCAGGCGCAAAATGACCGAAAGAAGCCCAAAAGAGAATGATCGAGAAAAGGAGAAACAAAACGACGGGAATGGCTAACAAGTGGCTGAGATTTGGTCGACAGCCTTTTCGCTTGACAATATTTTCGTGAGGAAAGTCTCCTTTTCATCCTTCATGGAACTCGATGTTGATTGTCACTTCTTTTTCATCAGAAAGATTCATTCGTGTGATCGCTTGACCTTCTGGAACCCAAACGCTCAACAATTCAAAGACAATCACGAACGCTTTCTGCAACAGTTGCAATGGGTGAATCGGCCCTATTTTCGTGTGAGCGAAAAGGATTTGACGAAATTTTTCACCAATTTCCGTGCATCGGTCAACGAATACGTAAATTTGGCCAATTACCGAAATCAACCACTGCATGGTGTACTCCTGAGTTGCGTCTAAAATAACATGGGTTTTTTTGGCCGATACTACGTCCCGGTTGAGTAAAACGATTGTATTATTTTTGAGGTTATTTATATTTTATAGGCATTTTCTGATTGTCTTGCCACCATAGTTTAGGTGAACTCAGCCACTCATTATACTCCTGATAATCCTTTTACAAAACCGTAAAGTACTTGTTATTCTTGTTCCACAATGCTTTGTTCGTTTTGTTATTTGTTATTTCGTTATCATTCCATCATTTCTGCATTTTGTTACAAATAAAGTTTCAAATTTTCATTGAGAAGATTGGATTTTGACGTGAATTTGCGTGAATTTAATACCTGTTGAAGTTTTGAGATTGATTGGCTTAAATGATGGTTAAATTGATTGGAGGAGTTTTTCGTTTTTTTCTCAAATCATTATATCTATTAGGTTGGCAACTTAATAATGACGCGTTTATGTAACAAATCATTTATTTTAAAAAAACACAAAAGAAGAGCTTTCAATTCGAAAGGTATTCTCCATTAGTATCTATGACTTCTTCCCATCTTCTGCGCAAATCCTGGATCTCATCCTCGAAGAACTTGGGAGTTTTTGAGGCGAAGTAGTCATTCACTGCTCTTATGACCTGAGCATGATCATCGAACTTTTCTCCCTCCAAAAAGTGCTTCAGCGACCGAAACAAAAAGTAATCTGAAAGAGCCAGATCAGGTGAATAAGGCGCGTGGGGCAAAACTTTCCAGCCAAGTTCCTCGATTTTTTTATAAGTGATCTTTGCAGTGTGAGGTTTTGCGTTGTCGTGTAAAAATCTGACTCTCTCCGGTTTTGAGCCCCAATTTCTTCAAAGACTCGTTAACTCTCATTAATTGCTTCGAATAAAGATCAGCTCGACGGTTTGGCCAGGTTTCAGCACTTCATAATGCACCAATCCCTTGAAGTTCCACCAGTAACAGAGCATTATCTCCTTCCCATGGATATCAGGTTTGGGAGTGGTTTGCGGGGTCTGCCCAGTAGATAGCCATTAATTTTTGCGTTTAACGTTCTCATAGTTGATCCACGTTTCGTTAGAAGTCAAAACCCTGTGAAAAAAGTCGTTTGATTTACATTTTTGTAGCAAAATTGAGGCGACATTTTGTTGCTTTGGGTCAGTTCGTGAGGAACCCATTTTCCAACTCGATTCTTTTCCGAAGTTTGTGTAAATAGTTTTTGATTGTCGTATGGGATACTTCAAATATTTCTGCCAACTCACGAACGGTGAGTGTTGGGCAATCTTCAATTAAGGCGAGCAAGTCATCGTCGATCACTTCTGGAGGGTGTCCTTGGTGTGGCTTGTCTACGAGGCTTTCATCGCTGCCTTGGAATCTTTGAAACCATCGTTGACATTGCCGAATGTGTATACTTTCCTCTCCAAAAACAATGATGATCGTGCAATGAGATTCAGCTGGTGATTTTCCTTGTTTAAAATCGTAGAACAATGCAGCTCGAATACGGAATTTTTTGCCCTCCATTTTTTTGCCAAAAAGCGAATGATGAAATTTGGAGCACTAAATGTTATTTATGCAAACATCTTTTACTTTGTATATATGCGAAAAAGAGGGAAGAAACCGCGCTTGAAATTACAAAAAACATGTTAAGTAGTGAAGCGTCATTATTAAGTTGCCAACCTAATACTTAAAGCCCAAAAACGAGTGGTTTTCTTTAGTTTAAAGCATTCGCTTGTTTGATAAATCTATTCTTACACAAAACTTCAATCAAAGTGGCTAAAATTGGTTAGCCGTTTATTTTTTTTCAATTTTGTTAAGTTGTTTTAATTTTCAGACACAAGAATGCCGGTCGAGACTCGTGGACAAGAGCGAAGAAAGAACGAGAAAAGAAAATGGGAAGATCGAGTGAAATGGATCGAGGATTTACCCTGGGAAGTGATCGAGAAGATCGCAAGCTATCTCAAGCCGACAGATGTGCTGAAGTTGATGATGGTGAACAAGAGACTCTATTCGGGCTATGCAAGGGAGGAATCGATCGTCTTTGGGAATCACGTGCATGAGATCAGGCTGGGCATGGATTGCTTGATCAAGAAACACCCCGATTCACGAATATTTGAGCTGGATATCGATCATCTTCATTTGATCAAACGAGTGACTTCATGTGACGAATTGTATATTTGGATCGGTGTGGGCCCGTCTGACATCAATGAAATTCATAAAACGATCCTGGAGCAGTTGAAGTCGGTAAATCGTCTGGAGCTTTATATGACGCCAATAGCTGATCACACAAAGTTCTTTACCCATTTTCACGCATCCGTCAACGAGTATGCAAATGTAGACATTAGAATCAAGTCATTCGAAAAAGATCAATCAGCCAGCGATCTTCTCGGAAATTTCATTGAAACGCGATTGACGGATTGTGAGGAAATCAGTTTGGACTTTTCCTTTGTAGAGCTCTTTGGCGTTTGCTCTCAGGCTCTGAAAAAGACTCGGGTTAAAAGGATCGAAATGAATGGGGGCAATCTCTTCTTGGCCGTTCAATGGATCGTCAAGCATGGAATCCCAAGCAAAATGCCCGAAGCTGGCTTTTATACTTTGACCTTTATTCCACACGAAAAACTGAATGAGATCATTTCATTTCTCACGGATATCCTGGAATTGAAGAAATCGTTGGAGTAAATCGCGTTTCTGTACTTGAACAGGCAAAAAAATTGTGGAACTATGGACCTTTTGACAGGGTGGTTTTATGCCTCCGACAAAAAATCGACTTGACGAAGGATTGTATTTACGTAATTTATGGTATAGAACTTTACGGTAACTTTAGTGTGAAATATTACATGAAATTTCATGCCTTCTGCATCCTTTCTACTTCTACGGAATGATCGTTTGTTTCGGATTTCTGTTAAATTTCACCAATTTCCTATTGTTTTTGAGGTAATTTACGGATAATGGTCTTGCCAATCAGTTCAGCTAAATTTGGCTATACTCATTGTGCCCCCAAATGATCTTTTTACAATTCCCGTTATCCGTAAAGTATCTGCTATTTTTATCCGCAATCTTTTCATCGCTTTTTGTTATCTTTCACCGTCACAGCAATCATTTCCTTATCTTTCTCTTATTACGTTTTTGTTGTTGTTAAAAATAAATTTATGGATAACTTGCTTAAAAATGATTTTTGCCGGTTTAATAACCGTTCGATGTCACTTTTCTTCACCGAACTTGATCGATTTGCTACTTTTGAAAGCTCTCTTGCATCTTTGCTTTGAGGATCTTTCATAATAATGAACAAACAAGTCAAAGATGATATCATAGCGTTATTGGAACTAATCTTACTGGATCCGTATTTAAAACAACGAACTTTTATTGAATAATCCTCGTAACAATGTCAACAACTCATCAAAAACAATAACAACACAAAAAAACAACAACTAGCACATAAACAAATTGGGTAAGCTTAAAATTTATCGGTTCCTATGCTATTAGAGCTTTTGAACAATTAAACAAACCTGAGCCCTGTTTGCCTTGATTCCACGATTTCGTCGTTTCACTTTCTGACCTGCGTTGTAATCGACACCGCGCAGAGCTTTTGGCACTAAAAAGACAGTGTGGATGGATAGATTTCAAGAAAACGCACCAATATAATCGGGCACATCGCCCAAAGCAGGACAAGTGATCTTCAACGTGTGCAATTGTTTGTCCGTCGACAACACGTCCCTCTCGCGGGGATTCGCCGCAAAATAGCCCTAAAAGGAGAGATTTGATAGTTGAACGACTAAAGCAAACCTTGAGTTTAGCCGATCGCAAAGCTTCCTCGCGAATCTTGTTTTTTTTAAGGTATCTTCATTCTCTGTTTTTCTTTATTTTTCGAAGCCTAATTGTTTTAATTTCAGATAAAATGGACTCAAGCCAGATGGAAATGTGGAATTTGACGTATGAAATGAGGGATTTGATGTCATTTCCTTTGGAACGTCTCTGCTTCGATCTGAAGTTGGAAATCTTGGAGTAAATGAACGCAAAAGATGTGATTGAACTGATCAAGGTCAATGCGGGATTCAAAGAAATGCTTTCGAGAGATTCATCGATCGTTTTTGAACACCATTTTGCTGAGATTCACTTTGAAGCCAACGAGATTTTAATCAAGAAGTTCTCCCGTTCATCCTACTTGCAACTCGATGTTGATCGTCACTTTTCTTTCATAAGAAAGATTTATTTGTGTGATCGCTTGAATTTCTGGACCCAGCAGGCTCAAAAATTCAGGGACAATCACGCACGCTTTCTGCAACAATTGCAATCAGTGACTCTACTCTACTTTGAATGCGATCGGAAAGGATTTGTAGGAATTTCTTGTCAGCCATGAAATTCCAAATAAAAACCCCAAAGCATCGTTTGTGTCACTGGCTACCTATATAACACCAATAATATACACGATTTCCTCGCAGGATATCCGGGAATTCGGGCAATTGGATGGGGAAAAGCGTCTTTCACTTTTGAGACGGCAAAGCTACTTTTGTAAAAACGCATTCGATCTGTTCGCTTCGATGTGGAAAGCCTAATTTTTGTGGGCAAAATTCAGTTTTATGGGATTTTCTTAAAATATTTTTCTTTGACTAAAAGTCTTCCGACACTGAGTTTAACCCAAATAAGCAATCAAAAAAAAGTTGGAAAAGGTTTTTCGAAGAGTTTCGAGCATTTTTTCAAAATCCCACATACTTTCACTACGTAGATGCGAAATTTAGGGGACTCTCTCAAAAAGACTCCTAGTGTTTTGATGTTGCATAAAACAACTACGAGTTTTTATAGAACTAACAAAAAATGATCGGGGAATAGTTTCCATCAACATCAACAATTCTCGATCACCCAAAATCAAGCAATGAAGGCATTGATTTGTGGAAAAGCAGTCATGAATGGGTTAATCGAACAAAATCGGACATCTTTTGGAAACTTGAAAGAAAATAAATATTTTCTTTTTTCAAAAAATGTACATTTTTGAAATATGATAATAATAAGGACCACCAAAACACTAAGCCTAAGAGACTCCCATAGAGAGATAAACTTCAAATCTATGCAGTAAAGTATATATGGGATTTTTAAAAAAATGCCCGAAACTCAACGAAAAAACCTTTTCCGACTTTTTTCTCTTACCTATTTGGGTTAAACTCATTGTCGGAAGGCTTTTAAGTGAAGAAAAACTTGAATTGAATTTAGCCATAAACTTGAATTCGGCCTTTGTGCCCAATTTGTATTTTTGCTACCAAAACATATCACAGCTTAGATTATCTGAAAAAAAACGAGACTCACTAACTTTTCAGAGAAGCTACTGAGCCAAAAACCCAAAAAAACGCAACTTTCCATTAAAAATTACTCTGAAAACTTTATTGAAACTAAAAGCACGCAAAATTAACGACAACAGCGTGTAAAACTTCAAAACAACAACAACAACAACAAAAATCAACAAAATTTTCATAAACTTCACAAATGCCTGCTAAAATCAACAATTGCAAAGAAACAAACCGGGAAAAGCTCAATCTTTTTTCATTCCAATTGCTCTTTCGCGAGTTTCAGCGCCTCTTCGATCGTTTCGGGAATAGGTGTGCTCAAATCGGCGTAGAATTTCTCGATTAAGCTCACTTTTGACATCAAAGCAATACGATTCCTTGCTTTGGCCTGAAAATAAACAATTTAGCAAAGCCGAAATTAGGTTTTAGCGTTATTCCACTATTTCACGCTTTTCTGTAGTTTTTTTTGTTAGAATTATCGCGCTTGGCTGAGAATTCACATGCGAGGAGTTCGCCTCTTTATGCGAGGAAATGGATGACAATGGATCAGAAACGGATTAAGTAGCAAATTGGCACATAATTTCACTCACAAATAGACTTGGGCTGACGAGAGTTTACCGGGATTTGATGCATGAAAATTTACATAAACGATTGACTTCTGGACTTTTTGGACTACTCAGTGCACCACTTTTTAAAGGGATTTCGGTCTTCTGAAGCTTCAGTGTCATTAAGAGCTTAGTAGTCTCGGCAATCCAAGTCTACAAAGTGTATCGTCAATGAGGTCAACGTTTAAAACACATAGAGTGACCTGTTTTATCGTCTCATCTCCTTGTTTCCCTTCTCCATTCACCCTTGCTTCGTCCAATCTCGCCGCCGCCAAACGAGCCACCGAGAAAAGCGCAGCACACGTGCTCATCTCGTCTTTCCACCACTCCTGAAATGACCAAACGCTACAATTTGAACCTAAGCAATTGGAAATGTTAAATGGGTACCAATACTTGGTACTTTTTAAATTCATTAGCTACAAAAACCTCCTGCAAAATCCAGTATCGTTTTCCTGTAGCTAATTTAGTTTGGATTTAGAATACCAAAAGTTAAAAAGTATGCTTTTTCCTGCAAATCCTGGGTTCTGAGCCAAAAATATACAATCTACCTTTTGATTTGTGTCCGCCAAGAGTGCGCGCTCGAGAATTTTCACGAATTGCGAGTGTTCCGTCGAGTTGGCCGCCTTGCCGGGCTCTTTCAGACTCGCGTAGCCATGTATAATCTGAAAAGCATGCATTGGCTTGGTTAAATTCTCCAAAACACCAACCCTGGAGCTCAACGATTGCTGTGTGGTCACCCGAGCGTACAACTTGATCAAATCGGCTTTCATCTTCCCACGATCCTCGTCGTTTAGGCCCTGAATTAAACATTTGGATCTAAACCGGACCCAGTCTCAGTGTACCGCAAAATTTTTCTCGAAAACGCGGCGAATCCGCTCGAGAACGTTCTCATCACGGAGCTGCTTCTTCAGATCGAGAACCCTAAAGCTAACAGCTAAATAAGAAGTGCTAAGTTGAGCATTTTTAATAAATAAACTTATCCATTAACTTATTTTATTAGATTCAACTTGATTCATGGCCAGTTTTATGACCAGATCTCGATATATGCGAATCGACAACATTCCTCACCGATGTGCGGCCAAAATCGCCTGCTCGGCATCTTCGGTGTCCAGGCTCATCTCGAGGTAGTTCTCCCAAACATTCGGATGCTCGTAGTCGATCTTTAGTGCTTCCTGAAACAAAATGAAAATAGATGTGATTGTTGAAACCAAAATGGATATAATCTTGGCACTTTCGAAAGCTTTACGACACACCCTTCACAACGCAAAATGAGATTTAAAACTTTTGTAGACTCACAAAATAAGCCACAACATCAGAAATTTTTCATTTTAACTCAAATTATCTCACTTGCAAAGCTTTCTTGGCCCTTTCCTTTTTGTCGAGATACGAGTACGAGGCGGACAAGTTATTCCACGCCTCGAAATGCTCGGGTTCCAACGAGACACACCTAAATATGCATTTCAGTCAATAACACAGCATTTGTTACTCACCGATGAAAACACGAGGCTGCCTCGGCATATCGCTCCAACTTGTACGCACAATAGCCCGCATTGTACCAGACGCCCAACTGAAAATAATGCATGTTAGTTTCTTATAAAAAGTTTTCTTTTAGGTCTAGGTGGTGCAGAGCCGGCTTTTACTTGAATATTACCTTTTTATTGCTTAATTTTAGTTAATTAACTTTGCTTAACTTGCTTAACTTTATTTTATTTAGAGTTATTTCGCTGAATACTTGATATTTGGTTTTTAAACGAAACATTAGACTGTTGCATAGCTGGGACCAAGAGCCAGTAAGTGTTTTGATTTTTAGTAATTATCATTTCAAAGGCTCACTCATCCCACCTGGATTGGTTGCAGCTGTAAACTTCTCCGAAAATGCTCGTACGCTGGTTCGAATTGTTTCCTTGCCAAGTGCAGATGACCAAATGACCGTCGGGCGTGCGCGAATTTGTCGCCCGAGATCTGGAAAAGAGCAATAAATTTTAGGATTTCCTATAGCATTTCAGTTTCACGTGAATAAATCTCTTACCTCAATTGCTTTCTCGAAATATTTCGGTTCCATCGTGATCTCTCCCAACAAAGTGTACAAAAAGGGCAATGATTTTTGCGTTTTCTCGTTCTCCTCATCGATCAACCTGAAAACATTGAATACTTTGTAGATTGAGCCCATAAATCCAAACCTTCTAATCAAATGCTCAGCTTTGTCGACTTGTCCCAATGATTTGTAACAATCGATCACTCCACTCCAATCCTCCAATTTCTCATATTGAAGAAGAGCTTCCTGAAGACAAAAAAATTTAGTTTTTAAGGGTTTCTATTTGTTTCTAATGTAGAAAACACTCAATTCTGTCTTTTAAACTATTCCACTCTAAGCTATTTATAAAAGATGATCAAGTACTCATTCACTCACTGAAGTGCATCCAAGCGAGATCAAGATTTGTGAGTAGGTCGCTTTACACTTCCACCACGTGGGCAGCCCACTAACAAGAACGAAATGAGCACGAGCCGCGAAATCGAGTCCATCCTGAAAAAAGAATCATTAAAACTCTATAGTTCTCTTGTCCGATTGCTAGTTTGAGTACAATAGCCGTCACAGCATTGGATCAGCTATTAGAAGATTAGTACCTAAGCAGTAGTTTACTTGAAACCACCCAAAAAAAACTATGATTTTCAGAATAAACTTTGAGAATTCAATTCTCATGTGTAAATTCTCAAGTAAAAACACACCTGATTCGACGATCCGTCCATCAATTGAATGATATTCTCCACCTGAGCACATGCTCTTTCAACCTGAATGAAATCTTATGAACAAAAGCTAGGACAAAAAAACCTTTCTCTTGTTTCTCTTCTCGATTTCACTCCTCGCAATCAGTGCCGAACATTGTACAGCCCAAACACGACGCTCACCGATAATCTAAAAAGATTTATTTTGCGAATTTGATAAAAAATATCCCCCAATCCTTTAGACTCCTTTATTCTCTAAACTCCAATCACCCACAACACACCTTTTCTAAATAAGCCGAGCACTCCTCGATCAACAAATCGTCTCGAATGCACGTTTTCCCTTGAATATGACATAACAACAGTAGAGAGCACAATTGAATGGGCGAAAGATGGGTGGAGTGGCTTGGTTGATCGCCCGGTTGAGGCACAAGATGTACCTACACTTTTGGAGTTTTACTAGTTTTAACCATGCATCAACCTTTTCCAATAACGTATCATCGTTCAGCTTGCAATCATTCGGTAAATCTTTCTCCTCGGCGGTTTCATATTGATGATTGGACTCCTAAACGAGAGTAATTGCATGTAAAGTCACACAGTCAACGGAACAAGTCCATAAAGAACCTTTAACTAGAAGCGAATCAAAGCCCAATCAGAGCCATTAAAACCTGCCGTCTTCAGAACCAATTGTGGAAGTGGTCGTTGCCAATGTGTTCTCCTTCCAATACACCCAGTCACCTCGACTTTCAATGAGGTCAAAGCGATCGCCTGAATTACAAATTACCACCTCAACCTAACCTATTTCCTTAACCTTTTCAATGGCCTCCTGTGCTTTCTCGTAGTCAAAATAGAGTCGATGAGCTTCGGCTCGATGTAACCACAAAAAGGCTTGCTCATCGTTTGACAGATTGCTCAAATCGATTTCATCAAGGGTTGACATCTAAACGAATAATTGGAGTATCATTTTTAACACTTTTACTACCTCATTCTTGATGATTTCCATCAATTGCACAGCCGGTTCGTCTAAAACTTTCTGCCAAGTGAGACAAGCCTTAAAATGAGATAAAACCGGGATAATCTGGATGATTTACCTGCAATCGAAGCAATGAATCCCTCCAATCACCTCTTTGTTCATCGTTGTCGAGGAAAAGCGTCATTTTTGCCGCGAGAAGATACTCGAGAGATCTAAAAAAATGCTGATATATTATCGTTTATTGCCCTTAAGCTTTCAGGTTAAAACAACCCAGGCAAGTCTGAAGCCAAATTCTAGGCTGACTTATTGTCTGGCTTCCCTGCTGACCAATCAACACTCGTTGATCGTCAAACAGACCTCGTTCTCTTGAATGGGGTATTTGTGCCAAAAGAGAGCCGCTCGACCACTTCTTTCTTTAGTGTTTCCGTCACATCACTGTCGAATAAGAGAATATCGTCTGAAAAAACGTTTAATGAATTCAACGTTGCCATTTCTAAATGGCTATGAAATGTTTCTCAATCGTAACATTTTATTCTTTTAGACAAAAAAAGTCGTCTAATTTTGCCATTATCAAACTTTTGGTACTATGGGCTTTGGGGTAGCCCCCTTTTTTCACCAAAGCTATTTTCCTGGGGTAATTGATGACGCTTTTTCCTGGGGTAATTACCCTCAAAAATTACCTGATTTCAAAGGTTTTTAACACATAAATACAAATCTTTCGCCTTTCTAATGCAAATTTCGTCCTTTTGAAATTTTGATGTCTTAGCACATTTTGATATGGTAACGGCTTAAAATGACGTATGGACAGCTTAAAAACGCTTCGAAACATAACAAATCGTCGTTTGTCTACAAAGCAAAAAAAAAAAAGATGGCTGGACAAGTGATTCAAGAATTGAGTGATTTAAATTTGTTGAAACTTATTGGATTGCTGCATCAGAAACGAACCTGCCCAAATTGTGGAAATGCTGATATGATAAAAACGGACATTTTTCCATTACTAGCTTGCGCTAAAAATAATTTTTTTCGTGATCAGCGTCATCAATTACCGCAGGAAAAATGTTTTTGGGGGGAAAAAAAGTGCCCTCCCCCCCCAAGCCCATAGTACCGAACTTTTTTCCAACAAGCCAACATTTTAAAAAGAAATTGACCTCTTTTCCCACACCAATTCGCAACAATGAACTGCTGTAGTGTGTCGGCGGCAATTTCTCGTCGTTCCGCCATAGCAAATCGTCGAATCACTCCATCGATTTCATCGATCGATCGACACGCCGAAAAAATCGATGTGCTGTCCATCGATTCCTGGAAAGGAAAACTTAGAAATGATTTATTGAAGTGCAACCGTTTTACAATTAGTATCAATTTTAGCATAAAGTTAGAATTCTACCCTTGAAATATCCTCGCCAAACATTGAATTTGCTATGTAAAACCAGAGATAAAGTAATTTCCAGTCAGATACGCTGGGTTTGTGTTTGACATCAATTTAACGTCACGCCCTTGAATCAAGATAAAAGCATAGCAAAAGACGTTCCTGGCCAAAAAAAATGCAAAAACTTGTGCGGGTTTGCCTTGAAACTATTATTTGCACGCAGTGAATTGTGCTAACGCTTTCGTTGCCGTTTCAAAAAATGCAGCTCGAGAAGAATGAACAAACAAGTCAAAGATGATATCATAGCGTTCTTGGAACTAATCTTACTGGATCCGTATTTAAAACAACGAACTTTTATTGAATAATCCTCGTAACAATGTCAACAACTCATCAAAAACAATAACAACACAAAAAAACAACAACTAGCACATAAACAAATCGAGGATCGATAAAATTTTAAACGGAGAACGTCTCCAACGGATCTTTGCTTCGTTTCACTGCGTGTTGTTTCTTGACCTAAATTTTAGAAGTTAGGATTTGGCTCGGGTTTGCTTCTCAACAAAATTAATGTCTTTCCAGATTTGGACACATTTGACCGGTTCTAGAGCCAAGCACGAGCTGGTTAAGGACGAAATTGGGTAAGCTTAAAATTTATCGGTTCCTATGCTATTAGAGCTTTTGAACAATTAAACAAACCTGAGCCCTGTTTGCCTTAATTCCACGATTTCGTCGTTTCACTTTCTGACCTGCGTTGTAATCGACACCGCGCAGAGCTTTTGGCACTGAAAAGACAGTGTGGATGGATAGATTTCAAGAAAACGCACCAATATAATCGGGCACATCGCCCAAAGCAGGACAAGTGATCTTCAACGTGTGCAATTGTTTGTCCGTCGACAACACGTCCCTCTCGCGGGGATTCGCCGCAAAATAGCCCTAAAAGGAGAAATTCGATAGTTGAACGACTAAAGCAAACCTTGAGCTTAGCCGATCGCAAAGCTTCCTCGCGAATCTCGGCGAGGCGAGCCTCTCGAATCACTCCTTTGCTGCACGAGGCAAGTGCTTCCTAAAAACGGTAAAAATGTGTTAGATGTGCATGTTAAGCAGCTAGATAAAATCAGTTACGTCACTTCCTAGCACCTGCAAATCCCTAAACTCACCCTTGCCCTTAGCAGAAACGAGTCGATTTCCTTTTTGCGAATCTCGTACAAAAGAATTGCTTGACCACCCACTAGAAAATGACATAGTAAGCATCATGAATGCGGGAAACATACTCATTTTATCTATTTCTTCTTTGATCTTCTCCATGTAGACAAGTTCGTTTGGTGCATAGAATGAGAGCGCTGTGCCTTTATTCCAACCGCGAGCCGTCCTAAAGGAGAAATTTAGTCAAATATGACCTTGGGGATCACGATTAACATTGAGAAAGCTTTAAATTTTCAGCCTACCTTCCAACTCGGTGAATATAAGCGTCGGCGGTGCGCGGCAAATCGAAATTGATCACATTGGAGACGTTGTGGAAATCGATTCCCCGTGAAACACCAGCTTCTTTGTCCAATTTGCGCTGCTTTTTCTAAAGTGAGTAGGTTTATTTACCCAATATTGCCCTAAATCACCGTACCTTTGTGGCTCCATCATCTTCCTCTTGCTCCCCAGTCGTTTCCTCATACAAATGATTCGCATCCGAGGCGATCATTATTTGAAAGAGTCCATGATTGAAATGATCGATCACCAAGCATCTAAATAAAACAATTTTATGATACGCAACCAAGATCGAACCTCGAATTCGCCGGCATTGCCGAGTTCAAAATGCCCGATTTGATCTTGAAAGCATGGAGGAAAAGATTGAGCCTAAAAAAAGTGATTTTCAATTGGAATTTTTAAACCCACTGATAACACCGATCGGGATTCTTCACGAAAATGATCGATTTCCCGACGATCAACTTCAACTTCAGCATGGCGATCAGAATAGCGAAACGTTCCTCATCGCTGTCAATCGGTAATTGATATTGCGTGAGTTGAGACGTGTCGGGGAGGTCGCCTTCCTAAAACACTTGAAGTAGAATTGATTTAAAACGTTAACCTAATAAATTAAAGTAAATTCTAGAAAAGTTCAGGGCGCCGACTATTTTTCGGATTAAAAATAAGTCAGCAGGCTCGTTTTTAGCTAAAAATAACGTAGGATTTGGCCTAAAAGATCTGAAAAGTCGTTCAAAATGCGTAATTTTATCTTAACATCCCTCATATCTTAATTATGCGTCTCTTAACATCAAATCGAGAACATCCTGCGTTAAAAATCGTCTTCAAATTACTGACCTTCAGTTTAATTGTTAAAGCTGGCCCGGCCATAAACATTGATTTAAGTGGTGACATATCATCGGACAAAGTGGCTGACGTCAAAATACACTGATAAGTGAGCGGTAATCGGCTTCGAATGTATCTAGATTCAAGTTTTACAAAAAATTCGATCCAAATCCAACTTCATCTCCATTTGATAACCATACGAAAGCAATAGATCGGCTTCATCAAGAATTACATGTTTCACGTGATCGCAAAAATCGTTTCGAATCTCCAGCATCGTCTTCAGTTTACCGGGCGTCGTCACTACCTGGAATAAAGATAAACAAGATGATAAAAGAATTCAATTATTCAGTAGGTTCTTAAAATGTGACTCAAAAATGGTTTGTATTTTATTCGAAAACTAAAAGATAGATATGCTTTATTCATTCGGGACACGTCTTGGATTAGGAATGCGATTGAGCCGTCAAGTCAGGAATGCAATTGACCCAAGCTATGCTTTTAAATAGTAACTAAAACCAAGGATTGAGAAGAATCGTTGATTAGTCAGTCAGCAATCTCCGCCCAAATTGATCCAGTATTGGACTTGGCTCTTCTTATCATAGTATCTGATTGCTAATACGATTTATTATAAACCAACTTAATGTCCAAAGCGTTCTGACACAAGATTGGCAGTATCCATAAAAAAGCTCCCCTAAAACTCACAAATTCCGAGCAATCCTCTTCCCAGACGCTTTTCTCGTTCTCGTTCACTTCGGTAAGATGAACACTTCTCAGATAGGGAAACGGCCGAATCAGAGACGTCAACAGAGTGAAGATTTGCGAGCTCAATTCTTTCGTTGGAGCGATGAAGACTGCCAATGGACCGGTCGAGCGATTTGTTGCTACCTGCAAAAAGAAAGACTTGTGACGGCTATTCGGCATGGTCAAATTAACCGATTTCTATTGAAGCTCACCTTAATAAAATTGATGACTCGTTGCAATGTCGGCAGCACAAAAGCAGCTGTTTTCCCAGAGCCTGTTCGTCCACGCACCAGCAAGTTCTTGTTCTGAACATAAAAATTAGATCAAAGTTCCTTGTTACAACCTTTTGAGGTGTTTCTTAGCCAAAAAACCGTCAAATTTAACATTTAAAGCTATTCTGACAGTGTTTGTTGCGTTTTCCTTTCATAAACACACCTCCAACGCCAACGGGATCACTGATTTTTGCACTTGTGTTGGTCGTTCCCAGCCCAAATGTTTGATGCCCTGAATCACAATGAAATCTTAAAGTTTTGTTGAAATCTACCTTCAACAACAATTCGTCAAGCTCGAATTCCTCAAAGGAAGCCTTTTCATCGGAATCCACCTCAACGCGTTCGACCAGCGGTGCACTCGTGCTTCCCAGAGTTCTTTTTCGTTTCCTAAACGGAAAACTTATTACCCTAGCAAGAGTTTTTGTTGCATTTGTTTAAAATACTGGTCTTGGGAACGGAAATTGACGATTTATGCGCTTAACAGCTTCATTCTCGTGCTTTAAGAACATTAAACTCATGAGTTAGCTAACTAACAAGCGATTCAAGCTTTTCTTAAAATACCGTTGCAAGAACAATGCTCTTTAGATAAAAATGGCTATCAGAACTAACAATTTCAGGCAAAATTTTGAAACAAATGCCTCAAGCCTTAAAGATTGGCGCTCTGTAGCAAAAATTGATAACAGTTATCCTCAACAACTACAGTACTGGACAATGAAATATGATATTTGAAAAAACGATCGCCACTTTCGCGCGTCTGTAACTCCCTTGTCTTTGAGTTTAAACCATTAGTGTTATACATTTTCTGAAAGCTTTTTTCAAGGGCTACACAATGGTAATATTAATATTTAGCAATATCGTATTTTTTTGAGGCATTTCAGCGCGCGCGAAAGTGATGATCGTTTTTCAAATATGATATTTCATTGTCCAGTACTGTACTTATGTCAGTGATAAACCCCAAAACACTCCCTCACTTTGCTTTCTTCGAGTCGGATTTGACTGTCACTGGTGGTTTCTGCTCTTCTTTTGCCTCGAGCATTATCTCTTCATCATTCTTTTTCGTTTTCTTCCTCTTTTGACGATCTTGTTTCAACGACATCACTAAAAAATATAAAATTATCAAGGGTTTAGTGAAAAATGCAAAGTTTAAAGGAGAAAAGGAGAAAAAGAAGGGGAGTGGGACAAATGCGACCTTTTTTTGCGCACCTTTTGGGCGCGCACCCGGGCACCCGGACCTTTTTTCCACTAGCCTTAACTAGTGGCCCATTAGCGCACCTTTTTTCGCGTTTTAAAAAAGCTCTAAAAGCTAATCTTAAGCAATTTCTATTCCAAAAGTTGTTTTTCTAGGTAATTTGAGGGCGTAGAATCGAAATTTTGACATATCAGAGCGTGTGGAACCAATTTGAAATACAAAACGGCTAGGTCAAATTACAGAAAATTGTTGATTTTTCTCTTTGTATAACTCCGTCCGTCCGCTTCCACAAGCTCTGATATGCCAAAATTTCGATTCTACGCCCTAAAATTACCTAGAAAAGCAACTTTTGGAATAGAAATTGGTTAATATTAGCTTTTAGAGCTTTTTTAAAATGCGAAAAAAGGCGTGCTAATGGGTAAGGTGCGGAAAAAAAGGTGCGCTAATGGGCTACGTGCGGAAAAAAAGGTGCGCAAATGTCCGGGTGCGCAAAAAAAAGGTCGCATTTGTCCCACTCCCAAAGAAACAGACAAAGCAAAGAAATTGAAAGCTCTATATATAGGATATTTTTGTCGAGTAAAGATATTTCGCTAATGGACTAAATATTTCTAAAACTTAAAGGATATTATTTAAGGTAAGATATTCATTTCAAGGAAAATTCTTCAGTTCAGGGAATTGCTTTTACGCGACAAAATCTAAAAGCAGAGCGGGTTACGGTCACTTGAGCACATTTTAGCGGATTGATTGATTGATTGAGAAATGTATTTAAAGCGCTTTGCTTAGCTTAGCCAGTTAGGACGGCTTCTTGCACTTGAGCTTTTCTTTTGCGTTGACTTGTTTGTTATTACCTCAATTGTTGTTATTTCTGCAAGTTTGAAGCCGTTAAGCTGTTTTTAGAGCCGTTTTCCCCAAGTCTTTAGCATAAGAACAGTCTGGGATAGGATTCACGAAAGAACTTTCACCCTAAACACACTAAAAGCTACTCTAAACACTAAAAAGTACCTAGAAATCCTTTAGTCAAGGGTTATTTAGCTTAAAAGTGACGCGCTTTTACTCATTTCTTTCTTCTTTTTGAGTAATTCTTGAGGAAAAGAGAGAAAGAGTGAACAAAATCCGATGGAGAATGGGAAATTAGACGGCCCCGGGGGTCCCAGGGTCCTCTTTACCTCTTTCCAAGCAATTCCCCTTCACATTCTAATTCTCCGCACAAAAATGGGCAACAAAGTCACGTATTGTACGACGAATTCACAGGTTCCTTGTAGATTTTTAGCTTTTGTTTTTGTTTTTTTTTTTGTAGCTTTAAGTGAAATTGGTCGAATATTGTTTAAAATTGTTTAAAATTGTTTCAAATCGTTTCAAATCGTTTAAAATTGTTACAAATTATGATAATCCAGCTCTAATAGACCCTGTTTTATCTAAAGTTAGCTGAATAAAGTTGAAAGTCATTGAAAAACTGGCAAACTTAGCGTTTTATGTTTAGCGAATATCTTATGCGTTAACTGCTTTTTATGTCGTTTTTCTTTTGTTTAATGCTATCAATTGTTAAATTTTCTTGTTTTAGGATGTACAATCGATAGACGAGCCTCCAGAGAAATCGACGATGCTCAACGTGCCCTCAACGTCCAACGGATTGACAGCGGTTTGTTTTTCTTCTGAGCTTTTAACGGTCAGAAACTGCTGCCTTTCTCTAAACTAGAGGCAAATTTGTGCCTGTTATTTTCTTTTTTGTGTAAATTGCTCAACCTCAACCGTGAGGCTCAATTTATGACCGTGAGGCGGAGGCTAAATTTTAGATTTAGCCTCAACCGTGAGGTCAAATGGCTTAAAAATAAATGCAAACAGCTTTCGAAACGCAAATTAGACGTCATTAATCCTACTTAATAGCAGGTTTAAAGTAATGCAGTTAAATTTTTAAATTTTGGTTTGATTTTGGGGCTTTCTTGTCAATATTCGAATGAATGTCAATATTCGAATGCCAATATTCGAATGAATATTGACCGATATTGCCGAAAATAATGAAAATAACGAAAATATTCTAAAGAATTTTTCTCCCAAAAGTTCATTGTTTGATTAAAGTTCAAATTGAGCAACTATGTCGTTAAAAATTTGTTGTTAATGTATTTTTTTTGTTTCAGAAGCCAGCGATCGGCCGCTCCGAATATGGTCGAGTCAAAGTAGCCCTGCCAAGAGGAAAGGTGAGCATTTTTGTTTGTTGTCAAGAAAAACGGTGGTCTTACCAATTGACGATGATCCGATCTTACCTGTAAAAGAATTAAAGGAAGTAAAATGCTATAAAGAAAACAAGGAACAAGGAAACGATACTTCTAAACAAGGAAAATATGCAAATTTTGGCATCTTTGCTTTTTTTGGCATTCAAAAGATGAAAACAGCTATAATTTTCGAGATCACTAGTTGCTGCTTAAATTTTGAGCGAATTTATGCCTATTTTAATCATTTGTTTTCTTACAGGGGCTTATGGATTGGGTGCTGTTGACAAAGGACAAAATGTTGGCGAGAAAACAAATGAAATGGGTGGATCACGAGGAATTATCAAAACACAATACGCAAGACGATTGCTGGATTCATATTTTTGGACAGGTTGCTTGAAGGAAATAGAATAACTAATTTGAGAGGCTTTAAAAGCTTCTAGATGTTTTATACGTTAAAATCTTTTAATTTCCAGGTCTACGATGTCACTTCGTATCTCGAATTTCATCCGGGTGGCATTCCTGAATTGATGCGAGCATCGGGACGAGATGGAACAGCGCTTTTCAATCAATATCATGCTTGGGTTAACTATGAGAACATGTTGAAGAGCTGTTTCGTCGGACATTTCAAAGGGGATTTAACGAAATGTGAGTGATTGCGGGAAATTTGATGCTAAACTGAAGCTTTGAAGCTAAATTTGATGCTACTCTAGTTTTTTAAAGTGTTAACTTGACTTAAACAAGGAAAATTTTAATGCAAAACGTTTGGTATTTAGTTTAGGCTTAAGTATAAAACTATTCCATGTCTATGACTAATAGTTTTACACAGTTTAAATGGATTTAATGTTTTATCGGTTTAGAGCAAACCAGTTAAAACATTATGCAATTTATAGCTTCAGCATTTTTCAGTTCATTAAGTTTGGGGTGCGACCCGCTTTAACCTTATCAACGAGGATGATTCTGCTTAAGAATGGTCGAATAGCACAAAAGGTTAAAAGGGTTTCCCCCAAAAGCGCTTACAACGTAACAAGAACACGTAGTATCCAACAATAGATTAATACTCTTAAGAAGAGTACAGATCGGATTGATACTACGTCGATGGTGACACAAATGTTAGTAAAACCAGTCTCTCTACAATGTTAAACCAGCCATCTAAAAAGGATTTAAAACCTGAAGGGTAGCATAAAGTAAAGTGAATTTATAACGTTACTGTTTATTAGTACAGAACCGAAATGCAACAATACCCATTACAAAAACAGCATGCGCATCAAAAAGAAATAACAAAGTCCCCCGAGAAAGAAGGCAAAAAAAACCCGCAGACCAAAAAAAAATAATTTCGGGAAGGGAGAAAAAGAAGGAAAATGCGACGAGAATAATTGCAAAATAGGAACGCAAATAGGAAGGAAACGGAGGCGACCATTAAATCTCATTTTTAGTGAAACCATGCGATCCACCGACTACTTTCAACAATGATGCAACAAAAAACGGCGATGAAACGATACGGGGAAACACTATGTAAGTAATGTTTACAATAATTAACAGCAATTCGACTTTGTAGAAGCTGTAAAAATGATGAAATTTGTTCACTTTAGGGTTCTGACGATGTTCGATCGACTCATCATCGCGAATCCGGAATGGAAAGGTGAAAATTATCGAGTAGAATCTAACCAAAAACATTCTGAAAATGAAATATTGAGTAAAACGAATCGGTTTTGAAGAGGTTAAAAGGGTTTTATTGCTAGGAAAGTGGAATTTTTAAAAAAGTTTAGCTTTCAGATATCTCAACCGATTGTTTGGTTGTGTCGAGGACGAAAAATTCGCTTCGTTTACTCATTAGACCCTATGGAAAAGAGACGATTCAAGCAGAATGGAGTACGTTTTTATAATTTCAATTTAAAGTACTGTTCTTTTTAGTTGGAGTGCCAAGGCCGATCGCTGAAGCCTCTTACAAGATTGAAATCTCCGGTGAACAGGTGTGTTTTGTGAACAAGTTAACATAAAAGATGTTTTTTCAGATAATCCTCGCCTTTGACATCTCGATCTCAATTAAAGTTCTCGAATCACCCGGATTGTATCGATTCGATCGGAAACCGAGTTCGTTTTTGAGGTTTATTACTAGAAATTTGTTTTATTTAGTGTTACGCTATCATAAGGCCACAATTTCATCAATTCGAGAGCTCAACCACGATATTTTGCTGATCAACGTGCAATTAGCTGACGGGATTTCGATGCCAATTCCAATTGGGCACCACAATTCGATTGGGATACGGAAAGGAGGTGCGTTTGGGATATAACATGGTTTGATTGTAGTCTGATTGTACTGCTGTTGAGCTCCTGGCTTAGGTACTGTTAATAAAGATAAAATAACTGAGTCTTAACATTCAAGAGTGTATAAAAGATTATAGGATTATAATAGCATCACTCGCAATGCCATACCAAGATAACAAATCTTACAATAACTCACCTTAATTTAAGACTGTTGTATTTTTCAGCAGCCACCCTCTACCGCGAGTACACGCCGACGTCGAGTGACGGAAAAACGCTACAGTTCATGATCAAAATCTATCAGGATGGCCTGTGCACTCCATCGATTCGCTTGTGGAAAGAGGGTGGGTTCTTTGAGTAAGAGAAGTAGCTCGAAGTGAGTACAATAAGGATCACTAAATGCTTAGCAAGCCTTGCACAAGCCAAGCAAGCAAGCAACTAGGCTAAAGAATTCACGTAGTTTTGATGAATTTAATGTAAAATTTAATGTTTCAGGCGATGAAATCTCGATCTCGGATCCGATCGGTGACTGGGATCTGAATGAATGGACAAAAGGAGATGAGTTAGTTGTGCTGGCTGCGGGAAGTGGATGGACGCCGATGATTGGAGTGATCGAGAAAGCACTTAAAGAGGATCAAATGAAAGGGTGAGGTTTGGATGAACTAACAAATGCAAATTTTATACAGAATAGGCAGTCTAATTGCTGGTATCACTCAAGATGAATAATCGGCTAACCGATGAGAGTAGATAAGTGCTAGACATGAGTACGGATCGATCCTCGGATACTGTTTCAATAGGACTTTTATTGATTCAATAAAGGTCCTATTGAATCGGATCGACTCTATTATGAGTCCGTTCGTACAGATTTTATATTTTAATTTTATAATATTAGATTTATTTCATGTCTCATTTCAGTATCTCGCTCTTCTACTTCAACAAGACCGAAGCGGATATTGTCGACGATTCGTGGATGCCTTTTCGATGGAATAATGACAGGATAAAGGTCAGAGCACGAAAAAAGGTTCAAGATGGGGTGAAAATGCTTTTGGATCCTGTAAAATTTTTGTTTTTTTGAGTTATCAGGATTTTAAAAACTTCTTTTAAACTCCCAGGAATGGTCTGTATCGTTTTTATCAAATGGGAGGGGCTCTAGAAGAGTGTTCGAATTTTTCCTGTGTTCTTGTCCCAAAATCATTTCCCAAAACCCAATGATCCTACGGGTGGGGCGGTAAAATTTTGGGGGAAACCGGTCGTTTTGTTTCGAACACTGCCAGGGATGTTCTAAAGCCAATTGAGACAATGACAACTTTCAGATTGATTTTCAACAATTTTTTGATTTGACTTTTCTGATCGATTCAGCCTACCAGGCTTGGCTTTAAAATTGCTATAGCCCTGATGGAAACATTCCTGGTTTTAAGGTAGCATTGGGTTTTAAGGATACAGCTTACCAACTAGCTGTAAGGTTAGGTAAAGCTTACCACCCTGGTTAAAGATGATAACTAAGTTATTTGGTTTACATCTCCTTTTATTCTTCTCTGTTTTTGCTTTGATTTTTCAGAATTAACGCGTTTAGGTGAATCACGTGTTGTCCCGACCCTCAGCCGAATGGAAGGGTTCAACGGGTAGAATTACGACCGAGCTGTTGGAGGTTCGTTTTTGAATAGTTGACTCATAGCTGTAAGAATTGTAAGACAATTTGTGTAATTTGAAACAAATTTTGGATTGAAATCCCGATTTCTCACGTGTCCAAGTATCATTATCACATTCCAGGAAGTATCTAAGTCTCGTCAATCGCAGAAAGTTCTCGTTTGCGGTCCGGATGGTTTCATTCAAACGGCTACAGAGTAGGTTTTTTTTAGATAAACTAAGAAGATTCTATGAGCACTGCAGATTTCTAGATGGGAACAAGATAAATAGCAAGAATGCCATTTTAAACAACATTTTTTTTCAGAATTCTCATGGATCTCGACTATACCGTCAAACAAGTGCACATATTTCAAGGATAGACAAAAGATTTGGATTATTTTCGATTTCTTTTTGATATTTCCCCTGGTGAACCCTGTGATTTTTTAGGTTTTCCGTCAATAAAAATGAGAAAAAATGAGAACTTTTGACTTGTACTGATTTTTGATCATTTCTCCTTTTTGGACGTGACTTGAACTAGGGAAAATTTCTGTAAACAACTACAGAAATTCAAGAATTGACTATCATTGACTTCTTTGGTGTCTAGCTTGAGTGAAATAGTGATTAGAGGAGATTAATCGAAACCGAAATGGTCAAGCTGATAGGAGAAGAAAAGATTGCGCCTTTTTACAGTGGTCTGAAGCCATAAACAACTAGAATTTTGTTGATTTGATCAATTTGGAAAGCACGTTTACTGTTGGTGTGATGGAAAAACGATGGAAAAAGAAAATGACTTTTCACCCATTTCCTACAAAATAATTGAAAATTCAAAATTTACACTTTTACCGTTGGCTTTATAAATTTACTTTAGAAACTTTAGAAAACAGGAATCATTTATAGTTCCGATTTAGTTCCTTTATAGTTCCTTTAAAGTCTCTTTATGGTTCCTTTATAGTTCCTTTATAGTTCCTATTTAGTTCCTTTAAAGTTCCATTACGACTTTAACGGTACGGTTCCAATACGGTTCTTTTTTGGTTCTAATACGGTTCTAATACGGTTCCAATACGGTTCCTTTTACGCTTCCAATCCGGTTCCAATCCGGTTCCAATACGGTTCAAATACGGTTCCAATACGGTTCCAATACGGTTCAAATACGGTTCAAATACGGTTTCAATACGGTTCCTTTTACGCTTCCAATCCGGTTCCAATACGGTTCAAATACGGTTCCAATACGGTTTCAATACGGTTCCTTTTACGCTTCCAATCCGGTTCCAATACGGTTTCAATACGGTTCCAATACGGTTCCTATTTTGATCTAATACGGTTAGTTTATAGTTCCTTTGATAGTGCCTTTATGGTTCCTTTAAAGTTCCATTATAGTTCCAATAGTTCCTTTAAAGTTCCATTATAGTTCATATTTAGTTCCTTTATAGTTCCTATTTAGTTCCTTTATAATTCCTTTATAGTTCCTATTTGGTTCCTTTAAAGTTCCATTCTTTTCCCGAGTGTAAGCTTTGGCCAATGCACGATAACTGCATTCCAATTAACGCACAAAAGCAAGGAAACACATTTCCAAAGATCACTTTTCACTCAAAAACATCAAGATAGAGCTAAAGGGTTGTTTTGGAGATCTCGTCATGTGCTTCTTCTTCTCGGCTTTTCTCCTGCTTTGCCTCGACCTTAAACTCTCTTTCTCTCTCTCTCTCTCTTTTCTAGTTGGCATATACACTCTGCGTGGCTGTCCCTTGTCGCTCTTGTCTGCGCACTTCTCGTCTCAAACCTCTTTTCACCCATTTCCCTGAAAGAAAAGTCTCTTTCACGGTCTCGATTTTTCATTTGCTTTCATTTGTGGTGTCCATCGTGAAGCAAAAAAACTTTGGAGGAAAGTTTTATTCGTTTTGGTTCCGCGTTTTGATGGTTTTCTTTCAGCAAATCAGCAAAAATCCTGCTTTTTTAGCTTTTCTAGCTCAAGAAAGCTAAAAAAATGATGCTTTTTCCTTTTCTATTCATAAAATGTTAGGGTTTTTGGCGAAGTTCGTTTCTCTTTTTGCTCTATAATGGGGTTTGATTTGATTTGATTAGGGATTTGATTAGGGTTTTGATTAGGGATTTATTAGGGATTTGATTAGGGATTTGATTATGGATTTGATTAGGGATTTGATTAGGGATTTGATTAGGGTTTTGATTAGGGATTTGATTAGGGATTTGATTAGGGTTTTGATTAGGGATTTATTAGGGATTTGATTAGAGATTTGATTAGGCATTTTATTAGGGATTTGATTAGAGATTTGATTAGAGATTTGATTAGGAATTTCAATAGGGATTTATTAGGGATTTCATTATGGATTTGATTAGGGATTTATTATGGATTTGATCATGGATTTGATTATGGATTTGATTATGGATTTGATTAGGGATTTGATTATGGATTTTATTAGGGATTTCAATAGGGATTTGATTAGGGATTTGATTAGAGTTTGATTAGGAATTTCAATAGGATTAGGATTTCATAGGTTTGATTAGGGATTTATTATGAATTTGATCAGGGATTTATTATGGATTTGATTATGGATTTGATTAGGGATTTGATTATGGATTTTATTAGGGATTTCAATAGGGATTTGATTAGGGATTTGATTAGAGATTTGATTAGGAATTTCAATAGGGATTTATTAGGGATTTCATTATGGATTTGATTAGGGATTTGATTAGGGATTTATTAGGGATTTCAATCCGTAATCAATTCAATCAAATCCTTTATGCCATTCAGCAATTCGGGTCAATTCCATCGAATAACTTCAAGGCAATCAAGACGATTTGAATAGTTGATTTCAGTCAAATTTTGAATTCAACCGATTTCTCACTGCTGTCGGCTCAAATTTAACGATTTGATTTCTTTTAAAATAGTCGTTAAAGGCTCGTTAAAGGCGATGATTCGGAAAAATGTCAAAAAAATTGCGATCAAATCGCCTTTCTCCTCACGACACGCTCGATTTACGCTAGATAACCTTGCAATTTTTGGATTTTTTTGGTTTTTTTTTGGTTTTTGGCTTTTTTTCAACCTCCTATCTGTTTCTACGACCTCCCGTCCCTATTACCTCCCGTCCCTACGACCTCCCGTCGACTTTGGCTTCCTTTTTCAGTTTTCTATTAACCGTTTTGAAAGATTTTTGATAAATATCAGCGATCTGGATATCAGAAGAGCTTTGAGGAGAATCATGGCTTTAAGAAAGATCAAAGAGAGTCGCCGCTGATTCAGCGTCGACTTTGACGCAAAAAAGTTGCGATAAAATTGATTTTGAAAAGATTCACTGATGCTAGGCTTCGAATTGGAAAGCAGAATAGAGATTTCTGACTCGTGGCTAAGTTTTGGGCATTTTAATTTTCTTCCATTAATTTTCTTGCATTGAACGCATATTTGAAAGTAAAAGTTTTGAATTTTCGTTTTTAAAAATTTCTTTGTGCTTTTTTGAAGTCTTTTTTGAATATTTCTTTGTGTCGCATTCTTTTAAATACAATAAAATGATGTTTTTTAGATAAAAGGAGACCGTTGACGCCTTTTACTACACGATGTCGATCCCGTGTCCCCCACCACCCGACGAGCTCGGCGATCCTGGCACATTCAAAGGGAAAAAGGTTATTTATTGTTTAAATTGGATATCACAGTAGAGAGTGAAGCAAAGAAATGGACTTGAGAGTTGTAAAAGTCAAAATTCAAATTTGAATCAATCGATCAACTTTTTTTTTTCAGTTTTTTTCGAACTCTTAGATTCCAGAGTTTACATGACTTCCAGGATCACCGAAAAATGATTTTCTTTTTTTCAGATCGTTATCGGCGTTTGCGCAATGCAGCGCAAAGCGACGAGCAAACCGATGCGTGCGATTATGGCGAAAATTGTCGAGTACTACAAAGTAAGTGCTAAAGAGGCGTCAGTTTTGCGACTGCAGACGACTAAAGAGGCGTCTGCAACTCATCGTAAGTTTAGTTAAAGTTTTCTAGTGTTTCTAGAGTTTTTTTTGCCGAGTTTGACCTATTTTCTTTATTTCTAAGCTTTCTCTAGTATCTAGCGATCGATTTTTAAATCTCCTGGATTAGACAACAGCTAATAAAATCTAATTTTCAGGACTGGCTAGAGTATTTCGTTTTTCCTGAAGATGTCATCAACAACGAGCCCGTCGAGCGATGGCCTTTATGCGATTGTTTAATCTCATTTCATTCAACAGGTTCTTTGGCTATTTTTGTTAAATCCTGGATCTCACAAAGCCTATTCGAATCAGATTCACGGCTAGTTACAGTTCAAATCGTTTCAAATCGTTTCTCGTTATCAACATCGTTATCAACATCCTTTTCAGAATTCCCTCTTCACAAGGCGATCGAGTACAAAAAGTTGCGGCGGCCCTATGTGATAAACGACTTGCAGCGACAGTATGACTTGGTAGGGGAGAAGTTTTGAATTTCTTTTCAACAAAAAACCTTTCAGCTGGATAGGAGGAAAGTTTTTGCCACATTAGCTCATCACAAGATCGAACATCCGAGACATGGCGCTGTGATTCGAGAGAAAAACAAGGATGGAGTTAGTGAACGTGAGTTATTTTACAATAACGGGGTACTAGAGAAACTAGAGAATATTAAGGATACCCAGGAGTACTGATTGGTACTGACTTCCAGGGTACTAGGGCATTATCTTGCTTAGGCTCAGGCTTAGACTAGGTTTAGGTTTAGGCTCAGGATTAGGCTTAGGCTTAGGCTTAGGATTAGGCTCAGGCTCAGGTTCAGGCTTAGGTTTAGGCTCAGGCTCAGGTTCAAGCTCAGGATCAAGCTCAGGCTTAGGCTCAGGCTTAGGCTCTGGCTCTTTAGCGTACTACTACAACTACTGGGCAGAAGTACTAGAGCGTGCCAAGGGTATCCAAGTATTAGGGATAATTAAGTTGCCATTAGCCTCTGAATGAACTAAGGGTTTACTTTGCTGTTACGTGACTTCCTACTACAACTACAAGTCCCATATCAAGAGTAATTGAACCAAGTTGGTACTGACTCTAGCTACTTTCGTACTGACTCTCAGGGGAAGGCTTTACTTGAATGAGTTCATCTAGCCCAAAGTGCTGGGTACTAAAAAGGGCAGAGTTTAAACGTAACACCAACTACAAAATGATAGAATGATTCAGTTGTGACCGAGAATGTGCTCGTCGAACACGCAGATCACATCGAAGTGAATGGGATGGTTTTCAATAAACCTTTTGTCGAGAAGCCACTTTCCGCCGAGGATCACAATGTTTACATCTATTATCCAAGCTCAGTCGGTAGTGGGAGTCAACGTTTATTCCGAAAGGTTCGTTTTTTCGGTGAATTTGCTTGCGTTGAGTGTTTTCTTGAGTTTGCTACTAGAAGACATGGATATTGACGATCCCATTCACTTCGATGTTAAGTTAAGTGGGTTACGTTCAGTGAACAGTTTTGGGAAAAGGATCGTAACCCTAATAACGGTTTCTAATAACCCTAATAACGAAAAGGTGCTCTTTGGGAAGAGTTCCGTAACCCAAGAGTTTACTAGAGTAATCCCTGCAATACAATATCGTAATCCCTGCTTTCTTGATTGCTGAAGTCTTGTAGTATCATAGACTACCGTAGCATTTCATTTATCATTGTCAATGATAAATGAAGTGCTACTGAATATCATTGTCAAATCATTGTGGTTGCTTCTGGCGTTGTTTTTGTGGATAGGAAAGGTGTGGCTTCAGCATGTTACTTCAACAATATAGCAAAATAGCTATATTGCTTCTTTTTAAATGGAAATCTACGTCATTCCTTCACTCCTTCACTTCTGACTCTCTCTCTCTTCCTATCTCTCTTCCTATCTCTCTTCCTCTCTCTCCTCCCTCTCTCCCTTCCTCTCTCTCTCTCTTCCTCTCTCTCTTCCTCTCTCTTTCATCGTCTTCTCTTCAAGCTCATTGCTTTCATTTTCGTCAATTTTCAGGGTAGACACCCGGGTCAAGGCGGCAGCTTTAAAATCGAACCGGGGCTCTTTCGCAACGTGAGCATATTAAGATTGACAGAATTTACGCACATTTTTCTTCGGCAACTTATGTTCGATTCACCCTCGCTTGCTTTTTTTGGATGTCAGTCGGGGTGTACAAGTGGAAATTTTCCCCAAAAAATCACCGCTTTTGACGGCCAGTGCCCCCGGTACTGTACAGAGGGCTGCTCTTGTCCTTTGCACAGCTACAATCTCTAAACTTGTACATCTTTACTGTCAAATGGGGTGCTTTTCTTTACGTGGCTTTCCCTTGCTCATTTTGATAGTAAAAATCGAGAAAATAATGCTAGACCTTTTGTGGCTAACGGCAAAAATAGAGTAGATCGCAAAATTTGCTGAATAAAATGAAATTCTAGAATAATTTCTGAAATTTTCGCCAATCCTGGAGCGCATTGTGTTCAATTTCAGCAAAAATTTGTTAGCTAAAAGGCTAAAAGAATTTTTTTTTTTTGGGTTTGCGGTGTGTGTGTGTGTGTTGTGAAGAAAAACTCTAAAAATTCATGAAAACTAAAATTTTCTGTTCTCTAACGATTTTCCAGCTAAACACCCAAGCTTGGGGGGTAAAAAGAAAAGGAGAATTTGGAAAAGTTTTGATCAATTTAGATCAACAATCGATCCAGCTGGTATTCGCCGATTTCCGAGGTGCGAAAAGATGGCAGTTACATTTATGAGGATTTCCTGCCGGCTGATGGGATCGATGTCAAGGTTTGCTTTGGTATAATGTTGATCGTTGATCGCTAGAGCATTGATCGTTAGAGCATTGATCGTTAGAACATTGATCGTTAGAACATTAGCATCAAAATATTCGATCAGTGCTAAATTGATCAGAGTCAGAGCCAGATTTTGGCTCTGCCTTGCTGCTCTCTGCCTTGCTGCTCTCTGCCTTACTGCTCTCTGCCTTGCTGCTCTCTGGCTCACTGCTCTCTGGCTCACTGTAGCCAGCTTGGATCACTGTTTAAGTCTAGAGATCATATTTTGTGCGCGTTTGTCTTCTCTACGATTTCAAGATGGGCAAAAACGCTGCTAAATCACGTGATCTCTGTTTCGCTTTTGGAGAACAAGTTTTGACCGAAAGATAGCACAGTTTTGACCTGCCAACTATAGTTTGTTGGATTCCGAGAAGGTATTGAATCTCTGGAGGACTCTTAAGGCCTCTTAAGGCCCCTTGAGGCCTCTTGAGGACCACATGGACATCACTCGGCAGCGATCGATAATAATGAATTGGACGAAAGGGTTTAAATCTCTTGACTCTCAAATTTCTCCGTGACAAGGCGCTAGTTCACACAGCTTGTATGAAGTTAGAGGAATTAGGATGAAAGGTTTTACTGCATGGCTTTACTGTGCCATATAGTCTAGACTTATAACCATCAGCTTTTCACCTCTTCAGCTCGATGTAACATTTCCTTGGTAGTTTAAGAATGCGCAAGAGGTTGAGATTTGGGTGATCGACTACTTTTAATCACAGAAACAAGAGTTCTTTGATAAGAGGATCGGCAATCTGAAGCAACGTTGAAGGAATTTTATAGACAGCGATGGTGCTGTGCGATTGTTTCGAATAAATTGTTATCTAAAGGAATTTTTGATTTAGTTTAATGTTTGTAGAAAAAAGAATTTCTGCATAGTAGAAAAGAGATCAGTATTTATCCAATAGAAAGCTAGAGATTGGCATTAGAAGCAGGCATTGGAAGCAGGTATTAGAAGCAGCCATTAGAAGCAGTCAGGTCAAGCTCCAGTTTAGATCATAAATTACTGCCTGACTCTTAACTCTTTCAGTCACTTTTGACTTTCAGGTCTACGCCGTTGGTCCCTATTATGCTCACGCGGAGGCACGGAAAGCACCGGGATTAGATGGAAAGGTGAGGAGAGCACAATGAAGAGTAGAGAGCACAATGGAGTGAATGAAATCTTCGAATTATTTAGGTTGAACGAGACGCTGATGGAAAAGAGGTTCGCTATCCAGTCATTCTCAGTCACAAAGAGAAGATGATCGCTCGGAAAATCGTTCTAGCTTTTGGGGTGAGTTTTTTGTGGTCTACGATTGACAATTCAATTCTAGAGTTAGATAAAGATCGATTAGCGAATGATTTCTTTTAGCAAACCGTTTGTGGCTTCGATTTACTTCGAGCAAATGGGAAATCGTTTGTCTGTGATGTGAATGGATTCAGCTTTGTGAAGACGAGCACGAAATATTATGAGGTTGGCTTTTTCTTGGCTTTTTTTCAATAATTGACCAAAAAGCTCTTGTTTAGGACACAGCGAAAATTCTTGGGAACACGATTTTACGCAGACTTGCACACACACTATCGATTCCGGTCTCATTGTCGAAGTTGAACGACGAATTGCCGCCAGTGCTCGATCTTGGATTAGGAGGTTGGGTAAATGAAAATGAATGAATTAGAAAGGTTTCTGGCATTCTGGCTTTCTGGCTTTCTGGCAAGGTCGTCTATTCTGCTCGTTCATTCTGCTTGTTCATTCTGGTCGTTCATTCTGGATGCCACAAAGAATAGAAAACTAGAATAGAAAGCTTAAAGCTAAAGCAATAAAGCTTTCATTCCTTTTAAGTAAACTTTGTTCTTTAGATGATCCACCACTCGTCTCAACACCATCCGGGAAATTGATGGAATTGCGATGTGTGTTGGCAGTGATTCGACATGGTGATCGAACACCGAAGCAGAAAATGAAGGTAAGGCTTTATAAATCTCTAGATCTCATCTGTGATATCCAGGAGAGCTAAAAACATTAGAAATTTAGAAACATTAGAAAGAAAAATTTTTTTTTTTTAGGTGATTGTGGACGATCAACGCTTTTTTACGCTCTTCGAGAAATATGATGGATATAAAAAGAATGAAATCAAGATGAAACGTCCGAATCAGTTGATTGAGGTTTTGGAGTTGGTCAGAGAGATTCTACATGAGCAACAGGTAAGGAAAATGCTCTTTAAACACTTTAATAGAAGCTATAGAAGCTATAGAAGCCCCTATAGAAGCGTCGCGTAGTCTAAATTTGCCTACAAAGAATCGCTCAGATCTCGACACCAGTACGTTTCTTTCTGCATGTTTAGATAACAAATTAAAGTAGAGAAAATGAGTGTTATTTTGAGATATAACACATATTTTTAGCATTAACCAGTGTTTAGAAAAAAGCTATTGAAAAATGATGAAAACTCGTTTTTTTTCAATCATTTGCCACTTTGCCACTTTTCAATCATTTTTCTCTAAGCGCTGGTTAATGCTAAAAATCTGTGTTATATATCAAAATAACACTCATTTTCTCTACTTTAATTTGATATCTAAACATGCAGAAAGAAACGTACTGGTGTCGAGATTTGAGTGATTCTTTGGAAGCAAATTTAGACTACGCTCGTTAATCATAAATTTTCACGTTTTTAAATCTTTTCAGAGCTCAAGTGACATTCAAATAGTTTTATTAGGCTTACTAGGCTTATTAGGTTTATTAGGCTTATTAGGCTTATTAGGCTTATTAGGCTTATTAGGTTTATTAGGCTTACTAGGCTTATTAGGCTTATTAGGCTTATTAGGCTTATTAGGCTTATTAGGCTTACTAGGCGTATTAGGCTTTTAAGCTTTTATTAAGCTTTTATTAGCCTTTTATTAGCCTTATATTAGCCTTATCTTTCTTCTACAGTAGGCTAACAATAAAAGCTTTTGAGAACGAGTCGAAAAAATTTCGATTCCAGCCATTTTTTCGAAAGTTTTAAACTCGGAAATCCTGTTTTTCGTTTAAAATTTTTGATTTATGGCTGCTGTTTTTGAATTTTGAATAGCTTTTCTATGGTTTAAGTTCATTTTTAAATAGTTTTAGAATAATAGAATAATTTCAAACGCTTTAGGCTCAACGAAACGATCTATTGCATCAGTTGGAGGAGTGCGAGGAACGTGGCGAGTGCTCGATGGAGGTCTTGTAAAACTTTTGTCTTGTAAACTGTTACATTTAGATCAATTAGAGCTTGATTAGACTCAATTTAAGTCAATTAGACGTAAAGCTTCATCAAATTCATTTCAAAAAGTTTAGGTTGAGCAAAATTTGGAGCGCACAGAGGATGCTGTGAAGAAATGGGATCAAATGCGGACAGTTCTAGAAATGTATGCTCTTGACGATTTACGATTGGGGAAAGATTTCCGAAGGGTCTCGATGGACGGTGACATCCAGGAAATCGTTTCCAGTAGTGGTGGGGGTCAGATCGTGGATGATGGTGCGGGAAATGCGCCGTTTGATGAGGGCATTGTGATGGCCATTGATAGTTTGAGTTGGAAAGATCCGAATGTGTCCGGGATCGCGAATTTGTGTCCCAATTTGCCGGATATACTTTGCAGAAAACATTCTGGGATCCTTCTAAAGCCTTGTTGATATGGGGAAGGCTTACAGAGCACTTATACACAGTACTCTATTGTACACAGTACTCTATTGTACACAGTACTCTATTGTACACAGTACTCTATTGTACACAGTACTCTATTGTACACAGTACTTTATTGTACACAGTACTCTATTGTACACAGCACTCTATTGTACACAGTACTCTATTGTACACAGCACTCTATTGTACACAGTACTTTATTGTACACAGTACTCTATTGTACTCAACTAAACAAATTGCATGAAATAGCCTGATTTTATTTCGCTTAAAACTACTCACATTCAGCTTTTCAATTTTATTAACGGGTTTGCTGTGTTTTTGCTTGTTTTTTCCTTGTTTTTGCTTCTTTTTTGCTTCTTTTTCCTTCTTTTTCCTTGTTTTTACCTTTTTTTTCTTTGCATGTGAATAAAATTTGATTTTTCTTTGTGTCGTTTGGTTTATTTACCAATAACTACCGTATTTCTTCGAATAGAAGACCGCGTAAAGAGTATGATCGCGTACTCCTGCGTAGCAGCCGTTTGTTAAAATTTCTTTTCTGCATAAAAGCTTTCAATCAAGTGCTATAGAGCTGGAAAATGACTCAAAAATACCACATGAGCTAACAGATTTTTGAGCCATTTTTGAGCCATTTTCCAGCTCTATAGCACTCCATTGAAAGCTTTTATGCATAAAAGAAAGTTTAACAAAGAGCTGCCACGCAGGAGTACGCGATGATACCCTTTACGCTTACTCTTTACCCGGTCTTCTATTCGAAGAAATACGGTAACTTCTAAAAAAGGACTAATCTCAAATTGCACTAATTTGACTAATTTGCATGCCAATAAAAGAGATTTCATTGTTTAAGACGTAAAGATTACTGTAGTTTAAGCGGAACGTAAAGATTACTGTAGTTTTCCTAATGACGGCCTCGATCAACCTCGAACAAAAAAAATTTGCATGTTTCAATTTTCACTTTTTAAAAGCTCTTCCCAGCTCTAGTGACATCCAGATAGCTCAGAAATAATGTTTTCAACAAAATTTGATACCATTCTGCGATTGTTTTCGAGTGCAACTGATCGCGTTATCATTCCTAGACTGGTCATTGATCTGTGACTCTGTCTGTTGAGTCTATAAAACAGTCCACTGTGTTCCAGCATCGAGAAAAATTTGGGGAAAATGAAAAACAGATGAAAGAAAACCCTGAAAAATGAATTGTTCAGGTTTTGACGAACAAAGAATCACTGTTAAAGATTAAATAAACTTCGGATTTTCAAATTCCTATAAAATGCATAGTTTTCAGGTACGGTCACTTCTCGGGGATCAATCGAAAAGTGCAGTTGAAATACTTGAAAGCGAGAGATGTGAAGAGTGGGGAAAGTGGCGAGGAGACGACGAAACACCAGAACCCGGCACTCTTGCTTATTCTGAAATGGGGCGGAGAGTTGACGACAGCAGGTCGGTTTTCTAAGTTGACAGCCAGCTAAGAGATTCCGACATTTAAAAACATAGCCAGCACTTTGTTAAATGGAAATTTTTGCCCAATCTTTTTTTCTGAAGCTGGAATTCAGGGAAAGTTGCTATAATTACCGTGATCTTCCCTTAAATCCTAGTTATCTAAGTTGACAGCCAGCTAAGAGATTCCGACATTTAAAAACATAGCTAGCACTTTGTTAAATGGAAATTTTCACCCAATCTTTTTTTCTGGAGCTGGAAAGTTCACGGAAAGTTGCTATAATTACTGTGATTTTGCCTTAAAAACTAGCTTCTCACCTAAAAAACTTCTCACTACTAGCTCTATTTTAGGAAATCTTCAAGCTGAAGCACTTGGGAAATTATTTCGAACGCTTTACCCGGGAATTCGTCGTACTGATGGCAAGAGTAGTCCCGAGGATACGCAAGGTCTAGGCTTTTTACGACTTCATTCAACTTATCGGTAAGAAATTATTCAAATTCTTTCGAACTGGAGCGCACTACAATTGGTAAAGCAAAATTCTAGTCATGATCTGAAAATCTATGCGAGTGATGAGGGGAGAGTGCAAATGACAGCTGCGGCTTTTGCTAAGGTGAGCTTTTGCTTTTGCTTTTAAATCCTTCAGAAAAATGAAGCCTTTATCAATTCTGGAGTGCACAGCGTTGATTTCTTTGAAAAAATTTTGTGATTTAGGGCCTTTTGGCACTTGAGGGCGAGTTGACACCGATTTTGATGCAAATGGTGAAAAGCGCGAATACGGATGGGCTGTTGGATGATGATTGTCATGCAAGAGATGTGCAAAACGAGTTGAAACACTTTTTACATCAAGCACTACAGGTTTGTGGCTTTCAAAATGGGGATAGACCGTGGATAGACCGGTCAAAGCGAGTTGAAGTTAAGGTCTGAGTTGGTTAGGAATATAGTTTGATCAGATTAAATCCTAGACCCCTATTGTCATATGTCGTTTAGAGCTTTTCGTATGTGGGAAAGCCGAAAATCGATGTTTCAGACTCGGTTTCCATCAACATTTTCCATTTTCAGGTAGACGCCGATTGGACTCAAGAGGATGCGGAAGCATTGAATCCGAATGGACTCAAATCGATTCAGGTATCACCCCGTGCATGCCAGATCGATCAAAAATGCTTTCGAAAATTACAGCAAGCAATGGAAACGATCAAAAATCCGCGTCGAATGTGTCATGAGATTGCCGGCTATGTGCAACGCATGTGCGACATCATTCAATGGCATAAAACGAATAAACCACGTAATGTGCAAAAATCCAAGCTATTCAGGCAACTAGGCAGCTAGATAACGGAAAATTTGAGCTGGAAATTGAGCTCATTGCTTATTTAACGAGCTTTCAAGATCCTCGACAGTAGCCTGTGATCTTTCGTTCTAGCCTTAGTTTTTCTAATGTTTAAGCTGAGATCTGGATGTCACTTGAGCGTGCTAGATGATTTATTTGATAAATTCTACACTTTTAGACCGAACACTGTACTTGAACGAGTCGTGGGATCTGGCCGAACGTCGCTGGAAGAAAGAGCTCAGGTTTATCAATTTTCAGCAATCCTGGAAGTCAGCACAACCATTGATAAACGAATTTTAGAGAATTTCAACGAATGACCCGAGGCAAGGGTCGAGTCGATGACTACGAGTACGATATCAGCAAGATTCCCGACATTTACGATAATATCAAGGTTTGTTTAGGGTAGATCTGGAAGTCACACTATTTGATTACGGTAAAACAATTGCAATTCAGGATAGAAAATAGTAAGATTCTATTTGACACTAGAGCTACCGTAACCCGAACATTAGATCTAAGGCTAGAGCTGAATTTTAGCTTCAAATCTCGATAGTGTGCCTTCCAGATTGCGGTTTTCTTCAAAAAATATTTGACTTTAGTATGACATGGAGCACAATCCGGACCTTTGCGACAATATCGAGGGCGAGTTTGAGCGTTTCTATTTGTGTGTCAAAGCGATGGCTGATATTGTTGTACCACAAGTACTGTTTGAAAGGCAAATTACAATTTTTTTAGGATATTCAGTGACTATTCAAGCTGACTAAGACAAGCTAAGGCCTACTGTAGCCTGTAGAACTTTTCAACGTTTTCTAAAAATGGCGAATTTCTAGGAGTACGGTATCCGAATCGAGAACAAGATCCATGTGGCGCAACGCGTGTGCACACCGCTCGTGAAAAAGATTCGAAACGATTTGCACAGGTGAGTAAAAAGATAGAGGTCCTCGAAAAACGGCACGCGGACTCGAACCCGGGTCGTCGTTCGATTCGCTCGACTGATAGCCTAGAGTGCTAACCACTTGACTATGAGCTCATAAGCTTCAAATCAAAATCTAGAATTGCCAAAAGCTTTCGTGACATCCAGTTTGTCTGGAATCAATCGAAAATCTGAATTCAGATGCGTTGCAAATGCGAAAGCTTAGCCTAAATTGCTGAGCACTTGATCACGAGTGCATACATGAGTTTAAATCAAAATCTAGAATTGCCAAAAGCTTTCGTGACATCCAGCTTGTCTAAAATCAATCGAAAATCTCAATTCAGATGCATTGCAAATGAGGAAGAGGACGAAAGTCAAACGCGGCTCGATCCAAGGTTTCTTTTTGAGTAAACGGCATTTTTTTGTTACTGATTCACTATAATGTGTTCCAGCTTAGAGATTGAAATCGAAATTTTGCAATTTCTGAAATTTCAGGGCCTCCCAAGGGATCGCGACTCCGTTGCGCCATGTACGCACTCGATTGTACTTCACGAGTGAATCGCATATTCACACGTTGATGAATCTGATTCGATACGGTGGACTGTGCACGGTAGAAGAGAAAAGAAATCAAATTGCTTAACTCCAATCAGATTGATGACAAAAAGTGGCAACGAGCGATGAATTTCCTCTCGACAGTCACCGAGTTCAACTACATGACACAAGTGAGGTTTTTTCGAATTTCTTTTCGTGATTTGTCCATTCTGGAACGCACACTAGTTAATAGAATTGAGAGAATTAGGAAATAATGATTTTTTCGATTTTCCAAAAAATTGCGTAATTGATCCGAGTACCAAAATGCTGTATCTGTCAAAAATCAGTCCAAATTCATTCTCATCATCAAGCGTGACATCCAGCTTGATGATTTTTCAATCAATCTTTCAGGTTGTTTTAATGGTTTACGAGGATAATTCAGCGTCAGGCATGGATCGCTTTCATATTGAATTACTCTTTTCACCGGGCTTGTATCCGTGTTTTTTAACTGAAAAGGAGCGAATCTACGAGACACGCTTCAAGTGAGTTCTAGCTTAAAAGAATCTATCATTTATTTAGCTCAAAAAGCAACGGGATGAAGAAAAGCGAGTCGAAAGACGAGTCGACATTGAATTTGGCGAGTTTAGGACGTCAAGATTCAAAGGTTTGTTGAAAATTGGCGGATCTGGAAGGCACAAGAGCGATTGGAAATAGTAATTTGTTAAAAATCGAAAGTTTTTGGTTATTGGAATGAAAATGGTGAAAATTTAGAGTGAGCGCTCTTCTCCCGTCGCTCAGCCAACTCCACTAAACGCTTTACAAGTACCAACAGCTTCTGAGGATACTGTATCTGTTTCTTCGACGAATGCCCCGACAGCTCAAGGTTAGCTAAAAGAAACTAGACTTACCGTATCCATTTTTTCATAGCCCACAGTTACTCATTAATTTTTAGGCCTTGTTGTTCAAGTTCTTGCTAAACCAGCTGATTCAGAAGATGATTTAAATGATGGAGAAGCGGTAAACCTTGTTGCTTTAGATGAAGTAAACAATAAACAATACGGTAGGTGAACAAACCTTTTTCTTGCACTTAAATGAGAATTTGACTTATTTGAATGCATTCATTCATCCATCTGGAAGTCACAACACTTGTTTTAGTGGTTGGTGAAAGTGAGAAAGCGGCGCAACGAAAGAGGAACTCAGCTGGAGCCGAGAAAGCCAGTGAGGATGGTGATGCGCCGAGGGATAAGGTAAATTTGAGGATCGCGTTGCTCAATCTGGAACGCACAACACATTTTCGAATTGTTAGAATGTGCTAAATTGACGATTCAGGAAGATTGGGACAAAGCGTGGCGCAGTCAACGCAGTGGAAGTCAATTGAGCATCGGCGAAGAAGCCACAACACCCATCAATCCTCCTGAGAGCCAGGTTGAACAAAAGTTTACGAAAAAATGAGAATTAGTTGGAGAAATTGTGCGAAAATCGCCCAGCTACCGTTTTAGCCACAGATATTCAACTTTTCTGCTGGACAATGACTGATGATTTAGTGCACAATTGGGCCCAGTCGGGGGAAATGGGCAAAAGAGCTGGTGGATGCGACGAAAAAAGCGATTCAAGCGTTGAAAGAGACAGAAAACGCGATAAAGGAGGAGGAAGAGCCGCCAAAACCAGGTTAAAGTTTGTAGAAAGAAAAAATGGACTCGATTTTCGGATTCCTGATGGTTGATAAGCTCTAAACGACATATGACATGAGGGGTGATTGGTGAAATCTCGATTCAAGGCATTTAGCTCTGCGTAATTGAACCACCGCTGGGGTTGGGCTGTCGACCGTTCCGAGATTTCTTTAAAAGTATAATTTGACATTCAGAGCGTTTGTACTGCCTTCCAGAATACCCGAAAATCTCTTCTGATTGTCGGGTTACTGTAATTTTGAGCAGATTTTAGCCCCAGCTACGGTTTTAACTATGGTAGTGCTTAAAATATCATCCTAGACCTCATTCGTAACCTCTAGCTAAAGTTTACCGGAGATCTGGATGTCACATAATCTTTTGAATTTAACAAAACGGCAATATCTGCTTTGTGAGTGGTGGTCCAGTGGGAGTGGGAGTGTGTTTGGCTCTCGCTCACACGACCCTGGTTCGAGTCCGCTCGGTGGCACTTTTGGAAATCTCGTAGACCCCTCGTGTCATATGTCGTTTAAAGGTTATCGACTATGGGGATGCCGAAAATCGATATGAAATAATTTGAAACCTGTCGAAAAACGTGAGAAAGCAACAATGGCTCCGAATTTCTTGCCACTTTTCAACTTTTTTTCTCTTTTTGCTTAACTCATTTCAAAAGAATCCGTGCGATCCAGGATCCCAGAAAAGCCAAAGTTGAAGGTAAATTTTCAGTGAAAAAGCGAGAGAGTACTAGCGAAGAGCGCAAAAACGGCGATCCAGGTATTAGAAAGGCTTCCTTCCATTTCATGTCGTTTTTCTATGAATTTATCTTTTCATTTTTGCGACTTACATACAGTTTTAGGGGTTTGGTTACGGTAGTTGTTGAGCTTCCAGAGATTTTGTTCTTTTTTTTTATGCCACAGCACCTAACCCTAAGCCACCGCACCCGAATTTCCCTCCTTCCCTAAAATGCCCCATTTTGATGCACAGCCTTTTTGCAGTGCCTTCCAGAATGCCCGAATATCTGATTAGTTTACCGGATTACTGTAGAAAAAGCGCTTTTTAGTCTCCAGCTATGATCCTTGGGGTACTGTAACTTTTTAGATTTAATATTAGCCGGTTTTTAACTATTAGTACTTCTATACTGATATCCAGAAAGATTAAAAAAGACTATAGTCTAGTGGGATACTGTAGCTTTAGCGTAAAAAGCTTTAGCGACAGCTCGCTGAGCTTTTCGTGAAATTTCTAGTAAATGCTATGATAAAATTTGATAGCTAAATATCTAAGTTGACATCCAGGATCACCGAAAAATTGCACAGCTGAAAATGGGCTCGTAACTGGAGCGCTAAAATAGGCGGCGGAAAATTCGTCATCTAAGTCGTGTTCTTTTTTTTGGGGAATTTTGCAATTTTCTTGTTTCCAATCTTCCCAATGACATCCAGCTTTGCCTACTAACATCTCGGAAAGATTTGAAATCCCTGAAAATCTCCTGAAAAACTCACGATCTCGTTTCCCAAGTTTTATTTTCGTTTCTCTGCACATGCTTCGAAGGAAAAGGGTTGCTAAATAGGAAAAATTGCTTGAATTTTGTAAATATTTGAAATGTGGTGATGGTGAGAATGTAGTAGTTGAAAAAGAAAAGTACTGTAGTCTTTTAAAATCAATTTTTTCCTAAATTAGATTTTTCTAAAATTTAAACTGAAAGATTACGGTACTGATATCCATAGTTTAGCTTTATGACGTTGATTTCTTCATTTACAGCTCGTAGAAGTCGTTTCCCGTATCGATTCAAGCATCACACCGTCAACTTGCTTTCAGGTTTGTTTTTTTCTTTTTTTCTTTTATTACTAGGCCTTTTTCCATTCTAAATATGAATTTAAACAGTTTTTTTGGAATATTTTCAGATGCAGCAGCGGTAGAGAATCGATTGGTCTCCACAAATGTCCTGATGGGAAGGCTCGATGATCGAGATAAGAAAAAACAATGTACGAGTGAGTGTTTGGAGAGTCCAAGACGATTACTCTCGTTTTTGGACGTCACATGACATTAGCTAGATCGATTTGCATTTGAATCTAACATTTAGAAAAAGCCACAAGTCGTAATGACGCCATTTTGACTTTTTGGCAGTAACTTCAAAGAGTGACTTCAAAAAAAGCTTCAAAGAGCCGAACCGGGTTAACAGGGCTTAACAGGGCTTAACAGGGCTTAACAGGGCTTAACAGGGCTTAACAGCAGCCTAACAACAGCTTAACAACAGCCTAACATCAGCTTAGCAACAGCCTAACAGCTCCCGGATGAGTATGACGGGGAAAAATGTGACCAGAAAGATGAAGAATTGCGGAAATTTGAAAGGAGATGAGATTTTGACTAAAGAACAACTTCCTGTGTGATCCTGTACTCAAAAATAACCCGAATATCTTAAAAACAACTGAAAGTCAAAAAAGTCGAGACCAACGACACTACGGGGGGCCGAACCCGACCCTTGCGGGTTGTAGACAGGGGCCCTCCCGACTGCGCCACAGCGACTATTGGAAAGCTCGAGGTTCGAGTCCAGTCAAGGTCTTGACTTTTGCTTTTTTAAAAAATGAAAGATTAGAGGGAAAACTAGATAGAATTTGAAGCCTAATGAAGGAAAAATGATGTAAATCGGTCCACGTGGAGCCGTAAAGGCGGACGGATGAAAACTGCTCTTTTATATATAGTAGATTAAAATCAAGCTTAAATGGATAATCTAAGCGAAATCTCAGGTTTCCAAGGGCCAGTCGTCCTGTCGACAGCTGTGATCGCTCGCTCGTCGAGTGCTCCCCGATTGCAGACGTATCGAGCAGAGGAAGAGATCCCAGTGGCTGGTAGGTCGATCAATTCTCCTTCTCTAAGAGAAATCGATCAATTTTCCGATCGATCAATTTTCCGATCGATCAATTTTCCTTCTCTTTGCAGAGATTAAACGCTTCTGGCCGCCGCTTCGATCGTTGGAGACTTTACACGATAATTTATCCTTTGTGCAATTCGATCAATTTTTGGTGAATCTCTTGTCGAAAACACCGCTCCCATCACCGCCGAAGACTCCTCTTCCATCAGAGAACTCGTCGGAATCAAGTCAAAGTTTGTTTTCAAAGTAGAATGGCTTAAGTTAATTGTTGAAGTTCATTTGCTGAAGTTCATTTGCTTAAGTGAATTTGTTTAGACGATCGTCCCTCATTCTCTTGTGATTTTCAACAGAATATGGAAAGATTGGAGATTGAAGAGATTGAAGAATCAGCTAAAGAATCGGCTAAAGAATCTGCTAAAGAATCGTCTAAATAGAGAAAGAAAATATAGGCATTTTTTTCAGCAACGGGTAATTCAATGATTGTGATTACTTTTTTTTGAGAAAATCTCTTTGAAAAAAGAATTTTTTTTAATATTAGGTTGATGCAAAAGTCTTTTTCATTTTTTTCGTACTTCCGTTAAAAAGTAACAAATGCACCAATTAAACAACGGTTTATTGCATTCGAAAGGTCAATTATTTTTCTGCAAAATGACATTAAAACGAGTTTAAAATGTCTTATGTCTAGATTTTTTTTGAGAGCCTGAAATCGGGTAGTCAAAAAAGGCGACGGCTCGATGATGCATTTTAGACGCTTTAGCTAAGGAAATCAATCTTGATGTTCATAAATAAAAGATAGAGCACAAAAAGTTCGATATTTTTTGCAGATTTTCAGAGAAATTGATTCAGCCAATTTCTTTCTTAGAGGTTTTTATAGTTTTTTTTGATGAAAAACCCGTTTTCACTCTCGAATTTGCTTCAAAGTGAACCCAAATTGACTTAAAAAGATGGGAAATTCAACAATACCTTTTCATTTAGAGTAAACCATAGGTTAATTGATGACTTTATTATTTTTCAAAAGAAGTACGAAAAAAATGAAAAAGACTTTTGCATCAACCTAATAGAATAAAGGCCAATAAAAGATTTACATTCGAAATTTAAATCATAGACAATCAAGTAGCTAAATAGCTAGATAGCTAGACAGCTAAACAGCTAAACAGCTAAACAGCTAAGCAGCTATGCAGCTAAATGTAAAACTGGTGTTCGTCGCTTGGAAACGTTTTGAATTGATCGATCAGTCCATGTGGCTGGCTTTGCGGTTGCCAGAAAGCAGAAGATCAAATTTGTGATGACGAGAATCGCCGCGTGGATCAGATACACGAGTCGCCACTCGGCTAACGAGCCGGTGTGCAGAAGGAAACCCACCTGGAAATGGGAAATGGAGAAAGGATTGGGTTTTGGAGAGTCGACTTGAGGTTTTTAAAGCTTTTCAAAGCTTTTCAAAGCCTTTCAAAGCCTTTTAAACCCTTTTGAAGCTTTTCAAAGCCTTTCAAAGCCTTTCGAAGCCTTTCGAAGCTTTTCAAAGCTTTTCAAAGCCTTTCAAAGCCTTTCGAAGCTTCAAAGCCTTCAAAGCCTTCGTTTCAAAGCCTCAAGCCTTCAAAGCCTTCGAAGCTTTCAAAGCCTTTCAAAGCCTTTCGAAGCTTTCAAAGCCTTTCAAAGCCTTTCGAAGCTTTTCAAAGCCTTTCAAAGCCTTTCGAAGCTTTTCAAAGCCTTTTAAACCCTTTTAAAGCTATTCAAAGCCTTTTAAAGTCTTTTAAAGTCTTTCAAAGCTTTTTAAACCCTTTTAAACCCTTTTAAACCCTTTCAAACTGAAGAAACACTTTAAAAACATTAATAATCATGTTTGCCTAAAGTTTTCCAAAAAAAGCGAAAAATTTGGCGTCTAGCGGAATTGAACCCGCGACCTTAGGTTTTAGAGACCAGCACACTATCCCCCAGACCACGGCTGCTGGTTTGCGAGCCTGGCACGATGCCCTCTTATACCCCTCTTTCCCATTTCGTCTTTCATTTTTCATGTTTTTCTTGAAGACTAGAGCCGAAAAAGGATGGATTCTATGTCTCTGTCTGACAACAAGGATGAATTCAATGCCTCTGTCTGACCTACCAGCACTGGACAAATCAACATCGCTAGGCACCATAAGAATTGAATGTTTGCAAGCACAAAATGGCTGTATTGACGAGAGACCAAAGCAGCGCACTGAAATTGGGAGTTAAGCGATTTTTGGTGACTTCTGGAAGGCACTAGAACGATTGAATTTACTTTGTTAAAGCCGCCGCCATTGAAACCGAACATCGCTGTGGTTAGGGTGAGGAGAGTGATCCCGAGCATTGAGTGGCCTAGAAAGCTTTTGATTGATAAACCTTTGGGTTGGTTGGTAAACCTTTGGGCAAGAATGCTAAAGCCGTCATGAAGACAGCGCTAACGCCGAGTGCCACCGAGTTGAACACTCGCAATTTCGTTGTTTCCGAGAAGCCATGAATGCGGTCAGAGCTGTGGCCGGCGATCACCTAGAATTGCCTGTAAGCATCGATTTCGATAGCTAGATATCTAAGTTGACATCCAGGATCACCAAAAAGTTGCACAGCTGAAAATGGGGTTGTAGCTGGAGCGCTATATAGCCAGCGGAAAATTCGCACCCGAATTTCCCGCCTTTCCCTAAAATCCCGATTTTGATGCACAGCCTTTTTGCAGTGCCTTCCAGAATGCCCGAATATCTGATTAGTTTGCCGGATTACTGTAGAAAAGGCGCTTTTTAGTCTCCAGCTATGATCCTTGGGGTACTGTAACTTGTTAGATTTAATATTAGCCGGTTTTTAACTATTAGTACTTCTATGCTGATATCCAGAAAGATTAAAAAAGACTATAGTCTAGTGGGATACTGTAGCTTTAGCGTAAAAAGCTTTAGCGACAGCTCGCTGAGCTTTTCGTGAAATTTCTAGTAAATGCTATGATAAAATTTGATAGCTAAATATCTAAGTTGACATCCAGGATCACCAAAAAGTTGCACAGCTTAAAATGGGCTTGTAGCTGAAGCGCTATATAGCCAGCGGAAAATTCGTAGTCTAAGCTTTGTTCATTTTTCTGGAAATTTGCCATTTTCTTGTTTACAATCTTCCCAATGACATCCAGCTTTGCCTACAAACATCTCAAAAATATTTAAAACCCCTAAAAATCCCCTGAAAAACCCACGATCTCGTTTTCCTTTTTTCTTTTCGTTTTTCTGCATCAAGTCGGATCCAGGATCAAACCAGATCAATGTATAAGTGCTTATCAAGCTTTCTATTACTCACTTTAACCAAAAATTGAAATAGAACCGGCAGAGCTGAGGTCCATCCAGTCTTCTCCATCGAGTACTCCAAAACCGTCTTGATATAGAATGGAGAAAATGTGTGAATGAGCTGAAAAAATCGATTCTTTACAGTAATCCAAAGCTGTTAGGGCTAAAAAGGGAATCTAAAACTGGATTATGAATATCACAAATCAAAATGAGCATGTCAATTTTGGAAAATTTGATTTTAGCCTTAAAGTAAGCAAAAAATTATGTAGCTGGATGAATTTGTCGGGTTTAAAAGGTTGCTGCCGAGTTGATTCGAATTTCAATGGCTAAGCTGGATATCAAAAAAGTGATTCCGATTGGTATTAATATGCAAATTTGGGAAAATTTGAATTTAACCAAAAATTACGTAGCTGGACGAATTTGTCGGGTTTAAAATGATTCTGCCGAGTTGATTTGACTTTCAATGGCTAAGCTGGATATCAAAAAAGTGATTCCAATTCATATTAATATGCAAATTTGGGGAAATTTGAATTTAACCGAAATTGAACCAAAAATTACGTAGCTGGACGAATTTGTCGGGTTAAAAATTACTTTTCTCGAGCTGATTCGACTTTCAATGACTAATCTGGACATCAAAAAATTGTTATAACAATCCGAGATACCTGGACAGCGATGAGATCCCCGAGCGCTCCCGCCCACACTCCCCACACTGACGGCGTGGAAGCAATTTCCAAATACGGCACTTTCCCGTGCTTTTCACTGCTTTTCCCGCTGATGTGACTTCCAGATTGAGCATTAAAGGACAAGTCTTCCTTCTTCTCCTCTTGCTTATAGTCTTTTCCAGACTGAATCTCGGCGATCTCCCTTTTCGACATCAGCGAGAGGTCCTCTGAAAAGTTTTACGGTTTTTTTGATCGTTCTGGAACGCACATCAACAGTAGACAATGTTTAAATATGCAAATTTGCGTTATTTCTCGACTACTTTTTAAATGAACAAGATTGGGCTTTAAAAAGGCGAATAGATGAGATTTGGCTCGAGATTTTCAAAGCTTTGGGAAATCTGGAGCACACGGCGGCTACCTGGATCATCGCGATACAATAGAAACCACATAGTGAAAATGAGCAACCCGAGCGCACCGTGCAAATAGAACACCGAGCACCAGCCGAGCGTCGAGGCACACAACTGGAAATTGAGCAGTGAAAAGGTCGAAGCTGGAAGGCACAGCAGCTATTGGAAACACTTACATGCCCGGAGACTGGCATACTGAAAACGGCGGAGAGTTGTCCGAAAGCGGTGAGAGCGCTCATGAAGAGCCCGGATTGAGCAAGAGGAGACCACGTGGAAGTGATTGCGCCGACAGTGGGCATACAAGCGGAAAAGGAGATACCCTAGAATCAAGAGTTTGGTAATCGATTCATGTGCAAATTTGAGAAAATTTCATTTTAGCCTTAAATTAAGCATTACGTAGCTGGATGAATTTTCGGGTTAAAAATTGCTTTTGCTGAATTGATTTGACTTTCATTGGCTAATCTGGACATCAAAATATTGATTCCGATACGCAAATTTGAAGAAATTTGAATTTAACCAAAATTGAAAAAAAGTTACGTAGCTGGGTGAATTTTCGGGTTAAAAATTGATTTTTGCCGAACTGATTCGACTTTCAATAGCTAAGCTGGACATCAAAGAAGTGATTCTGTTTTGTATAAATGACATGATTTGCATTCTGTGTCCATCGATCATCGGTCATCTACTCATCGGTGGCCGGTAAAAGGCAAATCTTGATTTTAGCACAAAAACCCGACAGAAGGGATTACGAAATCTTAGGGATTACGGTAGTTTATCCATTTTTATTGATCAGTAAACCATTTACCAATAAAAATCGCATGGCGACGAAGAAAACGATGTGAGATCGAGCGGCGAGCGGAGTGAAGAGAGTCGCCAACGCTGAGAGAACGCCGGCGAAGAAGAACACCTGCAGATGGCATTGGGAGAATGCTTTCGACAGTGCCTAACACTCACCTTTCTAGTGCCGAATCTCGTGATCGACAACGAGACCGGCACAACGGCGAACAGCGCCCCCACCGCCACCGACGAGAAAAGCCACGTTTTCTCGTCTTTCGAATAGCCTGTGTAGGTCTGAAATCTCATTTTGTTCATTATGGATGTCACAAAGGAAAACGAATATGCAAATTTGGGAAAATGATGAATTTAACCAAAATTGAACTAAAAATTACGTAGCTGGTGGAATTTTCGGCTTGAAAATGATTCTGCTGAGTTGATTCGACTTTCAATGACTAAGCTGGATATCAAAAAAAGTGATTGCGACTTGAAAATTTGGGAAATTTTGAATTTGACCAAAATTGAACCAAAAATTACGTAGCTGGTGGAATTTTCGGATTAAAAATGATTCTGCCGAGTTGATTCGACTTTCAATGGCTAAGCTGGATATCAAAAAAGTGATTCCAATTCGTATTAATATGCAGATTCGGGGAAATCTGAATATAACCAAAATTGAACCAAAAACTACGTAGCTGGACGAATTTTCGTGTTAAAAATGATTCTGCCGAGTTGATTTCAATTTCAATGACTAATCTGGACATCAAAATATTGATTCCAATTCATATTAATATGCAAATTTGGGAAATTTTGAATTGACCAAAATTGAACCAAAAATTACGTAGCTGGTGGAATTTTCGGCTTAAAAATGACTTTTCTCGAGTTGATTCGAATTTCAATGACTAATCTGGACATCAGCCAAGTGATTGCGATTTGCAAAACTTACATGATTTGCATTCCACGGCTCATCGGTGGCCGGCATGCAGAGAACGGTGAAATTGAAGCAAACAATGTTGGCCATGATGGATGAAAGTGCGAGCACGCTTAGCGTCAGAATTAAGTACCTGAATTGCTAGCTGAAGTGAAGACCAGGCTATGGTTGACGGTAGTTTTCTAGACCATAAACAGACGCGTAATGCCACCGTACAGTCGTGTAGTCTAACTTTGAAGGTCCGGTACTTTGCGCTGGTTTAAGCTATGGTTTTCGTTTTAATGTCAAACGATAGCTCTTGTAATCTACTATTTTTTGGCATCAAAAATAATATTTTAAAAAAATCTAGAAACCAAAAAAAAAAACGAAGAAGTTAGAGTTGTCAAAAAAAAAGTTAGACTACGAAACTGTACGAGGTGGTGGGGTATTTACGGTAAGTTATTATACTCATTCGATAGCTCTGAATCTCCTCTTTAAACCTAGGATAAAGTTATCAAGAAGTTTCTGCAAAATAAATAAGAAAAGATCATAAAACCGAGTTGACATCAAAAATTTTGGTTATTTATCTTTTAGACGTTCTGTCTCAGCTTCTAGATTTTTTTTAAACATTATTTTTGATGTCAAAAAATACTAGATTACAAGAGCTATCATTTGACACTAAAATCAAAACGATAGCTTAAACGAGCGCAAAGTACTGGATCTTCAAAGTTAGACTAGCAGCAATATCTACTTTTGGGCGCAAATGCAATCCACTTTTAGGCTCTATTCTAAACATTCTTTTGAAATGTGTTTTTATTTACTCAAGAATTTTATCTACTTAATTATTTTGATCTTTAGTCGATGGTTAGCTCGTTTCCTGCTGGACAATTGCAAAAGATGGATCAAGGAAATGTCAAGGATCAAGGAGATGTCAGACGCCACTGTACGGTGGCTTTAGAGTACTGTAATTCTAATTTTAGACTTTAGGAAAGCGTTTAGATTATTCTCAAGGTCAGGCTAGAGTCACTAGAGTCAGATTGGGAAGATTAGAAGGCTAAGATTGGACGTCCGAAGATGGATTTGAGGCTAGCCTAAAGCTAGTCTAGGCCTAGCTTAAGTCTAGCTTAAGCATAGTCTAAACCTAGCTTAAGTCTAGTCTAAGCCTAGTCTAGGCCTAGTCTAAACCTAGCCTAAGCCTAGTCTAAGCCTAGCCTAAGCCTAGCCTAAGCCTAGCCTAAGCCTAGTCTAAGCCTAGCCTAAGCCTAGCCTAAGCCTAGTCTAGGCCTAGCTTAAACCTAGCCTAAGCCTAGCCTAAGCCTAGTCTAGACCTAGCTTAAACCTAGCCAATTCTAAGCTAGGGTGATTGATTCTTGACCCTAACCTTGACCTATCTGTAAGATATAGATGTTCTAATCGCTTTCCCCATACTCACCTCATCGTGCATCCATTCATTTTCATTCCTTGCTTCAGCTGCTTTGGCACAAAGTGGAAATCACTCGACGAGAAACCCTAAAGCAATTTTTTTGACGTTAAATTTCTCTAATTCTACTGTAGTGCCAATTTTCGTTGATTTCTCTTCTTTTGCGGTGATTCGGTGTTTTCTTGGCGGTTTCTCCGGGATTTGCTCTTCTGAAATTGAGTTCATTTTGATATTTTGAAATTCTTCAAACTATAAGCAATAGGTTTTATTGTTTTTGAGTGTTCTGGAACGCATGTTTCAAGAATTTTCGGGTTTCAGAATGCTACGGAGTAAACTGGAGAAGTTGGTTTGTTAAAATTGAGTTGTATCAAATATTTTGAAATTCTTGCAACGAGGAGGGATGGTTTCTATCATTTTTGAGTGTTCTGGAACGCATGTTTCAAGAATCTTTGGGTTTCAAAATGCTACGGAGTAAACTGGAGAAGTTGGTTTGATAAAATTGAGTTGTGTGGAATATTTTGAAATTCTTGCAACAAGGAGGGATGGTTTCTATCATTTTTGAATGTTCTGGAAGTCATGTTTCAAGAATTTCTATCAAGAATTCGCCAATTCCGAAAACTGAACCGACCTGGTGTCAAGTTGTGAATCGGAGCCTTTGTCAAGTCCAAGCTCTGCTCGGTGCTCGCTTCTTCAGTCAGAATCTCGTTTTCTGCGCTGGTGGTCGGCTTTTGATCAGCATCCGATAGTTTTATTTCATCCATTTCCTCTAAATGCTCGACAGACAAAGACGTTCCCTCCCTCGCCTCGTTGTCCGGCAATGGAGGCATTTTCTTCTTCTAAAAATCTGTAAGATACAAAAATTATAAAAAAATTAAAGAATCTGGAAAGCATTGGTAAATTTGAGGAAAGAATTTTTTGGATTTGATCGAAATGAGAAAATTTGGGAAGCGATGACCCGGAAGCACTGGGTTTTTATGAAAAAAGTGAATCGGATGAAATTTATTTTCGCTTTTCATTTCGATCTGGAGCGCATTTGAGCGGCTAGTACATCAAAAAATGGATATTTATTTGAAAATGCGGAAGGGATCGGAGCTGGATGAGTTACGCGGAGGTGAGGAAGCTTAAAATGGTAGGCTGAGGTTTTTGAGCGACTATGGCAGGCACATAAGCGGTTGAGTTGAATTGGATTGTGGATGAAGATGAATTGGAATGTGATTTGTTTAAGAATTGGTAGGTGGGTGGGAATCCAGGACTGGGCGATTCTAGGCAAGACACTCAGCGCTACAAAATTATTTCCCTAATTTTTGACGATTATGGCAGGCACAAAAGTGATTGAGATGAATTTGAATGTAAAGTTTTGTTTAAGAATTGGTGGATGGGTGGGAATCCAGGACTGGGTGATTCTAGACAATACAGTCAGTGCTAAGAAATTATTTCTCTCATTTTAGACGATTATGGCAGACACATAAGTGATTGTTGAATGAATTGGAATGTGGAGATTTGTTTAAAAATTGGTGGAATTATCATTTAGGACTGGGCGATTCTAGGCAAGACAGTCAGTGCTAAGAAATTATTTCTCTCATTTTAGACGATTATGGCAGGCACATAATTGATTGAGATGAATTTGAATGTGGAGATTTGTTTAAAAATTGGTAGGTGGATGATAATTTAGGACTGGGCGATTCTAGACAATACAGTCAGCGCTAAAAAATTATTTCCTTCATTTTAGACGATTATGGCAGGCACATAAGTGATTGTTGATGAATTGGAATGTGGAGATTTGTTTAAAAATTGGTGGAATTATCATTTAGGACTGGGCGATTCTAGGCAAGACAGTCAGTGCTAAGAAATTATTTCCCTCATTTTAGACGATTATGGAACGCACATCAGCACCCTGGCGCGTCAAAATATGGATATTTGGTTGAAAGTGGGAATTGAGTGGATCTGGGGCGAGATTTGCGCAGAGATTGGCTCTTCCTCCCCCTCCCCTTCAAACTCCACCGGACTCGATAAATAACGACGGATTTCTCCATAGTGCGCTCCAGATCGGCTAAAGAAAAAAGAAAAAGTTGGCGAAAGCGGGAAAATAAGCAATTTTTGAAGTGGCAAGGGTTGAGTCAAAAAAAAAGCGAAAAACTTTCGATTCAGAATTTCGCAAATATTTTTGTTTCCAATTTTCGTGTGCGTTCCAGTTCGCGGGAAAACGATGAGTAATTGGCGGGGAGGGGTGGAAATTCGCGCAAAATCATCATGAGGTCGATTCAATGGATTTGCGCGCGCCGTGTTGATTCAGCGATTTTGGTATTTTTGGCGAAAAGGTCGAAAAATATTTCTAGTTCATTTTTTTGTTTATTTTTGGTAAAGAAAATCATATTTTGATTAAAAATCGGTTTCTCTGTAAATTAAAAAGTGGATCAATTACCGTAATCGGCCAAAAAGTCCGACACAAAGTACAGTAATCAGAAAGTGTCGAAATAGTGTAATTCTTTAAAAAACAGTTGCTGTGACCTCCAGATCACACGTAATCGACAATAAAAAAGATCTTTTTCATGGAAATTTTGAGAAAAACAATCGCAAAAAGAGTTCAGCGGGTTTTGGTGATGAAAGTTTCAATAAAAATAGGTTATTTTTGACGGAAATGCCGAATCTGGAATTCATGTTATATAAAAATTGAAAAGTTTTTGAGAAAATATAAAAATTGAGTAAAACTTTTGTTTTAGCTCATTTAGACTCCAAAGTTCACCAAATTTCCCAAAAAAATCTCTCAATTTCGAGCAACAAAACAACGATTATGGTTGGCATATAATCAACGAAACAAAATCAAAAAACGAAATAAGAAAAAGGAAGATAAGAGGAAGTAAGCGAGACGATTCCATTTGCTCGCATTTCCCGAGCGATGAGTGGGTGCTTTGAGGAGTCGATCGGGTTTTCGGGGCGATCTGGAAGTCACAGGTTGGGTTCTAGGAGTGCTCGTGACGTCATTGAGCGTTTTAGATAACTGCTCCAGTACTGTTCGAGTTTGAGGCCTTTACACCGAGATTTGATTGAAATCAACAAAAGTTAAAGAGTTTTATGGGCAATCTGGAAGTCACAGGTTGGGTTCTAGGAGTGCTCGTGGCGTCATTGAGCGTTTTAGATAACTGCTCAAGTACTGTTCGAGTTTGAGGCCTTTACACCGAGATTTGATTGAAATCAACAAAAGTTAAAGAGTTTTATGGGCGATCTGGAAGTCACAGGTTGGGTTCTAGGAGTGCTCGTGGCGTTATTCGGTATTTTTGGATAACTAGTTGTACTGGAGTTCAACTCTGATAGGGAACACGACTCTTCCATCGGTATTCGATGAAAACCAAAACCAGAGGCTAGGCGGCTAACCGGAGGCTGCCTGCGTTCCAGGATGCTCAAAAATCGTTTTAGTTTCTCAAAATTTCAAGCCCTACTTGAATAAATGAGCTGAACCCAAACAAGTTTGGGAGTTTGACGAGTTTGAGGCCAGGATTTGTTCGGAAACCAAAATGGAATCAGTTTTTCGGGTGATCTGGAGCTCAGGCTGCGCATTGGGAAAGGTTGGGGGGAAATTGGGGGGAAATTTTTTCGATATGTGGGTGGGGTGGTCTCATGAACGGCTCATGACCCCTATCCCGGCAAAAAAGATAATTGATCGTGTAGAATTGAGAGGGAAATCGTTGATTTGTTACGAAGAGAGAGAAAATCCGATTTGGGGAGATGATTGCATGAGTCGAGCGGAAATAGGGAAATGGAGTGGGGAATATTTTTGATCTTGAACTCTGTTTTTGAAAAATCGTTACTAAAGTATGATCTAAACAATGGAATTTATGTAGTGACTTCCAGAATCGAGGAAAATTAGGATATCTAGCTGACAGCACCTCTAATGACCGAGAAAAGATGCCAAACTTTTTTGACCCTAATTGGTTTCAAAATTTTTTTGCTATCTAGCAATTATCTAAATAATGGAATTTGCCTACTGTCTTCCAGAATCAAGGAAAATTAGCATATCTAACCGACAGCACTTCAAATGATCGAGAAAAGGTGCCAAACTTTTTTGACCCTTATTGGCCAAATTTTTGACTCTGATTGGTCAAATTATTGACTCAAAAATTTTCTCCGATCTAGCAATGATCTAAGCAATGGAATTTATGTAGTGCCTTCCAGAATCAAGAAAAATTAATAGATCTAATCAAAAAAGTTCTAAATGGCCAAGTTTTTGGGGCAAGACCGTATTTGAGATTGAGAATGGCTAAAAATCTGCAAAACTTTGAAGCAAACAACTTTTCCCACCAAATCAATCGCCGATCTGGGAGTCACAACGCGTGATTCGGTCGATTCTACGTGAAAAAAGTGGTCGATTCTATTTTTCGATCTCTAGTGGAGCGATTTTGAGGCTATAAAATGATTAGGTATTACGGTAATGATCTAAGTTTTTGGCTATAACTTTTTTGGAATGCACCAGCATTGGAATGCAGATGCCCGGTTGAAATATGGAAAAGAGAGGATGCGATGGTGAATGGGTGGGATATGAATCAACTCCAACTCCCCCCCTTCCCAACTGATCGAATGAGCTCACCCACCGAGCACACTAATCGCTCTCGTGCCATCCAGGAAAAGTCATAGTGAAAAAAATTTGGATGATTTTTGAAAGCTATTGTTGTATATTGTGGCAGTCCCGAAATGTTGGAGCTGAAACTCCGAATTTTCTAAAAAACACTTTTAAAGCATTCCAGTAGACCCTGTGACATCCAGGATCGACAAATATTATCTTTGTAAACGTTTTACTGTAGGTTTAAGGGGACCTAGACAGGTACAAATGTTGAACCCTTACCCAAGGTACTGTAGCTGATTTTGGTGGTTTCCGAGAGAGATTTTCTTTCATCCTGGAGGTCAGTGGACCTGGATTTAACAAAAAAAATCTGTGAATCTTTTGTGAGAAATTTTTGGGAAAATGGATTAGTCACTGGTCGAACAGATAGGATTGAATTTTGAAGGTATCAAAATTTGGGAGGTATCAAAAAGGTTTCTCATTGAAAAACTCGAATGACCTCCAGGATGAAACGTAAAGTCGGTTTCAAAAGCGGAAATGAAAAATTGAGTGATAAAATGTGGCAGAGTGTTTTTTGAGGGAGAGGAACTAGAGAGATAAAGGAAATCTCTGGAAGTCTTTCTCTCGAAATTTGTAGTGACATCCAGCTTGCATAGAAATTATAAAATTTTGGAAGAAGGATTAAAATTCAACATAAAAACAGTCTCTGACAGTTTCGGTTCAATTACGCGACTTGGGTAGTTGAATTGACTCTCAACAGAATCTCTCAAAATTTGTAGTGACATCCAGCTTGCATAGAAATCATAAAATTTTCGAAAAAGGTTTGAAATTTAACATAGAAACAGCTTCCGGCAGTTTCGGTTCAATTACCAAGTCGGACTTGGGTAATTGAACACTGAGGCTTTCTGGTCAACAGAATCTCTCAAAATCTGTAGTGACATCCAGCTTGCATAGAAATCAGAAAATTTTCGAAAAAGGATTAAAATCTAACATAGAAACAGCCTCCGACAGTTTGGTTCAATTACCCAACTTCGGACTGAAACTTTTGAAGACTGTACTAATTCACTCAAAATTCCTAGTGCTATCCAATTTGAACAATGAGCTTTAAAAAAGCGGGTGGTCTTTGGGGAAAACAGCAGATAAGATCGGGCATTGTTGCCAGCGAAAAGACTCTGCGCTTTTTGCTCGCCCGCCGGAAGGGAAACCCCGACTTTTTTCACGCTTATCTTAAATCCTGGCTAACACTGGAGATTTTTAGAATAGAAACGAAGTGAGAGGCTAAAAATAGTTGCGGTGAGACTTTGAATGCTGACTGGTTGTTGTTGTAAAGAATGTTTTGTGTAAACGATTGTAATCGGTCTTATTTTGCTCTTAATCGTACTCTATTTTTAGTTCAATTCAGTGAATTGTCTTGAGTACACAAACGAGTGATCTTATGATATTTTTCCAATGTTTTGTCTCTGGTAGAGGCGGGATTTAAGAAAGGTTTTTTTTCATTTTCCTCAATTTCATTTTTTTTCGAAATTCGCTCAAAGAACAAACAAAATGCGTTCCAGAATGCACTTTCCACAAATCGATAATCAAATTTTTTTTGAAAATTTTCGAGAAATTCGTCCAGTCCTAAAAGTCCAGATCAGGTCAGACTGGATTGGACATCGTAATCTCAAAACTTTTCAGCTCAAATTTCCTAGTGCCTTCCAGAATGGTCAAAAATTGAAGCAAATGATTTTTTGATAAGCGGAAAACGAGTTTTTGATAAGGGTAGATTTTGAGACATCTAAACAAATTTGCATATTGATTTTGAGACATCTAGACAAATTTGCATATTAGATACAGTACCTGGAATGTCCTTAATGTCTCTTGTGCCTTCCATAACTCCTAGAAAATTGGGGATTTCGGCTTTGCTGAGGTTTACGGTGAGAAAGTGGGCCAGTTATCGTTTACAGCTACACAAGTTGCCTCGAAACGCTTGCATTGGATAGTTTTATAGGCTATGCAATCCAAAATATCTTTCTGCCACTCGGATGGAGTTTATTATAAAAGAAAAAAACGAGTTTTGATGAAAAACAGAAAAATCCCTAGAAATCCGAAGATATTCAGCTAATTGACTGAAAAATAAATGCAATTAAATGCAAATTTAAATCGATTGATTTGATGAATTGATTTGATCCAAATTGAATTACAATTTATTAGCTGAATATCTTTTAAGAGGAAATTTTTGTATAAATAAAATTTCTTTCCGATTTTTATTGAATCAAGTTTTATGAATTTGCAGGTGGCTACTTTGCGCCAAATTTTTTGCTGGCCATAACTTTCTTCTAAATTGGCCAATCTTTATCATTTTGATGTCATTTTATTACACTTATTGAGATCTACAAAATGACACTAAAATGATAAAGATTGGCGAACTTAGGGGTCGTTTGCAAAACTTGCCATAACTTTTTTCTAAGTCGATCAATCTTTATCATTTTAGTGTCATTTTGTAGATCTCAATAAGTGTAACAAAATGACATCAAAATCATAAAGATTGGTCAACTTGAAAGAAAGTTATAGCTGGGTTGAGCAAAAAAATTTGGCGCAAAGTAGCCATTTTCGAAATCTTTCTCGTTGATTTTATTGTTGTAAACTTGTTTAAAGCATAGTTCTCCAACTTTTGTTCAATTAGTTTGACCTATTTGTTGATTTTTCTATGAAAAAGCGTTCAAAGTAGGCCAAGAAAGCTTTGCGCCAAATTTTTTTGCTCAACTCGCCATAACTTTTTTCTAAGTTCGCCAATCTTTATCATTTTAGTGTCATTTTGTAGATCTCAACAAGTGTAACAAAATGACATCAAAATCATAAAGATTGGCCTACTTAAAAGAAAGTTATAGCGAGTTGAGCAAAAAAATTTGTCGCCACCCCCATGAATTTCTTTCTTAATCTTGTTTTCTTTATAATTTGTACAATTTCTATTTTTTTCTAGGTAAATCCCACCAGTTGATGGCTGCTTTTCGACCGTTTTCGTCGCTGCTCGTCGGCGGAAACACACGACAATTGTTGGCGAAACGAGGTGCCGCGCACTTCAACTTTCAGCCAAGCGATGCGCCAAAAGAATATGGTTTGTTTTTTGTTGAATAAAGGAATATGGCTTGTTTTTGAGTGCTTTTGGCTTAACGGTCATTAACGTATTTAACGATAATGCTAGAATCACAGTAGAAAAGAGTAGACTCTCTATTGAGACCTCAATAAAGCTTAATTGAGCTTAATGTAGCTTTAAACAGAGCTGATCCTCCTGGCCTGACTGGCTGATCCTCCTGACCCGGAAATTTGGTCCTAGCTTCGGAATTTTCGGACAAAGCTTCGAAATTTTCGAGCCTAGTTTCTTTTTAGACTGCCAACCATTTTTAGCAAACATTTTAGGCATTCTAAACTGTTCAAAAACATTAATAAACTAGATGGGGTTCTTAAAAGTAGATGTAAACATGTAAACATATGCAACTTTTGTGAAAATATAGCTTGGCTTGGCCTGGCCTGGACTGACTATGTTTGCATCCACTTTTAAGGACCCCATCTAGTTTATGAATGCTTTTGAACAGTTTAGAGTGCCTAAAAATAGTTGGGAGTGTAAAAACCCCGCCCTGGTTAGGAAATTTGACTCTAGGACCAGCCCTGGGTCAGAAATTTGACTCTAGGACCAGCCCTGGCTTTAACGGTCGATTATCGATAAGGCTTTGTTGCTAAAACGTTAATAAGTTGTTGTTATGCTAATGCTTATTAGAATCTAATAATCTGGTTAAACTTTCGATATAAAAACGACAAAACTAGTGTGTTTAAGCAATTCGAAATGCCTCGATAAACAAGTCAACTAAAGAGTTGAACTTGCTATTGTTGAAGTTAAAAGTATTCTCAAAGCTTTAACAACCGTTGTTGTTATCGTAATTGATTTTGATTGTTAAATGACCATTAAGAACGTTTAGTTTTGATTGTTTTATAGATAAAACGAAATAAATATAAAGGTGTAGTGATAAATCGATCCTTACTTTCGAATTTTTTTAGTTTTAGAAAGTTTAGCAGTTTTAACAGTTTTAACAAGTTGTAATCCCTAAAAATGATGATATTTTAAACCCTTTCATTTTATTTAAACATCCTCAAACTTCCTTAATCCTTAAACATCTATACTTTTTGATTTAGGCGATGTTCGACAAAAGATGAACCTATGCCAAGCGGTGAACAACGCGATGGACATTGCAATGGACACCGATCCGAGCGCCGTTTTATTTGGTTTGTTTTAGCATCAGCAAAGGTTTAACCGTACAAGTACATGGCTTTGATTATGACCTAAATTGGCTTAAATTATGGTTTTAATTATGGCTTAAATTATGGTTTTAATTATGGTTTTAATTATGGCTTTAATTATGGCTTAAGTTATGGCTTAAATTTATCCATATTAACGAAATCACCACTACATTTTCCTATTCAGGTGAAGACGTGGCTTTCGGCGGTGTTTTCCGATGCTCCATTGGACTCAAGGACAAATATGGTTCGTTTTTGGTTGACTTGAAGCAATATAAAACACTTCTTTAGCATTGTTAATAAAATTTTCAACAATTATAACGCTAATTACTCTAAATCCCACTTTGTATTATTGAATTTTTCTCCACGTTAAATAATAAACCTCTAGAGAAAGACAAATAATAAAGATTAGAGCAAATATTTGTGATTTCTTCAATTTTTTTCTTATTCAGGTGCTGATCGAGTGTTCAACACGCCACTTTGCGAACAAGGAATTGCTGGATTCGGGATTGGACTCGCCGTCGCTGGAAGCACAGCTATTGCTGAGATTCAATTTGGAGACTACATCTTCCCGGCGTATGATCAGGCGAGAGCTTCATTCCTTATTTAATACTACATTTTAACAGTTGTGGACATTATAAAGGCTAGATCATCATTTCACACTGCATTTACTTACTCGTTGCTTTTTAAAACTTTGAAAGTTTTTACAAAAAAAAAGTTCTTACAAAGAACCGATTTTGCCACATAATTTTTTTTGTATTTCTTATTATATTTGGCATAAATCTTTGTCGATGAGTAATCTATCTGAATCTAATCTATAATCTATTTATCTGAATCTAATCTAGATTGGTCTATATCTATAGCTATATATTATTTAGTTGGTGAACGAGGCAGCAAAATATCGGTATCGATCGGGTGGGCTGTTTGAGTGTGGAAAGCTGACGGTGAGAGCAACGTGGGGAGCTGTTGGACATGGAGCATTGTACCACTCACAGTGTCCCGAGGCCAATTTCACGCACACACCCGGCGTTAAGGTACGATTTGATAGAATTTATTAGGGGTGTATTGGGCTGTCTGTCCAGCCTTCTGAGACTATCAGTAAAAGTTATGTTTTGTTGAAGTTTTTTGTCAAAGTTTTGATCTGATCGAACGTTTCAAACATGAGAACGAGCTTTAAATGTGTAAACTTGAGCTTTTTGAGGTTCCAATCGATGTAAACATGCTCAAACTTTATGTAAAAATTGCCTAAGCGAAACAATATTTATTTCATTCAGCTACTAGATCAAAAAATTGAAACACTTTTCATTACTTGAACACAAAACACAGCAAAACGCAATATCTAGTTATAAAACTCGTTCTCGAGATGAACTGTTTGATCAGATTAGATCTTTGGGCTAATGTCAGACGTAATCATCTAACTTTTACTGATAAAAACTTACATAATACAGTTTTCAATAGCTTTTGAGAAGTCACAGTTCATTGATTGGCATGAACTTGTTTGCCAACTTGAGAGCAAAACGTTTTTAAGCGTAGATTTCAGGTAGTAATCCCCCGCGGACCCACACAAGCCAAGGGTCTCCTCCTCTCGTGTATCCGTGACGACAATCCGACGATTTTCTTTGAGCCAAAGGTAAATCTTTAACATTCCTTCATTACCTGAATAACCTTTTAACATTGATATTAAACTTTGCCAGATTTTGTACCGTTTGGCTGCCGAAGAAGTGCCCGTTGGTGACTTCATGATACCACTATCAAAAGCTGAAACCGTCAGAAAAGGTTCGCTTTTAAAGTTTTACTGATTGTTATCCGAATCGTTTTGCATCAATACAGGAAATTTGTTTTAGGAAAAGACGTGACAATCGTTTCCTGGGGTACACAAGTTCACGTTTGTCTTGAAGCCGCACAATTGGCGCAGGAAAAGTTGGGAGTATCGGCTGAGGTGAGGGAATTTTTATGTAAAAAGCTCATGTTTCATTTCATTCTTTCAGGTGATCGACTTGCAAACGATTCAGCCATGGGATGAGGATCATGTTGTGGAGGTGAGATTGATGATTTTACGGAAAAGTTCACTATTTATTTTGATTCAGAGTGTGAAGCGGACGGGCCGATTGATCGTATCACATGAGGCGCCGAAGACGAGCGGATTTGGAGCCGAGATCGCCGCTACCATTCAGGTTCACTTTTCAATGACTAGAACTATTAGAGAGTCCAGGACCAGGTTAGAGCTTGTATGGGATCATATCCAAGCTAGTCGGACCCTGGACTAGTCAGACTTCTATCCTAGCCCGATTTGATCTGTGAGCATAAGCGGGATGCCAGAAACTAACACTTAAGATTGAACTGAGCCCATTCCTTAAAACCCCCTTGTTCATTTGATCATCAAGCCGTTGCAGGATCGTTGCTTCTTGCATCTGGAATCTCCAGTCAACCGCTCTTGTGGCTGGGACACTCCATTCCCGCATGTCTACGAGCCATTCTATTTGCCCACCGTTTGGCGTGTCTTCGATTCAATCAAGAAAACCGTCAAGTACTAAGTTTTTGCCCAAATTTTCGGCATTTCCCCCTAGCTTGCGATAATTTATTCGACGTATTTTAGGTTTGTTTGAGTGTTTTTCTTGTTAAGAGACATAATTTCTCCCCGTTTTCCTTAGGATTCTTTTGTGCATATCCGAGTTTTACGCATTTACCTTATTAAGATACAATTTTATGTACGATTTGTGCCAAAAATCGGTGTGAGTTGTGGTCGATTTCATAGAGCTTCTATGAGTGATTTTATATTTAAAGATTTCTATCAATAAATTTGTGTATATGATTTGAATAAAAAAAAGAGTTTTCGGTAAGGCTTTGGATTAGATTTTGGTTCTGGTTGCGGTTCTGGTTGGGACAGATGTTGAAGGGGTTATTTGACTCTAGGTCTATCCAAAGTTTGAAATTTAGGACATTTCAGTTCAGAAACACTTTATGCACCGTTGAAGTATCGTAAATTTTTGGACTTGCTTTTCAAGAGTACTTGTAGGGAATTGAGCGAGACTGCCGTAATCTTGTGGGTAGGCTAGGGAACTGATGCAAATCTTATGTAGCGTTGTTTTTTTGTCTCGTGTTTTCCTTTTCTAGCACTCTTTTTCTTTCTGAAATCCTATGAGGAAATTCCTGGACGCTTCTTGAGCAATGGAAAGCTTCGATCTGGCACATAACCCTCTCAATAGGTCATCTCGAGCTTTACTTCATCTCACCAACTTCAACCGGGAACTCTTTGTCGCGGAAATTTTTGTCTGAATGGGATTCCTCTCTCTTCCGTGCATCTCAGAATGGCCAGGGATGCGAGGAGGGAGGATGGCGGTGAATGGGGCAAAGGGAAACCCATCTGAAATGCGAAAAGGCATCTCTCTCTCGTTTTCTCCATTTCCCCATCTATGCAACTATTTTGTGCTTTTTGGCCCTACTGGAGCGCATAAATTTTTTTTCTCGAATCGGATTTCTGCGACTTTGTCTTTCTAGTTTCTCTCACTCGCCGACCCAACTCCTCTCCTCTAGACTTATGCAGAAGACCATTTTTGGCTTTCTTTTCCCTTTCCATTCCTCGTTGTGTCTTCCAGCTTGGCTTTTCTCACTCTCAATCGAGTCCCCTCAACTCTAGATGGCTCTATATTCACCCAGTCCTCATCATTTTCCCTTCTCTTCGCTTCCCATTCCTCGGCCTCAATTTTTAGCTTTCTGCTCTCTGTAGAGTAGCCTCTTGCCCTGAAGGACCCGGCCTCTTTGGACCCCCTCAGGAGCCATGACGATCGAACAGCCCCCTTGCAATACTTCCTCAGAGAAGCAGAGGGTGCACAAATTCTCTGTGGACCAGGTTAGAAATATTGGGGAAAATGAGTCAAATAGGCACGCGAGAAGAAAGGCGAGAGAAAAGAGGCGGGTGGGGGACGCGCCGAGGCAAATCGATGGGCCGGGTCCCGAAGACAGCGAGGAGAGTGACGCGACGCGACCGCGCGTTTCCCCTCAAAACGGCCGATACTTTCGCCGCCTCTGAAGAATCGAGGCTCCGTCCTGGAGGTCACCACCGAGAAATTCGGGGTTATTTTGCGAGCACCGGCAATTTTCTCGATTCCCCTTTTTCTCCTGACTTTCGACTTTCAGTGATTTTCTTCGCTCCGGTGCTCGGTTTTCAGGAAAATCGATGCGAATCGGGTTTCCTGGATGTCAGGCCGAGTATTGAATATGAAATTTTGTCTGGCTTATGATTTTTAAGTACTAGTATGCAGTGTTCCTCTGTATTCTCCCGTTCACCCTGCAAAGTGTACCTCAAGTCAGGCCTCGTTTTCCCTCTTGCAATCCCCTTTTTCGTCACCCTTAATTCAAATGGACAGCTCGGAAAAGGAAAAATGAAATATTTTGTCCAGACTTGTCCAGACTTAGCGCTTCGATCCGAGCAGCAACAAGATTGGGCTCAAGTTTTTTGTCTCATTGCTTGGAGCATGATTTTGAAATTAAATTCGGCAAAGCTGGCTGGCAAAGCTGGCGAGGCCACTCACGCAATCGACTTTTTTAAATTTTATCGCAATCGACTTTTAAAGTTAAATCGAAATTTTGCTTTTTTTAATGCAAATTTCTTTACTCCCCTTTTTTTGCATTCCATGCACTCCTCCATTTGTTTTGCTTTGATTGAATCTAAAGAATCTGGGAGAGCACTTTTCGATCCAGACCGGGCACATGTGCTTTGGCTCTCCCGGGAAGGGGCACCTCTTCCCCTAAGGACTCCTCCGGTTTATGCTTACGCTCCAATGGCAGTTCCCATTTCCCCGCAATTCCCGCAATATGTGCTGTGCCATCCATCGAACGGGGATTAGCCGTCGATTTGATTTATTCGACGCAAGAAAATCAGGAATTTTTCCAACAATTTTTTGTTATTTTTTCCAACAACAACATTTGTTAAAAAAAACTAACTTCTTGAGAATCCCAGATTCATTTTTTTTATCCCTGGTTGCTATATGACATCCAAAAAATCCATTTCCTAGAAAGTTTTCCAAAAAAAAGCGATTTCGTAGTGGTGGAAATGCCGAGATCTCAATCTTTGCCAGTTCTTTGAGCGTTTTCTTCAACTTTTAAGGCAATTTGCTGCGTATTCTAAAAATTTTTTTGATACTTTTAAAATTCGGCACTACATTCTACCCGAAAACCCCAAAAAAAAACGTGCTTCCGCGGAAATTAACGCCAAAATTCCCAGCCGCTAAATTGGAGTACCAGAAGTACCGAGGAGAATTTCTTTTCCTTCCCACTTTTGCCTAAAGTTTTCATTGCTGCTTGCTCTAGTGACATCCAGATCGACCATTGATGACAATTTGAGAGAAATTTCGAAAAAGGTTTCTCCGGGGAAAAACCCTTGAAATCGGAGATCCACCCCTCGGGTCATCGGCCAAAAAATTCGCCCTGCAAACCTAATTTTCTTTCTAGACTTTTCATGCGTTCCAGGAAATCTAAATTTTGAGTTTTTCCGAAGGTTTATTACGGGGAATCTGTTTTTGACAAATGATAGCTTGGGAAATAATAAGATTGGACGGATTTCTCATTTGTTAAGTCGAGAACTCTATTTTTACTGGTGTCGCTAAACAATCTGGATAGCATTTTAGAAAATCCGATTTTCCATTCTATTTTCTGAATACTTTTACTTGTAGTGCAGTGGTAGTGGGCGGGAGTTCGGGGCCGACGACCCTGGTTCGATCCGACTGGTGGACTTTTTTTTTTTGCTTTAATGCTCTTTTAGCTTTTCAAGCTATTTGACGTTAAAACAAGCCAATTTCAGAGCCAAATCCAGATATAAATAATTTTTTTTCGCTTCAAATGACGTGTTTCTTTACTTTTCACGGAGATCGAACGCTTTTCCCGGGCGAATCCATGTTTTACCATTTCTTTTTGTTCTTTCTTGTGAAGACTGGATGTCATCCATCGCCTCGGGCATCCCTAGGGATATGCTATGTCTATGTTTATCGGCACTCATCGGTCCCGTGTGTCCTAGAGGCACGGGAGTGGGTGGCTGAACAGCTGGCCCTTCTCAGCGCAATGATCTCGCCGATATCATCGAGAAAATCTCTTTCCTGGTTGTCATTCACTTGATCGAGTCGCTTATTATCTCCATTAGGAGTTGCTCTCAAGTTCTCATTTTGATGAAATGACTTTGTCGCCAAATCTTTTCATCGTTGACACTTTACGACTCGTTTTTGTATTTTTTTCGCACTTCTGGATGGCACTAAAATTTTAGGAACCATTTGGGAATTAGGATAGGGGTGTCAGGGATCGATAAGAGGCGAGGGGAAGCGATTTTTGCAATCAGAAGCTATTCTCGGCGAATGGCTAGAACAGCCGGCCTTTCGATCAGGGAAATGTGAATGCTGGAAGGCCGTGAAAGGGATGGGAAAAGGGAAAACGAGTGGAAAGGGGGTAAACCCTTTCACCCCTTCAGCCTCACCCTACAGCTTCATATCGCAATTACATTTTCACACCTCTTCACCCTCTTCTCCCTTTCTTCCTTTCTTCCTTTCTCCCTTTCTTCCTTTCTTCCTTTCTCTCATTCTTACCCACCCGGGGCTTCCTGGACAACAGAAAGGGTGAACGAGAAAACTAAAAATGGAGCTCAGAAACAAGAATAACTCTAAATAACCCGGGACAACCGAATGTATAGTTCAGCCAATTTTCGTTCAATTTCCCCTTTTCCAATCCCAATTTTCGTTCAATATTTGGCTTATCTGGATGTCACTTTGTTGAAAGAATATCTGAATTTTTCGAATTCTTAATTTTAACATTCGATAATTTCGGCTAACTCTAAGCACTCAATTTTCACTTAATTTTCCAAATTTGCATTTAAATTGCAAATGGCAAACTCTTATTTTCCGTCCACCTAGATTTCTTTTTGTTTTTGGATCACCTAGGTGAATGGAAGCTGTTGTGAAAGGGATTCTTGACGTCTTGCGTCTTTGTCTTTGCCTAGAAAAGAACTTGTGCAATTTTGAAAGGATTTTTTGCAAAATTGTGTCCAGCTTTTGATTTTCTTAACCGTTTTGGATATCAGGCTAACCGCTTTTTTACTAGAATGTGAAATGATTAAGGCTTCAAAAATTAGATAGCTTGAAAGCTTGAAAGCTCAACAGAAATAGGTTGAATAAAGATTGACCACTTTTCGCTCGATACGTACAACTTTCTTGGGTTTCTTTTGCCTCGAAAACTCTAGTTGGGACGCACAGAGTCCTGGAAAAGTGAAAAAGAAAATTGAGAGGGGCAACTTGGGCGCCATTCAGCTGGGGAGTCTCCCCATCCATTCACCCCCTTTCTAAAATGGGCCCCTTCTCTCGAGCTGCCACTCCCCTCCTCCTCTGTGCACCCCAGCACACTCACAAATTGCCCTCTTTTGGGATAGGAGACCCACTAGTCCCATCTTTTCCCAAAGAGAGAGTCGAGTGCGGAAAAGGCGAAACAATTGCAGGGACTCGCCTAAAATTTTCCGTGCAAATGCAGTGAAACTGAAACCGAAATCGATCCT